TCCTGATTCTGCTGGAATTCCATACTTCTTACACAATTTCTCCTTTTTCTTTGAACATATTTTATCTAACATCTGTGTTAAGTCTCCCTCAAATGCATCTCTATCAGTGTACATGTTACAGAAACAGCTATATATATGTATAAAACAGGGAGAAATTTGTTTTAGTAATGTAGTAAAGAATGATGTGAACATGAACAACATCTCACCTTGCTTCTATTTAGTTTTTATATGTTCCCATAGTGCTCAGCCAACTAAAGACATAATATACATCCAGGGTTGGGTAGCAATGAAATACATGTAATAGCATTACATAATCAGGATACAAAAAAGGTAACTGTATTCCATTACAGTTACACACAGGTACATTACAAAAATAAGGCGATTTCCAGTGGGGTCCATAAAAATCAGAGACTGCAGGTGAATATGCTTCTATTTTGCCTTTCATTTTAATTTAATACAACGTTTTTCATTACAAATTATATTATCAGCTTGACAAATTGAGTGAAAAGTAGAATTGTTGAAGGTCTACATGAATTTTAGACTTTAGTTATGTACTTTATTGGTCAATTTGCAGCCCAACTATTCCCAGTTTTGGAACAGCACAGGTAGTGGGGTGGGTTAAGTGCCTTGGGCCTAACCAGGTACACCCAGTCAGTCATGACTCCCCTTTGCATGCACACATGACACACAGGCATATGGATGCTACAGATTACACTCTTGACTCTGTCCAGCAACATCAGAAGACAAAGAACCAAGGTAGAGTAATATTAGGAGGTTGCAAACCTTTAAGGCTTTTTGGCGTGAGACTGACAGAGACTGACCATCTAAGTTCTGTGTCGCAGTCTTTTCCGCAGTCGGATTTTTGTTGTTTTCTCGTTAGCTATGAGGCATCCTTTTATCTCTTTTAGCTTTCACCAATAAGTAAAAGTTCAAGATTTACTCTTGTCCAGTCTCTTGCTCGGTCACTCCCAGAGTGGCAGAGGTCGCAGAGGTGCCATTCACCCTATTATAAGTCAGTCTACCATCAAAATGAAGCTGGTATTTTTGTTGCATTAATACTCTTTCCCTCTGCAATCCCTGCTTCACTGAAGCTAACTAACGTTTTAACAAGCATAAGAACATTAAATTTTCCATAAGAGGGTCGGTTATGCATTATTCTGTATTCCATTCATCCTACAATGAAGCAGTATGAAGTTTATAGACTCCTGTATGTTATAGAAATGTAAACAACTAAACATCTTTATATCTTATATATCTATATTCTTTATATAGAATATATAAGATATAATATATATATATATATATATATATATATATATATATATATATATATATATATATATTATATCTTATGAATATCTATATTCAGTGTGTCCATCTTTTGCCTTTATTACAGCTTCCAGTTTTACAACCTTCAGTTTTTTACAGAAATCTGCAGGAATATTTTTCCACACCTCTAAAGTTCTTTTTTAGAAGTTGGTTGCATTTTCGTTCTTTACAATACATGTGATCCCAAACACTTTCAACAATGTTGAGGTCTGGACTCTGGGGTGGTCAGTCCATTGTTCTGAGAACACCATGTTTTAGCCATGTTTGTTTGATTTGTAAATGTTCTTCTTTTTGTCTATTTTTTCTCAGTAACAACTTATTGAAAACTATACCTTACCTATATAACTTAAGAAGTTGTTCCAAAAAAACACTTCCATTCAAATGTGGCATGCAATCACGACCATTACAAGAAGACATCATAACCTTGTTTGAGCCTAATGTTGGCCCACAGTGGGCAGATGGATTCTTTCACTAGTGAAACTGAGGAAGGATGATAAGCCATTCACCACTGTTGAAATGCAGAGCCCCACAGTTTAACAGATTTAGACAGCTATGAAATGCTTAGCATCTCAAAAATACTGAGTCTGTTGCAATACCATGCATATGTAATTATAAAAGAAATTAAACATTACCTGCATGAAACATGACCTCATTGCACAGGGTTAAGTAGCAGAATCAAACTTTCCTTGTTCATCTCCAGTGGCCTGTGTCTGAAAAAAGATGGAAATTTACACTTGTGCATTGGCTGCTATGAACTAAGAAAGACCATTGCTACCTCCCAGCCAATCCCTAGAGTGCAGGGCATCATGTATAAAGAAGGCAACTCCTGTTTTTTCCCTATTAGACAGAGGAATAGCCCATCATCAGGGATTCTTGTCAAGAGAAAGTAGGTCAGTGACAGCTTTTGATATGCCCTTTGACCTCTACGAATGGATCAGAATTCTGTTTGGTTAATAAATGCCCCAGTTGCCTTCCTCTGCTGTGTAGAATGTCTGGAAGGTCTGAGGGATGAGTTCTGTGTCTCATATTTAGATGACAGTTGTAGTCAGGTAGTATTTTTTGGATCATGTTAACAATGTAAGGACAGTGTCGCAGCAGCTAACACAGTACAGTATTAAGCTGAAGCCAAGCAAGTGTGTAATGTTTAAATGTAAGGTCAGCTACCTAGGGCATATTGTGTTGGCAGCAAAATAGACTCTGCTGATGCCATTGTAGTGAAAGCCCTAAAGGAGAAAAGACTGTATGAGAGCTGGGGGAACCATATCACACTGCTGGCTCTTTCTACCTTGTGAAAGTATGGTGAGTGAATGTACAGAGGAATTTCACTTTAATGCAGCACAAGCTACAGTAACATCTGTAGAAGTTAAGGACTAGTGGTTCAGGATTTTGCGGCACATTGCTAATTGTTAGCGTCATGCAGAGTAGCAGGTGGTTAACCAGCCCAGTGCGGGCGGGAGCAGGGACAAACGACGCAGGCTTTCTGAGGGAATGGGCGGGAGCCTATTGAAGTGCTACAGAGATTGGCAAGAAACAGTAACGTCATCTAAGATGATATTGTTTCTTAGCCTGAATAATAGACTAATTAATTACCCTTGGATAAGGCTTGCTTATGTCAGCTCTGTGAAACTAGCAGCATTTCAGCAGAAGAACAACTACCCTTCTTATAGACAGACTATGGCTTCAAAATAGAGCCAAACAATTTCACAGATGTCATAAATTCAAAAGGAGGTTTATAAAAATATATAAATTCTGGTGTATAACCGTTTATTTTGCGGTTTTGCATGTTGGCATAAAATCTTTTCTCTTTCAGAGAAGTTGAGTATGTGAGCTCATGGATCAGGCAATCTTAGCTAATTGTGAGCGTAACTCAAAAACGCTAGCCAGTACATGACTAGCAAACACAGCTTTCAACAGCTGTAGACACATAAAATCTTATTTTTTTATGTACAGAAAGTTTATGTATGTCACACTGTGACTTTCAAAAATGATTTGCATTACAAACTTTTCTTACATAGCCATAGTTTACTGAGGTTAGAGTGCATTACTAATGAAAAGTTGTTAACTGTATTAACTGTGTCACCACTTATATGCATAGTGCCGTGCAAGTCTGTGCAAAAAAAATATATATGTATATTCAAAGGTGCAAAATGTGTGACATCCAGTGTTCAAATAGGTGAACTACAAGAACACTGGAATTTTTACTCTGTAGATTGGCCTCCCTGTTTTCACCTGCAGCTTGTTCTTCATACTAGTGTCTGTCCATGTTGCTATTAAGCATTTTGTTTTGTCTGATTGCTAACCATCATTATCTTTTTAACAGACACGGATCAAATGCCCAGTGACATACAGCTTGGGAAGGCGTTTTGATTGTACTTGGAGGGGCATTGTTTGTCGAATGTGCCTTGGTATGAAAGTCCATGAGCTGTGGCTATAATTTTCGGGATTGTTATCTTGAGATCACGACTTAATTGTGTTGTGATCGAGATAACTTTTGTTACATCAAAATCAAGATAATTAAAGTCATGATCGCATGACAACAACTTGGTTATCTTGAGATCACAAGACGGTTGTTAACTTGAGATCATAAGACAGTTGTTATTCTAAGATAACAATGTTTGTTACCTCGAGATCACAAGATAGTCAAGTCTTGGTCCTAAGATAACAATCCAGAAAATTTTAATGACTTTATGGCCTCTCTGGACTACCGTAGGCTTGAAGAGACAGATGCGTTTACACTGCTATAACATGTGGCTCAAATGTGCCTCAGACCACCTCCTAAATTGGTTCTAGCAATCGGATTTGTATCTGTTGGGTGCATTTACATTTGCATTTTTATGTGGCTCAGCCTTATCCAGATATAATCCTGATGCTCAAGATGTGAGAACTGACCAGGTGTAAACAGGGTCATAGAGATCTTGAGGAACATTAAGCCCTGGGAGGGGAGATGGATCCACAACCATGATTTACACATAGTAAATACAGTAATTTGCCAGAACATCAGTAAAACAGTAATTTATTTAATATTACATGGTGATTTCATTTTATCATACATTCCTTATTATACAATCTAATTATTGTACACATTTACAGAGAAATTGTCATTACACAGATATTTGGAATCATATTGTAGCTGTCTGTCTCAGTCTGACCCCCATCCTGTATGGTTTGGGTGTGAGTGTGATTCCATATACAGGAGTGAAGTCTGGTTCTCTGGCATCTTCAGGCCAGAAGAACCGAAACTGCCGCAGCAGAGTGACCATGAACTCATGAGGAAACTTCCACTGGCCTTCCTCACTCAGCACTGAGGCGAGGTTCAGGATGATGAGAGTACCCTGCACCATAGAGGAAGACAAAGTACAAAATAGATCAGCATATGACTCTAATATGTAGAGTAATGAGTAAAGAGAGTAAAGAGTAATGCCTGAAGAATAATTGAAATCCTCACCTTTGGGATGCTGTAACCCATCAGTTCAGTATCTCTGCTGGTGCAGTGAAACACACTCAGAGGGACAGTATTGGCGACACGCTGACACTCGTGGATCACAGCCTGTGTGTACGGCATTTTGAGTCTGTCCTCAAAAGATGCATGAGCTTTACCTTCCAGAACCTCATCAATCTCTTTCTGACATCTCTCTAGAGGAACATGAGCCAGAGTGTGGCACTGTTACCATCTGATTCAATGCTATTTCCACTGTCACTGTACTTGACATATTACATTCTGCTTTTTATTGTACTGATGTTCACTTGTATATGTCTGTAATGTAAACCTGAACTAGATTCATCAACATCTACCTAGAAACAAGAAATTGAAGGCATGCCGTGCCATTGCTGCTGGCAACACTGTTAGGAGGGTGTTGGAGGTGGTATCTGTCCCAGCAACATGTAGGTCTATAATGTATCTCACAAGCTGTCCCTCATCAAAGGAAGATCTATCACCTCCTCTCTGTTGAACAGATGACACTATCTGATAAGAATAGTATATAATTTTGTATCGTTTATCTCATACAAGAAAACTGAGATGGTGGAAGTGCTATGATGAAATGAGATTACCTAAATCACAGCAGAACAATCAGAACAATAATGCATCGTTGCTGTGTAGTAAGTAAGTAAGCAAAGTTTTTTATATAGCGCTTTTTACAACAGGTGTTGTCACAAAGCAACTTTGCAATCAGCATTACAGAAAGAAATCCGGGTCCAAGCCCCCATGAGCGTCGCCAGTGGTGACAGTGGCAAGGAAAAACTCCCAGTCACATCAACACACACCTTATCAAGCTCATCCAGATAGCAGTCGACAAAATCTCTCGGCTCTCCTGGGACCCTTGATGTTTTGTGTGTGCTGAGCATGTTTGCAGCCATTTTCTCAACTGTGTAGTAATTTTTGTAGGCCTTCTTAAAAGGAAGTGGCAGGGATCTATCGATTCCTGTCGATTAATCAATTCCTGTCTGACAATGCAACATGTTAACAGTAACAGAGGTGTTCTTCACAGTTTGATAAAGGAAAGGCATTTGATTGGTACTTGATTAAAGATCATATTGTGAATAATTTGCCAGAAAGCAGGGCTCTTAGGAGCCTAGTCTTTGCGCAAACCCAATATTTACAAGACTGGAGGAATGCACTTAAAAGTATCTGGCCACACCGGGGGTCTGCTCAGGGATTCGTGAGGTCTCAACAGTCCCCTCACCCAGGGTTGATTGGTGGGTCATCTTGGCCTTTGTTTTAGGCTAGATGTCTATCTTTGGCATGAACCCCCTCATCCTCAGAACATTCTACACATGTACTGTGGAGAGCATTGTAACAGGCTCCATCACCACCTGGTATGGAAACTGCACTGCCATTGAGCGGAAAGCTCTGCAGACGGTGGTGCGGACAGCCCAGCACATCACCGGGGTCCAGCTCCCAAACCTCCTGGATTTATACACCATCCGCTGCCTGGGAAGACCAGGAGGGTTCTAAAGGACTCCACCCACCCAAGCCACTGTCTGTTCTCACAGCTGCTGAGTGGGAGGAGGTTCAGAAGCATAAAGTCCAGAACCAGCCAACTGCTGAACAGCCAGTAGTGCTGGTGTATCGGTCTATAGGCCTGTCACTGCACCTCTGAGTCATCATCTCCAGAGACAATCTACACCTCATCCATATCTCATCAGACTCACTCTGATCCTCTACGCCTTCAATCTAGCAAATCTGTACTTAGACATATAGATTGACATCTTGTACATCTCATATCCATATCATGTATAATCTGGAAGATTTCTCATTTTCAGGAATTTTCAAAAGTCACAGTTTACTCCCGTGATGTCCAAAGGTCTCTTCAGGATGTTTAAAAAGGGTGGCATGAGGTTCCATTAAGTTGCACTTAAACTGTTACTCAAAAGAAAAAGAAAGTCTCCAAACCTCTGGGTCAAAGTAGGTCTGTTTTGAGGAGAGCCGCCCCCCTTCCCCCGCTTCTGCTCCAGGTTGCCAAAAGGGGAAGAGCAGATGGGGGTTGAGAGACGTGGCTTTAGCACTCAGCCTTAAATTTATTATTGGTCCTTCTAAACATCCTGCAGCCTGCAGATGCAGATTTCACTTTGCTCAAAAAGTTCTGATCAGTTTATGAATTAAAAACAGCAAAGCACACTACAAGGTCAACAGTAGACAGGTGCTATGGTGCTGAGGTGCTATGGTGCCTACAGACACTTTCTTTTTCACTGTAAAAAGTGATTTATTGACCTATCTGAAAAATACAGAAACCCACAGTAAACTAATTCAGACAAAGGTTGCTGCATTTACTCCTGCTTATATTCATTGACTCAAGCTTCTGGTGAGGAAAGTAATGACATGTATTGGCTTGAAGTGACTATACGTCATGTATAAATGAAGCAGAGCTGCTTGGAGGCTTCAGACAGTTACCACAATCCTTCTGGAAGGATAGTGATGGACATCTTTAAACATTTCCACAGCTGTCCTGACTGCTCTCCTCCTGTCATTCAGTGGGCTGCTTGCTTTCCTTATTTATGCCTACCTTCTCAAAGTCTTTCAGAGGATTCGTAATGTTCAGCTGGATCAGGTTCCTGAATATGGGCACAGGCCGTGGTCCAGGAGGAAAGTTCTTGGGCCTCTGGATCCTGATGAAGAGGAACAGGAGGCAGATGAAAATCCAAGCTAGGACCAAAGAGCCCAGCATGGTGTTCTGCTGTTGTACTGACCTTCACAGAGCACACTTTTGGAAACCTTTGGCACATCAAGCCCTCATATTAAACTGACCTCCTAAGCCTTTTTCCAGACTGTTTATATTGTAGACTGCGGTTAAATGATTGACAAATTTGCAGAATAGTCCTGTAACCTTTTTTCCAGATTGTTTATGCTGTAGACTGCAATTAAATCATTGAATTTTATTCAAGTCAGTGTTGACAGTATTAACAAACTGAGTGACAGTAGCAACCAATGTATCAACATCCATAATAAACAAACAGCAAGAGAAACAACCAAAGAGAACAAAAACAACCAAGACTCAAAACTAGAAAACAAACAAGATAAAAACAGACCAGGAAACTGAAGACTAGGACCAGGGACTCCAGGACCAAAGGAATATAACTACAGACACTGAATACATGACTGAAAACAGAGGGTATATAAGGCATACAGAGAACAAGACACAGCTGGAACTCATGATGAAGGGGCGGGGAAATGAACAGACATCAGGTGAGGGACGTTACATGAGAGCAGAGCAGGGAGGAGTAAGAAATCCAAAACAAAGACACATGGCAGGGAACCTAGACCGGAATGAGACAATACAGAAAAGATACATAGGAGGAGCCAGGGGCGGAGAAAGAAAATAAACAAACAAGAGCACATGGGAAACTGGGAAGAAAACCAAGACTAAAGGGTGACAGGCAGACACGTTACAGTTGCTTAGTGCATGACAACTGCATCAAACTAGAAGAATGACAAAGCAGTTCTATTTTTACAGTAGATGTCATCTGAAAAGAACTGCTGTTTTCAGTCAAAGAGAGTTCATACAAAATGCAATGCAGAAGTAAAGTCTCAGTGAACTGAGCTCAGATTACTGTTAGGATGCCTGTTAGGATCATTAGGATTATTTTAACACACATAATATGGAGCAACTTAGAAATGAGTCACTCATATATGTAAAAAGTGTCATATTTGTTGACCAGTCCTCAATACAAGCAGCATCAGCACTTTGCCCTCATGACCCTGAGGACATTTGGAATGGGGAAGCAGTCAATGGAGGACAAGATTCTGGGAGATACTGAACATCTTGTTGGTGGAAAGTGTTTGTGTTATTACCATGATACTTCAATAATTTCACTAAAAAACTATATCCCATGAGTAAAAACTGTTGAGAGACTAAGAACTCATTTGACTTTGTGAATTGCAGAGCACCTGTTTCAGTGTTTGGGACTGTTCAGAGACTTTGGAGACATTCCTGAGCTGTGAAACAAGGTCTGTCGATACTGAGAAACAGAAAATGAGGACACTGAATTTAATTTGCTCATTTTATTTATTTTTATTTCATTTCATTCAAACAAAGTAATCATTCAAAAGAATTATTTTCTAATACAATTAGCAAAAGTACCTTTAGTCAGGGAACAATTGTAACCATTGAAATCCATTAAAATTATATATATATACATATATATATTTTTTTTTCCTTTGTTTTATTATAAGTTGTATGGACTCCACACACCCCGTCTCCTCTCCAGGCTTTTATTCATGGACCTTAAACAATTGGACCTTGAAACCCCTTGTTGTACCTTTTTTTTATTAGTTTTTTACAGTTTGTGAAGTTCTTTATATCTAGGACAGTATTTCTTAATGTTGCTGCTGAAGACCTACTACCCTGCAAAACCGTTGTACCTGCTGTGGATTCCTATGAGTCTTTGAGTTAAGAAATGCTAGTTATTAAATCCTAGTGAGAGTATAATATGTTTAATTTTTATATTTTATTCTTCATTATTTTCTTAATATTTCCTTAATATGCATATTACATGCACATAAATTCCAATTATTGGATCTAATCTAATCTCCTGTATTTCTGCTTTATACTATGCTGAACAATTTTATTGTACCATAAATTACCAAGACATTTTCATTACACTAGTTTTGGAATCTGCTCTACATTTCTCTAGCTGGCTGTCTCAGTCTGACCCCCATCCTGTACGGTTTGGGTGTGAGTGTGACTCCATATACAGGAGTGAAGTCTGGTTCGCCGGCATCTTCAGGCCAGAAGAACTGAAACCGGCGCAGCAGAGTGACCAAGATGAGGAAGAGCTCCATGCGAGCCAGACCTTCACCGAGACACATACGAGGCCCTACACACGTGTAAAACACATCAACATGGTTTGACAGTGAATTAGTGTCTGCACACCTTTATTATAGAGCAGTGATTTGTGTGTTCAAATGCAAATTTTCTTAAAATTTTCCTTACAAATAATAAGCACAGGCATGTAATAAAAAAAAGACTTTTGAATAGAGAACTCAGAATTAGACTAAATTTAACTGAATAAAATCATATAAAAACATCAAATAGGAAAATTGAGTGTAAACAGTTTCACACTGTCGTCGTCTCTCACCAGTAGAAAAGGGTAGGAAGGCCTCAGGCTTCTCGAACTGTCCCTGCTCATTCAGGAAGTTAGCTGGATTGAACTCATGAGGAAACTTCCACTGGCCCTCTTCATTCAGCACTGAGGTGAGGTTTGCGATGATGATAGTACCCTGTATCACAAATAAAAAAAAAAAGGAGATAAACAAGTGACACCAGTAAGTGACAGTAATCTTGGAAAGTATTTGAAATCTCCACCTTTGGGATGCTGTAACCCATCAGTTCAGTATCTCTGCTGGTGCAGTGAAATGCAGTTGGGATTGTATTGGCGATACGCTGACATTCATGGATCACAGCCTGTGTGTACGGCATGTTGAGTCTCTCCTCAAAGCATGCATGAGCTTTACCCTCCAGAACCTCATCAATCTCCTGCTGACATCTCTCTAGAGGAACATGAGCACATACAGCACTGTTACCATCTCATTAATTAACTATTTGCATTGTCTTTTTTTGGTTTACTGCTGTGTACTTATACAGACACTGATGGGCCAAAACGTCATGATCACCTGCCTAATATGCTCTGCAAGCCTTCAAAACAGCTCCAACCAACTAAGGCATGGACTCTACAAGACCTCTGTGTCATGTTCCTCAAACTCTGCAGCGAAATATAATTCAAGCTTTGTCCCGTTGCGCCCGCAATCCCGTATAGCTGGTTTCCATCAAAACTGAAAATGACTGCCACATGTCAGACTCACCATGATTGAGCTTTATTGTTGTGTATTCGCCTTTTTAAAGAGCTCTTTCCACAGCTCTGTGTGTTTGACTGTCATAGGCCTCAATTATGTCTTCAGCTTACAAGAGTACAATTCACATGTTGTTCACATGATTGGTTGCTTTGAAATTATTTACTTGAATGAGTTCATTAATTTGTGCTATTTTGCTTTCAGATATTATTTATATATTCTAATGATTGTTGTAATATTATTTAGGCTATTGATGAATATGCAGTGATATATGTATGTGATGTGCTTGATGAAAATGTAAATTCTTGAAAACAAGTAAAAAGTGTCTAGAAATAAGTGAAATAATCTTATAATGAGCCAACAACAATCTCAACCTGAGAAATATTGGATATATCTTCTAGATTTAAGATACTTTCACTTGCCAAGATACCATGTTTGGCCGTCTTCATGTTATCACATCCTCTACAGAGAACACACAGCTACACAGTGTAATGCACCATTCCTGTTTATTTGCTGAATTTACCATATTGGGAAAAAATAAAACAAAATATGGCCTGTGCAAAAATTAAAAACTGTGCACCAAATTTATGCAGATAAATGCCATATTTAAATTATTTCTTGTAAAGGATGTGTTAACTTATTTTCACGTAGGAAATCGATTAATTATGTCCTTTAACCAGGGGTATAAAAACATTTGTATATGACTGTATGTATAATGTAAAAAAAACAAAAAAACAAAATAAACATCTCTCTGGACAAAGAAACAGAAGGCATATAGTACTGTTGCTGTTTCTGTTAAATCTAGCAACAAAAGCTATCAAAATGTATTTATAAAATTTTAACTATAATGAAGTGCAGTGGGTGTTTTATAGATGAAACCTTGAATGTCTGGACGAGTAATGAGGTAGAGGAATGCTGTTAGGAGGGTGTTGGCGGTGGTATCTAATCCAGCAATATGAAGATCAACAATGTATCTCACAAGTTGTCTCTCATTGAAGGAAGATCCATCATCTCTCTGTTGAAAAAGACAGTATCTGATAAGATTGCTTGCTCAGTTGTGTGTGGTCTATTTATGTTGATGCAAGACACAGATATTAAACAATCACTAATGATTGTTAGCTCTGTGGCATCCCGGGCCAAGTGGCTCAGTGACTCTACACCACAGCTACTCTGCTTCCAGGGCAGACTGCCTGAGAGAGCATACTCCCCAGCTGCATGGCTTCCCAGGCCAGCTGCCTGAGTGACTCCATACCCCAGCTATGAGGCTTCCTAGGCTGGCTGCCTGTGTGACACTACACCACAGCTATGAGGCTTCCAGTGCTGGCTGCCTAAGGTACTCTACACCACAGCTGTGTGGCTCCTTGGGCCAGCTACCTGAGTGACTCTACATCACACCTATATGGCTTCACAGTCTGGCTGCCTGAGTGAGTCTACACTGCAGCTATGTGATTTCCCAGGTCAGGTGCTCGAGTGACTCTACACCCCGGCTTCCCAGGCCGTCTATCTGAATGACTCCACAACTAAGAGGCTTCCTGGGCAGGCTGCCTCAGTGACACTACACAGCAGCTACATGGCTTCCCAGGTCGACCGCCTGAGTGACTGTACACTGCAGCAGCGTGGCTTCCTGGACTGGCCGTCTGAGCAGCTCTTCACCACAACTTGTCACACCAACACACCTTATCAAGCTCATCCAGATAGCAGTCAACAAAGTTTCTTGGCTCTCCTGGGACCCTTGTTGTTTTGTGTTTAATGATCATGTTCAGAACCATTTTCTCAACAGTGTGGAAGTTTTTGAAGACCTTCCTAAAGGGAAGAGGCAGAGATCTCAGCATAGGAAGTGTATCATAGATCTGCAAGACATTAAGAGACAATAATAGCACTATATTAGATTTCAGTGTCCTGATGATGTAACTGTTTTGGCAAACTAAGACATTTCAATTATCAAATGACCAAATGATATATTATACCTTGGGTGTACTATATTTATCAGTTAATTAAAGGAGAACAGTCAAGTTTTTGACCTCAGTACAAATGATGCCGATACCAGTTCAGATAACATAATGAGTAATCTGCTTGAAATTTAGTAGTTGTTAGTGTGAATGAGTGCAATGTGCCTTAGCAGTCAAATAATTAAAATCGAGCTGATTTTAAATGACAGGCAGCTATGCTACATTAGTTACTTTGGATTGAGTAGCATTGCGGGGGAGAAGCAGGTCTTTTCATGTCAGAAAAGCGTTTCAGCTGTAAGTAAAGTATGTTTCATAGTTTTGATCTCCGCTCCTCATCTGTCTCTTTCAACACACTTTTACATTTGAGGCTAATGCATCTGAAAAGTTAACTTTTTACACCTTGTTGGAGTCGTTTTGGCTTTTTGGCTGGTTGACTGTTTGAGCTGTAGTTGAATGTCATGTAAAGCCACACCTACACTATCCAATTTTAGAAACCTTGCTCTTCGGTGACTCACACTGTTTGAATAAACCATTTTGTACAGATAAGGCCGATGATTAAATTAAAAATTAGGCAGTTAAAATCACACAGTGTATGTCCAGCAGGAATATTTAAAGAGTCGTTTGTTCATTAATGTGGCAGGGTACACTAAGCTTACATAACACAGTATTAGGTGGTATCAGATGTTGGTATCGGTATATTTTATGAGTTGACACTGAGGGGCATGTTTACCACTGTGTTGCATCACCTCTTCTTCGGGCTGTTACCCAGTAGCAGTATCACTATTGATGTATCCCTAATCAAATCTTCACTGAAACCTTATAGTGTGAACATCTACTTTCATGCAGTGACACAATGACTCACCATTCCCCAGGGTCCATTGATGATCTTCATATTTTCAGTGAAGCATTGAACATATATTTTATGGTTGTCATCCTCGTAGTCGTAGCGAGTGCCAAATAAAACCAGGTAAATGATATTTGATGCAGCATCATGGAACAAAGTCTGAGGATTTATGACGCCTCCTGCAGTAGATGTTCAGAAAGACAATATATATTCTTCATAAATGTGCCCCAACAAAACAATATGTTTTTACTTGCTTCCTAAAACTTAGAACTTATGGGGTATAGTGGGAAGAACTGGGTATCATACAATTTATTTTAAAAAAAAATTGACCAGACTTGAGAGGGAGGTGCTGAAAATGGGTGTATATACTGACCAGGACAAATTTCAAGTCAATCAAGAAATTCTGATGTTCAGTGCTAATCAAGAACTGACATGTATATGAAATGTAATTTAGACAGCCAATCACTGGTCTAGATTTTGGAACGAGCATGTTCATTGGCTCACGAATGCTGATAAGATTAACAGCTTATGTGTTGAAATTTAGTATTGAATGACATCAAATTCTCTGATACTTGGTAGTACTGAAGTCATTTGATTGGTACCATAAAGGTATTTTACTTCGATACCCAGCTCTGATAGAGAGTAATCAAATTACTGAAGTCAATTACCAGCACTTTTCTCTAAGCATGCAACAAGATGTTCAGTCTCTCCCAGAATCCTGTCCTCCATTGACTGCTTCCCCATTCCAAAGTTCCTCAGGGTCATGAGGGCAAAGCGCCGATGCTCCTTCCATGTAGGACCATAGTCAACTAATACGATTCCTGCCACATTTTACTCATATCAGTAACTAATTTCAGAGTTATGCTATTTGTAAATGGAAAAAACTATGTAAATATTTAGTCATCATAAGAAGAACACTGATTAACCACAGTCTGTTTCAGAAGTTTGAGCTCATTTGATCACTGAGACAGATTTATGACAGACCTTTCCCTTCCGTTGCATCGCTGACCAGGAGGTTTTGTGGACGTCCTGAAAAGTCTGCGCCATTGGTCACCAGAGCTTCCTTCACAGCCTTCAAACCAGTAAGAACCACTGTTGGTCTTGCTCCAAAGTAAAAGCTGTAAACGTTGCCATAGCGCTGAGCCAACTAAAGACAAGCAATACAGACACCAGAAAAAGTCAGCAGTTATTTTACACATAATACCAAATTACAAAGTCTGTTTTTTTCATAGACAGTCACCTACTGACATTTACTTCTCCTCAGTATGTGTCTCCTTTGCAGTGTTAATATGGTTAAACAAGCCAGTTTTCAAAAAAGTTGGGATGCTCTGCAAAATGTAAATAAAAACAAAATGCAAAGATGTGCAAATCATTTAAGCCTTATATTTAATTCTGAACTGTTACGTGCCAGAGCATATCTGTGTTTTGTGTGTTTGCTTGTCTCTCTGTTGCAGTCTGCTCTAGGATCCATTGATGGATTCCATGCTACTCAGGAGACCAATCAGGTGGAAGGACATCAGTGGAAGGGGATGAGCTTCAACTTTAAGATCCTGCAGAGACAAGATGGCAGGAGGGCTGCCATATGCCATTCAGAAGCCCTCCGACACAGAATCATGCTAGCTGCTATCTTTTGCACATAAGTCTGCTGTTGTTGTCTGTAAAAGAGCCACTATAGAAAAGTTGTTTTATACCATTTAGCACATGCAAGAGCTTAGCTTGAATTCCTTCATCTTGTAAAGTTTACTTGACAAATTCAGCCCAGTTGGTAGCTTTCCATTGCAGGCAGGCCAGTGTAGCACCTAGACTCTTTGACTACGGAGCCATACTGCTGTAATATGTGCAGAATGTGGTTTGGTGTTGTCTTGCTGACATAAGCAAAGCCTTCCCTGAAAAAGACGTCATCTGGATGGCAGGTTGCTCTAAAACCTGTGTATATCATTCGGCATTAATGGTGACTTTTTTTGCAAGTCACCCATTTCATGTGCACTAACACACCCCCATACCATCACAGGCTTTTGGCTTTTGAACTATATGCTGATAACAAGCCGGATGGTCCCTCTCCTCTTTAGCCCAAAGGATGCAGTGGACCACAGGACACCCTTTCACTTTGCCTCAGTCCATCTTAGATTAACTTGGGCCCAGAGAAGGTGGCGGTGTTTCTGGATCCTGTTTATATATGGTTTCTTCTTTGCATGGTACAATGTGCATTTGTAGATGCAGTGACACACTGTGTTCACAGACAGTAGTTTTCAGAAGTGTTCCTGAGCCCATGCAGTGATTTCCACTACTGTACAGTGCCACCTGAGGGCCCAAAGGGCCTGGCCAGCAAATATTAGTTTTTGGCCTTGCCCCTTGCATACAGAGATTTCTCCAGATTCTCTGAATTTATTAATGATATTTACCATTGATGATAAAGTCCCCAAGTTCTTTGCTATTTCATGTTGAGATGTGTTAATCTTGAATTGTTGCACTATTTGCCCGCAGAGTGGTGAACCCCTCCTCATCGTTACTTCTGAAAGACTTTTTATACCCCATCATGTTACTGGCCTGTTGCCAATTCACCTAATTAGTTGTGAGATATTCCACCGGGTCTTTTTTTAGTGTCTTTTGTTGTCCTGTCCCAGGTTTTTTTAAATGTGTTGCTGCCATTACATTCAAAATGGGCGTGTATTTTTCAAAAAACTATCAAATTTCTCAGTTTCAACATTTGATATGTTGTCTTTGTACCATTTTCAATTAAATATAGGGTTTCATTGATTTGCACATCATTGCATGTTGTTTTTATTTATGTTTGCACAGCGTCCCAAATGTGTTGGAAACGGGGTTGTAAAAAAAAAAAGACAGAACTTCTTTGACAAACTGCTAAACTGTGTTGACAGACAATTTTGCCTACATTAATTGCATGGTATAAAGTTCACTTTTTAAAAAAAAAAAAGGAATTTCTTACAAACAATCAAACATTAACAAGCCAATAACAGTAAAGGGAATGCTGAATATGGTATAGTAAAAAAATATTTTGTTTCATTTATTATGCCTAGACCAGCATTAATAGAACATGGTACTGTACCCTCTCAAAGTCTTTCAGAGGATTGGTGATGTTCAGCTCAAACAGATTCCCGAATATGGGCACAGGCCGAGGTCCAGGAGGAAAGTTCTTGGGCCTCTGGATCCTGATGAAAAGGAAGAGGAACAGAATAAAAATCCAAATCAGCACCAAAGAACCCAGCATGTTGCACTGATCTCCACAGTGCACACCTTTGCAAACCTTTGGTACAACAAGCCCTCGTATTAAATTGCCCTTTTAAACCTTTTTCCAGACTATTTATATTGTAGACTGCTGTTAAATCATTGACAGGGTTGAATGAATAGAAATAAAACTCTCTTACCTAGTCAAGCTGACATATTAGAAAGGAGTGAATCTTAAGATAACTATCCACAAATGTAACACAGAATACTAATAAACTAACTGAATATAATAAAGTATCTATAGAGTGCTACAGAGTATCATTATTATAGTGCAGTAGTACAGGTTTCTGAATATGGGCACAGGCCAGGCGCCAAGGGGAAAGTTAAAAAAAAACAGTGTCTGTTTTGGTGCTGTGCTCTGGGTTGTTTTTCCTTTAAAGTTATAGTTTCTCCACAAATTAACTCTGCAAGGTGAACATTTACGTCTACGGCATTTAGCTGGTGCTCTTATCCAGGGCGACTTACAAAAGTGCTTCTTTGTACAAACTACCCATAAGCTCAGACACTGCCAGACAAAAAAACCAGTGTTATTACGACACAGAGTTAATCATAGCATAAGTGCAGTACAATGCATTCCAATTAGCACTTAAATTAGTGCTTGCTTAAGTGTTTCACAAAGAGATGGGTCTTCAGTTTGCGTTTGAAGACCTCGAGAGAGTTCGCTGTTCGGACAGCAAGTGGAAGTTTGTTTCACCGCCAGTGTGCCAGGACAGACAAGCGTCTTGAGTCTTGAGGTGGGGGGGTCCATTTTTGGCTTTGCACGCAAGCATCAGGGTTTTAAATCTGATGTGGGCAGCTGCAGGAAACCAGTGAAGGTGAAGCAATGGAGTGACATAAGTGAGCTAGATTGAAGACAAGAAATGCATGTGAGAGCAGTTAAATCATTGACATGAGGGTGGCTGGTAGTCTCTGTTTGTTTTAGAAAAGCACAAGCATACAAACTTTGTATGTGTTTCCTTAAACAGACTTTAATGTTTCCTTGGTTATACACTGTCCTCTATTCATTTGATCCAATCCTTATATCCTTATGCAAAATGTTTATAGATAAGTTAAAGAAATGCAAAGATTAGGTAAATTCCCCTGGTATACACCTATATCTCACACCTCGGACAAACAGTATACAGAGGTTCTAGACCTAATCACAGGTAAGAACAGGTATAAGGTACACGCAACATGCAGAAGAACATTTTGTATTGAACTGTGTTTTAGACCCCACAAGTTACACCTTGAGCGTAAGGAGAGTACAGTAAAGATTTGTTCAGAAGACAGTATTTCCTCTCTTCAAGCATGTTTTGATTATACAGATTGGCAGTGTTTCTATGATACTTGTGATGATATTAATGAACTAGCTGACACAGTTTCATCTTACATTACATTTTGCGCTGACACCACTATTCCAACTAAAAAGATTGTTATTTACCCAAATAATAAACCTTGGGTAACAAAAGAGCTTAAAACGATATTAAATAAAAAGAAAAGGATCTTTTTTATTGGAAATCCGCTGGAGAAGAAGCTTATCTCCAGAGAAGTGCGAAATGAAATTAGGAGGGCAAAAATGAAATATTGGGAAAAGATAGAAATGCAGTATAGCATGGGTAATCTAAGAGAAGCCTGGCAAGGTATTAAAATAATGGCCTCTGTTAACCAATAAGTAAATGAGTCACGACAATTTATTAGGATAAACGGAGTGGATGATTCTGAGTTACCAAATGCCTTCAATACATTTTTTTCTCGTTTTGAAAGGACTGCATTTTCTGAGAATGTTTTCAAGCATAGAGGGTCTCTCGTATCTCTGAATGAGATTGTGATAACTCAGAAATGTGTTAGGGATCTGTTTAGGAGGGTGAACATGAACAAAGCTGCTGGTCCTGATGCCATTTGTGGGTACATTTTGCGTCATTGTGCTGACCAGCTTAGTGAGGTTTTCACTAGACTTTTCCAGCTGTGTATTGAAGGTGGTCAGATACCTACAATCTGAAAAACATCCACTATAATACCTATTCCAAAATTGAAAAACACCAAGGAATTAAGTGAGTTCAGACCAGTTGCACTCACATCCCTTGTTATGAAAAATTTTGAAAAGATTTTAAAAGATATAATTGTCTCTTTTATTGGTAACAAATTAGATCCTTTGCAGTTTGCCTACCAAGCTGGTATGGGTGTAGAGGATGCAAAACTTTTTATCCTTGATAGGGTGTATAAGCACCTTGAGAGACCCAAATCTCATGAGACTCTTATTTGCTGATTTTTCTTCGGCTTTTAATAAGATGCAGCCTCATATTTTGATTGAGCGACTGGCTTCTTATTTTAAATTACCTGATCAGCTGTTGGTGTTGCTTTTGGATTTTTCGACCAATAGAATTCAGCAAGTCCAGGTGAATGGCCGTATGTCCAGCACCATGGTCTCAAATACGGGTGCACCTCAGGGTTGTGTCCTGTCCCCTTTGCTTTTTATTATGTACACAGACAGCTACAGGGCTTCTAGAGAGGGCAGCTGTTTTGTAAAATTTTCTGATCACACTGTATTATTGTCTCTTCTTCAGGGTTCAGAGTCAGATCATGGTTGTGCTCTTTCTGCTTTTGTTACGTGGTGTGATGAGAACTTTCTTGACCTTAATGTGTCAAAAACTAAGGAATTAATCATTGATTTCAGGCAAAATAAAAAGGAACCAAAAGCTAGTGTCATACATGGAAAAGAGGTACAAATTGTGGACACATATAAGTACTTAGGAACAGTATTCGACTCCCAACTTAAATTTGATGCGAATACAGAGCTGGTTGTTAAGAAGGGTCAACAAAGAGCTCATTTACTGCGTAAGCTGAATTCTTTTCATGTTTGTCATACGGTGTTGTGCAGTTTTTATGTAATTTATTGAAAGTGTTTCAACTTTTTCGTTTATTTGTTGGTTCAGTGGGCTGTCTGTCGGTGAGGGACAAGAATAGCCTGAATGGCCTTGTAAAAATCTGTTAAAAGATAATTGGAGTCCAACAGAGAGACCTATGCTCCCTGTGGGAGTAACAAGTGGCTCAGAAAACAAAAGAAATTATCATTCAATTTGATCATATTTTGTCCAGCGAATTCACTGTAATGCTGTCAGGTCGGCGTTATATCATGCCCCTCAGTAGAACAAATCGCTATTCCAAGTGTTTTATTCCTTCTGCTATCAAGCTATTAAATGCGGATAATAGTCTTTTTAAATGATTGCTATATTCGCTGTCCATGCATTGACTCCTCCTTTATTTATTTATTTATTTATTTATTTATCTATCTATCTATCTATCTATCTATGTGGATTTGGTGCCTCTGACATGTAAGGGTTTTTTTTTGTTTGTTTTTTTTTAAGTATGTACATATGTGTGTGTATGTATAGTTCCGCGTATGGACAGGGAAAGCTGCAAATGAATTGCCCTTTTTAGGATTAATAAAGTACAGTGAACTGAATTGAACTGAACTGAACAAGTGGATGAATCTGATTTTTGCGAGTGCGTTGAAAGAGCATTCAAAAAGAACTCATTCAAAACTTGGTGAAGGACATGTCTTCTGAGGATGAGAGTGAATTATCACTATTGTCATCATATCTTCATCAGCATAATGTTGTTTTTGCATTTGAGGCCTAAACATTGAGTCGGATCTTCTTTCTGAGCCTGTGTGTGTGACATTAAAGGGCCCGTGTACTACATCATTTTTTTATTTAAATTTTCCCCCTGGTGTCTACTCTCTACATTTGTGTGGTTTTATGTACCAAAACGGTCATAACTCATTTTTTCTTGACCGTTTTGTAACATCTCTTTATCCCTTAAAGGTGAACAGGCTGTCTCTGTTACTGTACTTTTAAGAATGATATATGTCAATAAGCTCTGTTCTGATTGGATGACCTGTATTGTGCCAGATCCAAAAGAAGTCCAGGCTGAAACACTTCTTATAACTTAAGTGAGAATGGGTGGAGCTAAAGTGATGTAGGCTGAATAGGTGACTATATGTAAATATGCAGACACAGTGATTTCAAAACAGGCTGGTTTTGCTGCTCAGTTTCCATACATGAATTGGATGGACTGGGGAGTGAACGGTACATTTTTAAACTTTAAAACGGTGTTTACATACAGGTTAAACTCTTATATGAGTGAGGGAAATTTAGTTTTCCACTATATGGTCCCATTCAAAAAGCTAGCAAGCTATGCTGTCTTTCACAGATAAACAATATGTAGTTTTTAGTTTGAATTATATGGTTTAATTAAAGTAGCAGTGGCTGATTTGGTGTCATTTTTAGTGTAGGCCTTATAGACACACTATGTGCTAACCGGTTACAAACAGGAGAGGGAGGGGGTGGGAATGCAAGAAAAAAATGATATTAGCCATTAGCCAAACATTTTGTTTTTAGTCTCTAAATTCTAATTCATCTTTGTCAAGAAGGCAAATTCCATTATGGGCAGTGAAAAGAAATGTCTGCCACATATAACACATTTTTAATATACAGTAAAAAAGCACATAGTACAGAATGAAAGTGATTCTGTGATTAGCTATGTGGTAAAACTGTGAAGTGTTTTACGTCTAGTATTATGTTTCTTCATCCTGTTCTTGAGGAGCCACAGCCACAGTTTGAACTGCTCCCTGTCCAAAAACACTTGATCCTTATGAAGCTCATTAAGGTCTTGATAATCAGTGGATGGGCTCAGTGAGGTGTTCCTACCAGCAGAATTAAAAAACACTGTACCAGTGAATCCTAGCAAGACTCCAATATTTTATTTAAGATGCTTAAATATTTTGCTTATTTTTCCAGACTACTTATTATTCTCTTAATGAAATCTAATCTACTCTGGTATTCATGCATTGCAGTATATTCAACAATTTTATTGTACCATAAATTTTCAGTACATTGTCATCTGTTCACAAACACTTCATGTTCTACATTTCTCTAGCTGGCTGTCTCAGTCTGACTCCCATCCTGTATGGTTTGGGTGTGAGTGTGATTCCATATACAGGAGTGAAGTCTGGATCTCCTGCATCTTCAGACCAGAAGAACTGAAACCGATGCAGCAGAGTGACCAAGATGAGGAAGAGCTCCATGCGAGCCAGACCTTCACCGACACACGTACGAGGCCCTGCAGATGTATGTAACATATCAACATGGTTTGTCAGTGTTTTTGTGTTTGCTTTCCTTTATTGCAAAACAGAAATTTGTCCAAATTTAATGATTTAGCTATGATTATCCTACAATAAGAAAATAAATACATTGAAAAGGAAAATCTTTTACACCATCATGATCTCTCACCAGCAGAAAAGGGTAGGAAGGCCTCAGGCTTCTCAAACTGTCCCTGCTCATTCAGGAAGTTAGCTGGATTGAACTCATGAGGAAACTTCCACTGGCCTTCCTCACTCAGCACTGAGGCGAGGTTCGGGATGATGAGAGTACCCTGCACCATAGAGAAAGACAAAGAAGAAAATAGATCAGCATATGACTCTAATATGTAAGAGTAATGCTTGAAAAAGCATTGAAATCCTCACCTTTGGGATGCTGTAACCCATCAGTTCAGTATCTCTGCTGGTGCAGTGAAACACACTCAGAGGGACAGTATTGGCGACACGCTGACACTCGTGGATCACAGCCTGTGTGTACGGCATTTTGAGTCTGTCCTCAAAAGATGCATGAGCTTTACCCTCCAGAACCTCATCAATCTCCTTCTGACATCTCTCTAGAGGAACATGAGCCAGAGTGTGGCACTGTTACCATCTCATTCAATGCTATTTCCACTGTCACTGTACTTGACATATTACATTCTGCTTTTTATTGTACTGATGTTCACTTGTATATGTCTGTAATGTAAACCTGAACTAGATTCATCAGCATCTGTCTAGAAGCAAAAAACTGAAGGCACGCAGTTCCATTGCTAATGAATAGATTAAATGAAGTATTTTTAGTTCATACCTTGAACGTCTGCATGTATTATGAGGTACAGGAACGCTGTTAGGAGGGTGTTGGAGGTGGTATCTGTCCCAGCCATGTGTAGGTCCATAATGTATCTCACAAGCTGTCCCTCATCAAAGGAAGATCCATCATCTCCTCTCTGTTGAACAGATGACACTATCTGATAAGAATAGTATATAATTTTGTATTGTTTATCTCATACAAGAAAACCGAGATGGTGGAAGTGCTATGATGAAATGAGTTCACCTAAATCACAGCAGAACAATCCTCCCAGTCACACCAACACACCTTATCAAGTTCATCCAGATAGCAGTCGACAAAGTCTCTCGGCTCTCCTGGGACCCTTGACGTCTTGTGTGTGCTGAGCATGTTTGCAGCCATTTTCTCAACTGTGTAGTAATTTTTGTAGGCCTTCTTAAAGGGAAGTGGCAGGAATCTCAGCATAGGAAGCATATCATAGATCTGCAAGACATCAAGAGATTAAATCTAGTACTATGATACATTTTTCCTTAACTATTTCAACTTCCTGATAGTGTTATGACCATCCATTGTTCACTTTGCTGAAGTTCTAATGTAAAAATGTATGTTCATGCAATGATACAGTGACTCACCATTCCCCAGGGTCCATTGACAATCTTTGTATTTTCAGTGAAATACTGAACATATTTTTTATGGTTGTCATCCTCGTAGTCGTAGCGAGTGCCAAATAAAACCAGGTAGATGATATTTGATGCAGCATCGTGGAACAAAGTCTGAGGATTCATGACCCTTCCTGCAGTAGATGTTCAGAAAGACAACATATGTTCATCATGTGTCTCTGTAAAACATGATATTTTATAGGCTAGCTGTTTAATTGCATTTCGTTGCTTTGTACTTGTACTGAGCAATGACAAAGTTGACTATCTATCTATCTCTCTATCTATCTGTCTATCTCTATCTCTAATTGGCTACAGTTGACAAGTAATCAAACGATTAAGTTTATTTATAAGGTATAGGTAGTCATAAAATGACTGTGGTGCAGTTACCAGCACATTTCTCCAAACGTGCAACAAGATGTTTAGTCTCTCCCAGAATTCTGTCCTCCATGGATCGCTTCCCCATGCCAAAGTTCCTCAGGGTCATGAGGGCAAAGCGTCGATGTTCCTTCCATCGAAGACCGTAGTCAACAAATATAAGTCCTGTCAAATGTTACGCATATCAGTCAAGTCCAAGTTGCTCAATATATATGTGTAAAAATAATCTTAATGATCTCAATTATCAAACTATACACCTTTCCCTTCCGTTATATCAGTGACCAAGATGTTTTGTGGGCGTCCTGAAAAGTCTGCAGACTTGGTCACCAGAGCTTCCTTCACAGCCTTCAAACCAGTAAGAACCACTGCTGGTCTTCCTCCAAAGTAGAGGCTGTAAATGTTCCCATAGCGCTGAGCCAACTAAAGACACACAATACAGCAAGCAGAAAAAGTAACCAGTCATTCAAGACAAGGCCTGATTACAAAGAGATCAACGTCACAAAGAGGTTGTAGCGGGGACAAGGCCTCTAAAGCACCTAATTTCCCACTTACCGTAAGACACGGATGTTTTAATTAATCTCAAGTGAGGGCTTGCTCATGGTTCAGGGAAAAGAATTTAAGAGTTTTTTTCATATGCACACCAGTAACGGAGATGAGTTTAATAAAGGGTTATTTATTAATAGAGGTATATAAGCACAAAATAATGGATTACAAAGGTATATAGGCTCTAAATATTGTATTGCTAGTTATGAAAAGAAACCAAGGGTATTGAATTTACTGAACAACGTACTGAAATTAGTTGATTCTCTAAATGATGTGGCTTTTGAGCAGTGCGCAGAACAATACTAACACAAGCATAAAACTGGCCTAAGTTTGAATAAACAAAAAGCAAAATCACAGTGACTGAATCACAAGAAGTAACCATGTGGGTGAATTTATGACCTGGATGCCTCAGAGCTGTGGTGATGCACGTGCCACGTTGAGGAAGAGAGGCCGCTGCTCACATGGACTGAGAAGGGTCTGCAGGTCAAAGGGCAAGGCCCCTGAAGGTGCAAGCCCTTGGCTGACGCTTTGGACGGGACCACACTGGCAAGGTGGGCTTCCCGCGATGCGTGGTGGCCTCTCCGGTGAGGAACAGAGATCTTCTGCTTTGCAATGAAGGCAGTGACTGGAGAGGCCCTTGAGGTGGATTTCAGTCAGCACTGTATTTGCTTCTGTTTCTGTTCTTAAACTACGTTTGCAGTGACGTATCGTTGCCAATTAGACCTTCAAAATGGATTAACGAAACTTGAAAAACAAACGCAGCTACATGCAGCTCTTCAATAGTCGAACATTACAGTTACAACACTTTAAGATTACTGAGTAAATGAAATAAAACGAACTAAGACTCAAGACAAACAACTAAGATTTAAGATCTGCAGAACTTAGCTAAAGTGCAAAAAGAGGAGAGCCGGCTTCTTTACTCGTAGTTTCTTTAAGGTTACATGTCTCGCTCCCTTCAGGACCAACTCTTTTCGACTCTTTTCGGAAAAGGTTTTGGTTGGTTTGTTTGGTTGCATATAATGAATATGCAATTTCTTTGAATACTGCTCAAGTGTCACATAATGCTTTGGAGAATCTGGGTGTGGTTACACTGAAGTAAAAGAAACTTATAAGCATGCAATTTTATATACAAAACATTACTGTTTCCATAGTGACTATTTCAAATAACTATGGAGCTTACAGATTATGATAGCTAAACGTATACCATACTATGGTTACATACAATTAGTTGAATCATTAACCATTCTAGTCATATAAGAAATAGGAAGTACATAGACAAAAGAATAAAATTGTTCAAAGACAATTTCGAAGTTATAAGTCACATGACCATTTCTAAACAATGCTTAAATGAGCGGTTACAGAATAACTCAGAGTAAAATAAGTGAGTACATTATCATCAATATTTCTGTAGATATGTTGGCAGAAGCTCTATGATTAAAGTATACATAGTCACACAAGCTACAAACTTTATGATCCTACTTCTAATAAAACCACAAGAAGACTTGCGAAAAAAGCAGATTAAACTGTGATTAAGAAACATGTGGATTGCATGTTTCTCACATAAAAGAAAAAGGAAAAAATAATAAAATGAATGAAATGAACACAGTTACAAGTGATCAGAGATCACCACAATAACCTAGATAAATGAAACAGGGTTACAATTCAAGAATTAAAATAACTACTAAGTGTAGGGAGTTTAGTATTAATTCCCCTTCGGCAGGGATTAATCGATTCCTGTCTGACAATTCAACATGTTAACAGCAACAGAGGTGTTCTTCACAGTTTGATAAAGGAAAGGCATTTGATTGGTACTTGATTAAATATCATATTGTGAATAATTTGCCAGAAAGCAGGGCTCTTAGGAGCCTAGTCTTTGCGCAAACCCAATATTTAGACTGGAGGAATGCACTTAAAAGTATCTGGCCACACCCGGGGGTCTGCTCAAGGATTCATGAGGTCTCAACAGTCCCCTCACCCAGGGCTGATTGGTGGGTCATCTTGGCCTTTATTTTAGGCTAGATATCTCTCTTTAGCATGAACCCCCTCATCCTCAGAACATTCTACACATGCACTGTGGAGAGCATTCTAACAGGCTCCATCACCACCTGGTATGGAAACTGCACTGCCATTGAGCGGAAAGCTCTGCAGAGGGTGGTGCGGACAGCCCAGCACATCACCGGGGTCCAGCTCCCAAACCTCCTGGATTTATACACCAGCCGCTGCCTGAGGAAGACCAGGAGGGTTCTAAAGGACTCCACCCACCCAAGCCACTGTTTGTTCTCACAGCTGCCAAGCAGGAGGAGGTACAGAAGCATAAAGTCCAGGACCAGCCGGTTTCTTCCCCCGGGCCATCAGGCTGCTGTACAGCCAGTAGTGCTGGTGTATCGGTCTATAGGTCTGTCACTGCACCTCATCATCATCTCCAGAGACAATCTACACCTCATCCATATCTCATCAGACTCACTCTGATCCTCTACGCCTTCAATCTAGCAAATCTGTACTTAGACATATAGATTGACATCTTGTACATCTCATATCCATATCTTGTATAATCTGGAAGATTTCTATATCAGTATTCTATCCCTGTGTACCTGCATCTCATTTATTTATCTACCTCAGACTAACTGCACATACGGAAATGTGTACAACAGTACGTGTAGTTTTATTTCATAACTTATTACTGTACAACTGTACATTGGAATAGTGCAATACTAGTGTATATTGTGTATATGTGTATATTCATAGTCGGTGTATATATATATTTCTTTTTCTTCTTAGATATTTATATTTTTTGTATTTAAATTCTACTAGGGACCTAGGCACCTAAGATTTTCACTCACTTTCCACCTGTGCAAATGTGATGTGACAATAAATGTGATTTGAAGGTGAGATGTATGTATGTGAGAGAGGGGGAAAGGAATTTTCAAAAGTCACAGTTTACTCCCGTGATGTCCAAAGGTCTCTTCAGGATGTTTAAAAAGGGTGGCATGAGGTTCCATTAAGTTGCACTTAAACTGTTACTCAAAAGAAAAAGAAAGTCTTCAAACCTCTGGGTCAAAGTAGGTCTGTTTTGAGGAGAGCCGCCCCCCTTCCCCCGCTTCTGCTCCAGGTTGCCAAAAGGGGAAGAGCAGATGGGGGTTGAGAGACGTGGCTTTAGCACTCAGCCTTAAATACTATTGGTCCTTCTAAACATCCTGCAGCCTGCAGATGCAGATTTCACTTTGCTCAAAACGTTCTGATCAGTTTATGAATTAAAAACAGCAAAGCACACTACAAGGTCAACAGTAGACAGGTGCTATGGTGCTGAGGTGCTATGGTGCCTACAGACACTTTCTTTTTCACTGTAAAAAGTGATTTATTGACCTATCTGAAAAATACAGAAACCCACAGTAAACTAATTCAGACAATGTTTGCTGCTTTTACCCATGGCAAGCTTCTGGTGAGGAATGTAATTACATGTATTAACTTTAAGTAACTATACGTCTATGTATAAATGAAGCAGAGCTGTTTGGAGGCTTCAGACAGTTACCACAATCCTTTTGGAAGGATAGTGATGGACATCTTTCAGCATTTCCACAGCTGTCCTGACTGCTCTCCTCCTGTCATTCAATGGGCTGCTTGCTTTCCTTATTTATGCCTACCTTCTCAAAGTCTTTCAGAGGATTCGTAATGTTCAGCTGGATCAGGTTCCCGAATATGGGCACAGGCCGGGGTCCAGGAGGAAAGTTCTTGGGCTTCTGGATCCTGATGAAGAGGAACAGGAGGCAGATGAAAATCCAAGCTAGGACCAAAGAGCCCAGCATGGTGTTCTGCTGTTGTACTGATCTTCACAGAGCACACTTTTGGCAACCTTTGGCACATCAAGCCCTCATATTAAACTGACCTCCTAAGCCTTTTTCCAGACTGTTTATATTGTAGACTACGGTTAAATGATTGACAAATTTGCAGAATAGTCCTGTAACCTTTTTTCCAGATTGTTTATACTGTAGACTGCAGTTAAATCATTGACAGGGTTGCAGAATCATCCTGTAGTCAAGAAAAAAAAATCAATGTTAGCTTATCAAATCAACAGGGAATTTAATTGGAAGGTTCTTTATGCGTTTTATTGTAATCCATTCATCCTGCAGGATGATGCAGAATGATGCAGGATGGAGTTTATGGGCTCATGAAAGTTTCCGAAATATGAGTGAATTCTGCATTACACAAATGCACCTTTCAGTCATCTTTATTCTCACTGGCCGCCCATTTCAGTGCTCATGTAAACATGCTCTTGTCAGTTTTGCCTTGCCATTTCCCCTCAGGGATACCCTGACACCATCTTAAGGCCTGTTACGTTACTTTATTAGCTCCATATAGCAGAAACATTATTTTGGCAAGTGGAGTGTTAGATATATCAACTACATCTCAGATGTTGAGGATGAAGCCCCAGAAGACTGATTTTGGGACATTCATAGGGTCCAAGAAGTTAGGGTGGTCCCAGACCTTCCAGAACCCCTTGTATTTTGCACATTGGATGTATGCCTAGTTTAGTGTGCTGACCTTTAAATTCCCTTATAAAAGCTGATAAATTTTATTCTCCACTCATGTAGGATGAGAGGAATATGGAATAACTGTCTCTAGGTACCTTGGATCTTTTTTAAAACAATGCATGTGAGGCCTAAACTGCACTGTCATTATCAAACACTCTACTAGACACCCTCATGTGAATGATTTAACTTCTCTCACACATGTTCCTCCGGCTGGGTTGATACGGTTCTTTATGGTAAGAGGAACTGTCCTAAAGGTAAAACCTTCATGACTGACACCATGCCGGGCTCCTTGCCCTTATATAGGAATGTGATTCAGCTGAACATCCTGTGAAAGACTTTAAGAGAGTTGAGTACCTTGTTCTGTAAATACTTTGCTAACATATTTGCTAACATCTGACCCATATGGGAAAAGATATATGGACATATTTTTATTCTACAATCTGTTTCAGAATATATTGCCATATAACCAAATATATTTCAACATACGCTTATTTTAAATGACATATTGCACATAGAAATGTATCATACAAAAATAAATGTACGTTAAAAATATATATTTAACAAATGCATTTTTTGGCCATTTTCTACAATAAGGAGACTCAGCAATAGACAAGTTTTTGGTTTTATGCTTTGACTTTTCTGCTTGGTGTGATTTATCTCTTTAGTTGGCTGAGCACCCTGGAAGCATTTACAGCCTCTACTTTGGAAGAAGACCAGCTTTTGTTTGGTTTTTGGTTTCTGGTTTGAAGGTTATGAAGGAAGCTCTGTTGTCCAAGTCTGCAGACTTTTTAGGACGTCCACAATGCATCCTGATCACTGAAGTAGCTTAAGGAAAAGGTCTGTCTTAAATCTGTCTCAGTGAACAGAGTCTGTGTTTATCTTACGTTGTCTGTTTGGATTATTAAGATTATTTTTACACATATAAATGGAGCAGCTTAGAAAAGAGTCACTGATGTGTGTAAAAAGTGTCATATTTGTTGACTATGGTCCTCAATGGAAGGAGTATCGGCGCTTTGCCGTCATGACCCTGAGGAGCTTTGGCATGGGGTCTATGGAGGACAAGATTCTGGGAGAGAAAAAACTGTTGAGAAACTAAGAACTCCTTTGACTTTGTAAATTGCAGAGCACCTGTTTCAGTGTTTGGGACTGTTCAGAGACTTTGGAGACATTCCTGAGCTGTGAAACAAGGTCTGTCGATACTGAGAAACAGAAAATGAGGACACTGAATTCAATTTGCTCATTTTATTTATTTTTATTTCATTTCATTCAAACAAAGTAATCATTCAAAATATTCAAAAAATAGATATTTTTCTAACAAAATAAGCACCAGTAGTATTTTCCCTTCAATGTGAACCTTTGAGAGTGCGTTTACATTGTTTGTACCTTGATGAATGAAAAATGTACCTGCATAGTATCTTTATTTATTTCTGTTTCTCACCTATCCTGTTAGATTTGGGGAAGGATGGAAAAGTTGTCAGGTTTGTAACTACATAACCATAACAGTATTATTTGCACTTCAGGTTCCCACGGTGTTAATGTTTTCCGAAGCCTCCTATATCTACTAGTGGCTTACTTTTACAACTACACAGGCATATTAGTGCTTCTCCAGCCACTTCACACAACAAGATAGATACCTGTTCATGCAGGTACAGAGACTAATTGTACTGGAGGGTGGGGACCCAGATCCTTTCACGTTTCAGTCATCCAGGGTAATAACTACTTAACAATACCCCTACAAGGCAGTGTGAGATTTCCCTGCTACATTGGTATTGGTGACTTTTTATGAGGTCAGGTTCAAGTAAATGAGCATGGTATCAGGCCAGTATCGGTATCAGTGCCGGCCTAGTTATTAACAATAAACAAAGACAGATGTTCTTTACATCTAGGACAGTATTTCTTAATCTTGCTGCTGAAGACTGTTGAACCTGTTGTACCTGCAATGCTGTGGATTCCAATAAGTCTTTCAGTTAAGAAGTGCTGCTTATTAAATCCCAATGAAAGTATAGTATTTTATTCAGTGTTACAAGATAACTAAACACTTTGCTTATTACTTCATTATTTTCTTAATTACAGAAATTCCTATTATTGGATCTAATCTAATCTCCTGTATTATTGCTTTATACTATACTGAACAATTTTCTTGTACCATAAATCCCCAAGAAATTCTCATTACACTGGTATTTGGAATCTGCTCTACATTTCTCTAGCTGGCTGTCTCAGTCTGACTCCCATCCTGTATGGTTTGGGTGTGAGTGTGACTCCATATAAAGGAGTGAAGTCTGGTTCTCCTGCATCTTCAGGCCAGAAGAACTGAAACCGGCGCAGCAGAGTGACCAAGATGAGGAAGAGCTCCATTCGAGCCAGACCTTCACCAAGACACATACGAGGCCCTGCGGACATGCAGAACACATTAACATGGTTTGTCAATGCATTAGTATCTGCACACCGTTTTTACAGAGCAGTGATTTATGAGTTCACATTCAAACTTAAAATTCTTAATGATTCTTAAAAGTTTCCATACCAATGTTAAGCATAGGCATGTAGTTAAAAAATATTTTAAATAGAGAACTTAGACTAAATTTAACTGAATAAAATTATATAAAAACATCAAAGAGGAAAATTCAGTGTAAACAGTTTCACACTGTCGTCGTCTCTCACCAGCAGAAAAGGGCAGGAAGGCCTCCGGCTTCTCGAACTGTCCCTGCTCATTCAGGAAGTTAGCTGGATTGAACTCATGAGGAAACTTCCACTGGCCTTCCTCACTCAGCACTGAGGAGAGGTTTGCGATGACAAAAGTACCCTGTATCACAAATAAAAACAACAATGAGATAAACAAGTGACAGCAGTAAGTGATAGTAATCTTGGAAAGTATTTGAAATCTTCACTTTTGGGATGCTGTAACCCATCAGTTCAGTATCTCTGCTGGTGCTGTGAAACGCAGTTGGGACAGTAATGGCAATGCGCTGACATTCATGGATCACAGCCTGTGTGTACGGCATGTTGAGTCTGTCCTCAAAGCATGCTTGAGCTTTACCCTCCAGAACCTCATCAATCTCCTGCTGACACCTCTCTAGAGGAACATGAGCACATACAGCACTGTTACCATCTCATTAATTAACCATTTGCATTGTCAGTCAACTTGACTGCATTCTTTTTCTCCTTTTTTGGTTTACTGCTGTGCACTTTTACAGACACTGATGGTCCAAAACAACATGATCACCATCATGGGGACACCATGAAGTGGTGGATCTGGTCCGCAACAATGTTTAGGTCAAACTAGTATCCTCATCATAGGTGCCTGAGAAACGGAACACCTGCTCCTCTACTGCTATTAGACGGGGCAAACATACATGTTTGGTCTCCACTTTGTGTTCAAATTAGAGTTCTGCATGGGACCGATTTTTGAGTCCTGCTCCCAGCCTGCTCCCACAGAAAATCTGCACTGTTTGTCCCTCGCTCCCCCCCTGCAACCTAGGTTTGCTTGGCGTGTTGTAACTGGCATGAGGGTGCACGTTTCAAAAATGACGCCATTGCTGTGCATTAGCATTCTAGTGCCGTTTACATGCACTCAACAATCCGATCATAATTGGATTTCTGCAGTTCTCTGCTTCAAATGGTCATGTAAACAGCATACTCCAATTTCTTAGATCAGAGTAAGGTCTAGAAATCCAATTAAGAAATCTAAAAAAGAGAGTTTGATTTTAGCTCAGTAATCAGATTCCTCAGTGCATGTGAACTCTTACTCGGATTTCTTTTGTATTTCTCAGTCTGCACATGCACGAAACAGGCAGCAACACTTTTGGAGTGGCGCTGAAACTAGATTTCTAGATTTAAGATACTTTCACTTGCCAAGACAACATGTTTGGCCGTCTTGATTTTCTAAGTGAAAATAAGTTATCACATCCTCTACAGAGAACACACACCTACACATTGTAATGCATGATTCCTGTTAATTTGCTGAATTTAATATACTGGGAAAAAAGAACAAAATGTGGCCAAAATGTGCAAAATTTTAAACTTAATGCTAAATATTTGCAGATAAATGCCATATTTAAATTATATCTTGTAGATGATGTGTTAACTTATATATTATCACTTACATAGGAAATCAATAAATTATATTATTTCACCAGGGGTATATAAACATTTGTATACGACTGTAAAAATAACGTAAAAAAAAAAACTAAACTAAATTTTCCACATCTCTCTGGACAATGAAACATATGGCATATAGTACTGTTGCTGTTTCTGTTAAATCTGGCCACAAACACTCTTAAAATGACAAATGACATGATGCAAATATAATGAAGTGCAGTGGGTGTTTTATAGATGAAACCTTGAATGTCTGGACGAGTGATGAGGTAGAGGAATGCTGTTAGGAGGGTGTTGGCGGTGGTATCTAATCCAGCAACATGCAGATCGATAATGTATCTCACAAGTTGTCCGTCATTGAAGGAAGATCCATCATCTCTCTGTTGAAAAAGCCATTATCTGGTAAGATTGCTTGGTCAGTTTTGTGTGGTCTATTTATGTTGATACAAGACACAGATATTAGACACTCACTAATGTGTACAATGTATGTTGATGTGTGTGTGTGTGTGTGTGTGTGTGTGTGTGTGTATGTGTGCTGTGGTGTAAATGCACTTTATTGGTCTCGTTTGTTGTTTTTGTACTTTTTGCGTAGATGTGTTGACGTTTCTTTGCTTGCTGAGGACCGAGACAGTGGTCAAGAATCCCCCGTGACTCAGAGGCTTCCTGGGCTGGCAGCATGGCATAAGCAAGTCTACAATGCAGCTATGTGATTTCCCAGGTCAGGTGCTTAAGTGACTCTACACCCCAGCTACATGGCTTCCCAAGCTGTCCATCTGAGTGACTCTACACCACAGCTATGAAGCTTTCTGGGCTGGCCTTCTGAGGGACCGCACACCGCAGCTATAAGGCTTCCTAGGCCGGCTGCCTCAGTGACTGTACACTGCAGCAACATGTATTCTTGGACCAGCCGCCTGAGCAACTCTTCACCACAGCTATGAAGATTCTCAAGTTAAGAGGGACCTTGCACTGCGGCTAAGGACTCTTTTCAAGCCAGCTAAGCAACTCTGTGGTCGCTCCCCCTGTCCTATTTGTATATATGTGTGCCGTGGGGTGTTTGTTTATTGTTGATTGTGTATCAACAATAAACAATATTACATTTTTTTATTATTTCTATTACAAGACACCAATAGTGGAAGTACTATCATCAAATAAGCTCTCTAAAATCACACCACAAAAACCTTCACAGTAACACCAACACACCTTATCAAGCTCATCCAGATAGCAGTCGACAAAGTTTCTTGGCTCTCCTGGGACCCTTGTTGTTTTGTGTTTAATGATCATGTTCAGAACCATTTTCTCAACAGTTTGGAAGTTTTTGAAGACCTTCCTAAAAGGAAGGGGCAGAGATCTCAGCATAGGAAGTGTATCATAGATCTGCAAGACATTAAGAGACAATAATAGCACTACATTAGATTTCAGTGTCCTGATGATGTAACTGTTTTGGCAAACTAAGGCATTTCAATTATTAAATCATAGTTTTTCAAAACCTTTTATGTCATACAATGGGTGTACTATATTGCTGGTGTCGGAAGAAAACCTCATATCTCCGAAATGATAACTTTACAGGAGAAGGAAAAACATACTGTATTTTTAATGTAAGTCAATGGAAACAGACTTTTTTCCAAGACATTTTGGCCCATTTCTGTTGGTCCGTTCCTCATGAAATTTACACACAATGTAAAGGCCAACAGGCATTTTATGGTGATATGTATCAGTTAATTAAAGGGGAACGAGTTAAGTTTGGCTATGGTTTTAATGTGCTGTTTTACTATTGAAGGTGTTGTAGAAAAAATGAAGGGAAATCCAGACCACTGATGTCTTTGGTCTAGTCAATTTCAATCTGCGAGAGGACTTAGGTCTCAAGAATAACCGTGGTCACATGCACAGTCAAAACCACATTCACTTGTTTAACCACTTTAAACTCATGAGGGGCATTAGCCAGATATGCTCCATCAGTTAGCTTGGATTGAGTGGCATTGCAGGGGGGGGAAGCAGGTTTTGTTCCATGTCAGAAAGCTCCTTTGTACAGCTGTAAGTGAAGTATGTGTCATAGTTTTGATCTCCACTCCTCAACTGTCTCTTTCAACACACTTTAACATCTGAGGCTAATGCACCTGAAAAGTTCACTAATCCAGTTTTACATCTTGTTGGATTCTTTAAGGCTGATTGGCTGGTTAAGCTGTAGTTGAATGTCCTCTAAAGCCAGACATACATTGTGCAATTTTAGACATCTTGCTCTACTCACGCCAATACTGAACAAACATGCTGCTACAGCAGCTTTGCTAACTTGTACCAAACATTGCAGTGAACCTAAAATTAGGCAGTGGTGTACACGGTAGGTCTCTCTACAGCCTATTTTACAAAGACAATTACAGCAGTCGGCATAAACAGACTTTGGTAGCAAATGTTGACTTTTTCACCACTGCTTTGCTTGCCTGCATGTCTTCACCCATATTTTGGAAGTGGCTGTGATTCAAAAACAGATTAATATTGCACAGTGTATATCTGGCAGGAATATGCCAAACCAGAATATTTCCCAGAGACTTGGCAGCCGACTGCCATGGTGACATCAACACTACGCTGAGTGAGCAGACCCTAATCCACGGCCAGCTTGTGTTGTTGGTTCATTGGCGTGGCAGTGTACACTAAGCTTACGTCACATGGTATCAGGTGGTTTTGGATGTTGGTAATGATACCCAATACCAGTATCAGTATCGATGCATCCCTAATCAAATCTTCACTGAACCTTATAATGTAATCATCTACTTTAATGCAATGATACAATCACTCACCATTCCCCAGGGTCCATTGGTGATTTTTGTATTTTCAGTGAAGCATCGAACATATATTTTATGGTTGTCGTCCTCGTAGTCGTAGCGAGTACCAAATAAAACCAGGTAGATGATATTTGATGCAGCATCATGAAATAAAGTCTGAGGATTTACGAAGCCTCCTGCAGTAGATGTTCACAAAGACAACATATATTCTTCATAAATGTGCCTCATAAAACATTATGCTTTTACTTGCTTCTTAAAACTTAGAAGAGCTTATGAGGTTTAGTAGGTAGAACTGGATATCATACAAATTTTTGTAATCAAATGATGGATGCTAAAACAATTAACAGCTTGCGTGTTGAAATTTAGTATTGAATGACATCAAATTCTCTGATACTTGGTAGTACTGAAGTCATTTGATTGGTACCATAAAGGTATTTTACTTCGATACCCAGCTCTGATAGAGAGTAATCAAATTACTGAAGTCAATTACCAGCACTTTTCTCTAAGCGTGCAACAAGATGTTCAGTCTCTCCCAGAATCCTGTCCTCCATTGACTGCTTCCCCATGCCAAAGTTCCTCAGGGTCATGAGGGCAAAGCGCCGATGCTCCTTCCATGTAGTACCGTAGTCAACTAATATGACTCCTGCCACATTTTACTCATATCAGTAACTAATTTCAGAGTTATGCTATTTGTAAATGGAAAAACTATCCAAATATTTAGTCATCATAAGAAGAACACTGATTAACCACAGTCTGTTTCAGAGGTTTGTGCTCATTTGATCACTGAGACAGATTTATGACAGACCTTTCCCTTTCGCTGCATCACTGACCAGGAGGTTTTGTGGACGGCCTGAAAAGTCGGCACCATTGGTCACCAGAGCTTCCTTCACAGCCTTTAAACCAGTAAGAACAACTGCTGGTCTTGCTCCAAAGTAAAAGCTGTAAACATTGCCATAGCGCTCAGCCAACTAAAGACAAACAATACAGACACCAGAAAAAGTCAGCAGTTATTTAACATATAAAACCAAATTACAAAGAGTTCAATTAGAAAAAAGGTAGGTCTGCTATTATTTCATAGACAGTCACCTACTGACATTTACTTTTGCTCAGTGTGTGTCTGCTTCACAAAGTTATTAATCCTCACACTATAAAATTTGGTATTGTACAAGCCTGTTTTTTTTTTTTTTAAGTCGGGACACTGTGTAAAATGTAAATAAACAAAAAAATGCAAAGATGAGCAAAGTCATTTAAGCCTTGTATTTAAATGAAAATAGTACAAGAACAACATATCAAATGTTGACATTGCAAAATTGTATTATTTTTTTGAAATTATATTTCAATTTCAGTTTGATGCCAGCAACACATTTCAAAAAAGCTGGGACAGGTGCATGCTTACCATTGTCTTATATTGCATCTTGCATGTTTACTATTGTCTTATAGCCTAGCAAGGCCCTGAAAAAGGCCCTTCCCTGAAAAAGATGTGGTCTGGATGGTAGGTTGCTCCAAAACGTTCATATCGTTCAGCATTAACGGTGCCTTCACCCATAGCATGTGCACTAATGCCCCCCTATACCATAACTTGCATTTGTAAATGCAGCGATTGAACAGACAGTGGCTTTTGGAGCCCTTGCAGTGATTTCCACTAAAGAATCATGTCTGTTTTTAATGCAGTACCGCCTTAGGGCCCGAAGGTCCAGGCCAGCAAATATCAGTTTTTGGCCTTCTCCCTTGCATACAGAGATTTCTCCAGATTCTCTGAATCTTTTAATGATATTTACCGTTGACGATAAAGTCCCCAAGTTCTTTGCTATTTTACATTGACACGTATTAATCCTAAATTGTTGTACTATTTGCCCACACAGTCTTTCACAGAGTGGTGAACCCCTCCCCATCTTAACTTCTGAAAGACTCGGCCTCTCTGGGGTGGTTTTTTTATACCCCGTCATGTTACTGGCCTGTTGCCTGTTAACCTTAGTTAATTAGTTGTTAGATGTTCCAACAGGTGTTTTTTAGTGTCTTTTGTTGTCGCTGATGAAATCTGTTGCTGGCATCAAATTCAAAATGGGCATATATTTTTCAAAAAACTATAAAATTTCCCAGTTTCAACATTTGATATGTTGTCTTTGTACTATTTAAACATAGGACTTGAATGATTTGCATATCATTGCATTCTGTTTTTATTTACGTGTGCACAACGTCCCAGTTTTGTTTGAAAGGGGCTTTAAAAAAACTTTCTTTGACAAACTGCTGAATTACTTTGACAGACAATTTTTGCCAACATTGATTTCATGGTATAAGGTTCACTTTAAAAAGAAAATCTTACAAACAATCAAACACTATCAAACCAAAGCTGACTATGGTATAAAAAACAAATATTTTGTTTTATTTATTATGCCTAGACCAGCATTAATAGAGCACAGTACTGTACCCTCTTGAAGTCTTTCAGAGGATTGGTGATGTTCAGCTCAAACAGATTCCCGAATATGGGCACAGGCCGGGGTCCAGGAGGAAAGTTCTTGGGCCTCTGGACCCTGACGAAGAGGAAGAAGAGAAGAATGAAAATCCATATCAGCACCAAAGAACCCAGCATGTTGCACTGATCTCCCCAGTGCACACCTTTGCAAACCTTTGGTACATCAAGCTCTCATATTAAACTGCCCTTTTAACCCTTTTTCCAGACTGTTTATACTGTAAACTGCTGTTCAATCATTGACAGGGTCACAGTTCTGTAACCAAGGAGAAAAAATTGTGTTGCTTGGGAATGTGATTTGCTGTGTTTTTCATCATCAAAACTTGAATCTTTAGTCTGCTTCAGCCACCTCTTATGAGGCCAGTAGTCTAAGTTAGTCGCTGTGATGCACTGGTATACATACAAAAACTACTGGAAACCACTAGCATTTAGACATATCCATTTAAAAATGAGAAATAATATGTAAGAGATTTGTGGCTGGGTGAATTTCATGTATGTGCAGTTTTTACATGAGAAAAAATGAATTAACTTCATCTGCAAATGTGAATGATGGACTGGCAACCTGTCCAGGGTGTTTCCTGCTTCCGCCCAATGACTGCTGGAATAGGCTCCAGCAACCCAATGACCCAGGAGGATAAGTGGCTTAGATGTGTGTGTGTGAAAATGTGAATGAACAGAAATTAAACTCTCTCACCTAGACAAGCTGACGGATTAGAAAGAAGTGAATCGTAAGATAACTGTCTACAAATGTAACCCAGTATACTAGTAAACAAATTAAATATAATAAAGTATCTATAGAGTGCTATAGAGTATCTTTATTATAGTGTAGTAGTACAGGTTCACAAATTTGGACACAGGCTAGGAGCACAAGGGGAAAGTAAAAAAAAAAACAAAAAAAAAAACACTGTCTGTTTTGGTTCTGTGCTCTGTTTTGTTTTACCTTTAAAGTTCCAGCTTCTTCACTAATTAACTCTGTAGGGTGAACATTTACATTTACAGCATTTAGCAGACGCTCTTATTCAGAGGGACTTAGAAAAGTGCTCACTTAGAAAACATACCCTAGCTAGTACAAACAGGTTATAGTCCAAACTACCTATGAGCTCAGACAGTGCCAGACAAAAAAGCCAGTGCTATTACCTAGAAAGAGAGAAACAGAGTTAATCATAGCAGTACAATGCATTCCAATAACTGCTGCACAAAGAGATGGGTCTTCATTTTGCGTTTGAAGACTGCGAGAGAGTTCGTGTTCAGACAACCAGTGGAAGTTCGTTTTACTACCAGGGTGTCAGGACAGAGAAGGGTCTTGAGTCTTAAGTGGGGGGCTGGTCCATTTTTGGCTTTGTAGGCAAGCATTAAGGTTTATATCTGATGTGGGCAGCTACAGGAAGACAGTGCAGGTGGAACAGTGGAGTGACATGAGTCAGCTAAGGAAGACTAAAGACAATGAATGTATGCAAGAGCAGTTAAATCGTTGACATGAGGGTGGCTGGTAATCTCTGTTTACTTTAGAAAAACACAGGCATACAGACTTTAATGTTTCCTTAAACAAACTTTGTTTCCTTGATTGTGCATTCTCCTGTATTCATTTGATCCTATCCTTATGCAAAAAGTTTATAGATAATTTAACCCTTGTGTGGTTTTCATGTTCTGTGGTCTGGTTGGCCCACTGCATGATTGTTTTTTTTTAAATCAATACAGCCACAACAATTTATGTAAAAATACCAGATGTTTAAAATGGCCAGCACAGGGTTCTCCTTTAGCAGCTGTAGCCAGTCAGCAGCCTGTCCATGTTGTCCACCCTCACACACACACACACACACACACACACACACTAACAGCAGGCCATGTAGGAGGAGAACAGAGTGAAGGGATACAGCACCTCCACACTTTTACTCCTCGCGGGTTCACCCCAAAATTTGGTAAATTCCCCATATATACCCCTATGTACATATATCACACCTAGGATAAATAATATACAGACGTTCTAGACCTAATCACAGAGAAAAACAGTTAAAAGTCTGAGTGGATATAGGACATGCAGAAAATCAACACTATATAAGATTTGGGGATTTGGAAACTTCTCTGGTGGGACTATGTAATTGTACGCAATGTGAATAAGAACTTTTTGTATTGTTAATTGTGCTTTGGACCCCCATAAGAAGATAAATCTGACTTTTGCGAGTGCATTAAAAGAGTATTTGTAGAGAACTCATTCAAAACTTGGTGAAGGACTTGTCTTCTGAGAATATGAGTGAATTATCACTATTGTCTTAATCTTAATCAGCATAGTGTTGTTTTTGCATTTGAGGCCTAAACATTAAGTCAGATCTTCTTTTCTGAGCCTGTGCGTGTGACATTAAAGGGCCCATGTCCTACATTTTTTTGTATTTAAATTTTCCCCCTGGTGTCTACTCTCTACATTTGTGTGGTTTTATGCACCAAAATAGACATAAGTCATTTTTTCTTGACCGTTTTGTAACTTTATCCCTTAAAGGTGAACAGGCTGTCTCTGTTACTGTACTTTTAAGAATGATATATGTCAATAAGCTCTGTTCTGATTGGATGTCCTGTGTTGATCCAAAAGAAGGCCAGGCTGATACACTTCTTATAACTTCAGTGAGAATGAATGGAGCTAAAGTGATTTAAGCTTTATCACAGACACAGTGAATTCAAAACAGGCTGGTTTTGCAGCTCAGATTCCATACATGAATTGTATTGACTGGGCAGTGAACAGTACAACCTTTAAACAGTGTTTACACATATGTTAAACTCTTATATTTCAAATAAGTGAGGGAAATTTAGTTTTCCACTATAAGGGCCATTTAAAAGCTAGCAAGTTATGTTGTCTTTCAAAGACAAACAATATGTGTTTTACACCTAGTATTCTTTGTCCTGTTCTCGAGGAGCCACTGCCAAAGTTTGAACTGCTCCCTGTCCAAAACCTCTTGATCCTAATGAAGCTCATTAAGATTCAGATAATCAGTGGATCAGCTGGATGAGGTGTTCCTGACTGCAGAATTAAAAAAATGCACCATTGAATCCTAGCAAGACTCCAATTTTTTACTTAATGTTACAAGACGCTTAAATATTTTGCTTATTTTTCCACACTACTTATTATTCTCTTAATAAAATCTAATCTACTCTGGTATTCATGCATTACAGTATATTCAACAATTTTATTGTACCATACATTACATTGTCATTACATTAGCACTTCGTGTTCTACATTTCTCTAGCTGGCTGTCTCAGTCTGACTCCCATCCTGTATGGTTTGGGTGTGAGTGTGATTCCAAATACAGGAGTGAAGTCTGGTTCTCCGGCATCTTCAGGCCAGAAGAACTGAAACCGGCGCAGCAGAGTGACCAAGATGAGGAAGAGCTCCATGCGAGCCAGACCTTCACCAAGACACATACGAGGCCCTGTGGACATGCAGAACACATTAACATGGTTTGTCAGTGCACTAGTGTATAAGACATTAAACAGGAAAGCCTGCTGTTAGTTTTGCGGTATACTTTAAACTCTCACCAGCAGAAAAGGGTAGGAAGGCCTCGGGCTTCTCGAACTGTCCCTGCTCGTTCAGGAAGTTAGCTGGATTAAACTCATGAGGAAACTTCCACTGGCCTTCCTCACTCAGCACTGAGGCGAGGTTTGGGATGATAATTGTGCCCTTCAACAAAGAGAAAGACAAATAGATAAACAAGTGACACTAATAAGTGAGAGTAATACTCAGAACGTAATTGAAATCTTCACCTTTGGGATGCTGTAGCCCATCAGTTCAGTGTCTCTGCTGGTGCAGTGAAACACACTCAGAGGGACGGTTTTTGCAATACGCTGACACTCATTGATCACAGCCTGTGTGTACGGCATTTTGAGTCTGTCCTCAAAAGATGCATGAGCTTTACCCTCCAGAACCTCATCAATCTCCTGCTGACATCTCTCTAGAGGAACATGAAGCAGAGTGCAAATTGCAGTGTTACTGCTGTGTCACTACTCCGTGTGACATACTGTTCTCCTAATTTACACTATACACTACTGTGCAAAGGTCGGAGGCCCCTTATTTATGTAATTTCCAGTCAAAAGGCCATTAAGTACAAGTTATTCATTTATCAGGAGATATTTCTGAGGAGATAAGAAACACGATCATCTACTTTCATAAGGAAAGAGAAAATCAAAGGAAAATATGTGAAAAAAGGAGTTTACAAAACTGGAGCTCAGAAAAAACCCTGAAACCTGGCAGACCACCAAAACTGTGTCCATCAGATCGTCACATCCTCGCCCAGGGATCCACCTCCCCGCCTGCAGAGGTCGCTCTCACCTGCATGTTCTTTTTTGTGAAGTCTTGTTAGAGGGTTTCTCTGTCAGTTCTGAGCCTTATTGTTTGTTGTTATGACCTGTTGGATTTTGAGTTTTGGACAATATTTTGGTTTTGGCGACACAGAACTTGAGATTTGTTCCCTTTTTTACCAGAATTGTCTTTAAACCTTTGAAATTGCCCAGTTTGTAAAGATTGCTTGCACTTGCATCCTACTCGCTTCCCTTCTTCGGCATTACACAGATGAATAGGATTAAAGCTTTCATGTTTGAGAGAGAGGGGAAAATCATGTTCCACTCTTGCTTCAGATGTGAAAAAATCCAAAAGAGTTCCTGTCTGTGAGAAGGCAACTCAACACTATCACATTCACAAGAATCAAGAAGCTCTTACTGAGAAAAAGAAAAAAATGCAAATCAAACAAAGAAGCTGCTGGTGTTCTCAGAACAATGGACTGACCACCCCAGAGTCCAGGCCTCAGTGTCAGTAAATGTGTTTAGGTTTAGTTGGATCATGGGAAACAGAAAATCCAACTTCTAAGACTGAACTTTGGAGGTGTGGAAAAATCACTACAGACTGTGAAAGGAAGTGAAAGCTGTAAGTTAGGCTGTGAGAGCTCGACCTGCCAGAGTCTCTGCTGCTCTCTGTTAACACTGCATACTGTAATCAGTCTCTCTTAACAGAACTAACTGTCTGTTTCTTTGCTAAGCTGAATAATTGCCCATCCTCTGTGGTCTGATGCTGTGGCTTCATCCGCCTTGATCAGGTGCTCACTGCTCACCAACCTTCTGGACTGTTTTGACCACCATGGAACTTCCTGCTGTACAACGCTGTGCAAACCTCACCTGCATGAACTGACCCTCCTGATGATGCTGCTGCATTTTTTAATCATAGACATTGCTTCTCCTGCTTTTCCCTTTTCTGTACTTGTGGTCTAACCTCATTCTCTGCTGTTATTGTTTGCTATCCAGTGTCGACCAGGGGAGGATGGGTTCCCATTTTGAGTCTTGGTTCCTCTCAAGGTTTCTTCCTCTTGCTCTTAGAGTTTTGCCTTGCCCCTCCTCTGTTATTATTGGCTTGCTCATGGGAGCTCAGACCCAGATTTTTTTTCGTAAAGCTGCTCTGTGACAGCATCTGTTGTAAAAAGTGCTACATAAATAAACTTTGACTTGACTTAACAGTCTTGAAAGGTAAATACTGGGCACACTAAATCCTAAAAAAATGTATTTTTGCTTGTTGAGGCTTCTTCTGTGTAATTTCCTGTTAAATGTTTCCTGATTTTTTTTGCTTAATGACAATTTTGACTGCAAATTAAATAAATGAAGTGTGAGCTCTGACATTTGCACAGTACTGTTTATATCAAAAAATACATTCATATGTAAGTCTTCTGTTTTCATTGTGTTGCACTTAGCATTTATCTGCTTGTATCATATTCAATTTGCTAGTGGAATAAATGCAGTGCAGTGGATGTTTTACAGTTCTAACCTTGAATGTCTGGTTGTGTCATGAGGTAGAGGAATGCTGTTAGGAGGGTGCTGGAGGTGGTATCTACTCCAGCAACATTCAAGTCTATAAGATACCTCGCAAGTTGTATCTCATCAAAAGACGATCCACCATCTCCTCTCTGTCGACAAAACATAATCTGATAAGACTGCCTGCCCAACTGTACATGATCTATATTAATAGAGATGATGGCAGTGCTATGATTAAATGAGATTAATGTTAAATCACACCACAACACCTCCACAGTAACAACACACACCTTATCAAGCTCATCCAGGTAGCAGTCGAGAAAGTCTCTTGGCTCTCTTGGGACCCTTGATGTTTTGTGTTTGCTGATCATGTTTGCAAACATTGTTTCAATTGTGTGATAATTTTTGAAGGCATTCTTAAAGGGAAGGGGCAGGGATCTCAGCATAGGAAGTGTATCATAGATCTGCATGAAAAACAAACAAATCACCCATAGTATTACATTACATTTTCCAATATTAATTTAACTGTATGATGTTATAACCATCATATATACACAGGAGAGGCCAGGAGTTTTGCTATGAGAAGTATACTTTATCAACACTAGCAGTAAAGACAAAAAACACAGCCAAGAATGGTAGGCAAGGCCATAGGTCTTCACTTTACAGTAGTAATATATATATATATATATATATATAGAGAGAGAGAGAGAGAGATAAATATATATATATATATATATATGTATATAAATATATATATATATATATATATATAGTTCAAACCGCCTAATGCAAACATATGTGATCAGGAGATTAATGGATGACTCACCATTCCCCAGGGTCCATTGACGATCTTTGTATTTTCAGTGAAGTGTCGAATATATTCTTTGAGGGTGTTGTCTTCATAGTTGAAACGAGTCCCGAATAAAACCAGGTGGATGACATTTAAAGCAGCTTCATGGAACAAAGTCTGAGGATTTATGAAGGCTCCTAAAACAAACATTCATCATAAAAATGTGTTTCTGTGACAGCTGATGTTTTTATTTACAGTACTGTACTGAAGTCAGAGACCACTCTTAATTCATTTCCAGTTAAAACAGCCTTTAGTATCAGGTAAAAAAGCAGAAAACATATTTACCAGAAAATTACACAGAAGCCTCAACAACAATATATATATATATATTTTTTTTTAGTATTTAGTGTGTGAATTTATTTATTTTAGAATTTAATTATGTAGTGTGTCTCATTACAGCTTCCATTCTTGCTTGCTCTCAGTTTATCTAAGAAATCTGCAGGGAGATTTTTTCCAAAGTTCAGTCTTAGAAGTTGGTTTTCTGCTTCTCATAATCCAAGTAAACCCAAACACACACAGTGATGTTTGTGTGTGACTCTGGTGTGGTCAGTCCATTGTTCTGAGAAGACCAGCTGCTTTTTTGTTTAATCCACAAATTCTTTTTTGCCTGTTTCCTTTTCTCAGTGAGGTTCTTCTTGACAGCTACACACCCTTTCAGACCCATAGCGCTGAGTTATCTTCTCACAGTGAAAGGATGGACAGAAACACCTGTGGATGTTTTCAGATCTGAAGCAGCTCGATTTTCTCCCCTCTCTCAAAGATGAAAGCTTTAAGTGCTGTTTATCTGATGGGGACACATTTTTGGGGTCTACCAGGTCTTGGTAGGAGTTGGTTGTTAGGAGTCCTGCTTTTTTAACTCAAGTCTTGGAAAATCTTGTTTTTTTTCAGTGATTTTCCTTTCACTTTCCCCTTTTCTATGCAAGTGGATTATCTTATATCTAAGCTCTTTTCCTGAAAAATCTATAATGTAAGAGTTATATTGACTGAAAATTATGTAAATGAAGGGTGGTCTCTGACTTTTGCACAGTACTGTGCTTGTCCTAAAACTTACTGAAGTCATTTTATTGGGTAACGGTAATCAACAGTTAAATTATCACATTGTTCCATTTTACTTTGACTTTCAAACTAAAAGGGTAATTAAATTATTGATGTGCAATATTACCAGCACATTTCTCCAAGCGTGCCACAAGATGTTCAGTCTCTCCCAGAATCCTGTCCTCCATAGACTGCTTCCCCATGCCAAAGTTCCTCAGGGTCATGAGGGCAAAGCGTCGATGCTCCTTCCATCTAAGATCATTGTCAGCAAAGGCAATACCTATCGCATTTTATTCATGTCAGCAACTCATTTCAAAAAGGTGCTATTTTTATGTGTAAAAATGATCATAATGGTCCTAATTAAAGAAGAAGAACACTGATTAACCACCGTTTCTTACAGTAATACATGCTAAGTTTAATTAGAGACAGATTTAAGATGGACCTTTCCCTTCTGTTACATCGCAAACCAGGATATTTTGTGGGCGTCCTGAAAAGTCTGCAGACTTGGTCACCAGAGCTTCCTTTATAGCCTTAAAACCAGTAAGAACAACAACTGGTCTTGCTCCAAAGTAAAGGCTGTAAATGTTCCCATAGCGCTGAGCCAACTTTAAACAAGCAGAAAAAAAAATCATTAGTTATTCAAAAGCAAATGGGTCATTGATAAGACATGCATTTTTGTGTCCAAGTCCATTACTTTCCCAAAAAAAGAATTAAATAAATACAAGACATACATCGCATTATTCAACAATATTCAGTGTATCCATATAAAATTCATGTTAGTTTCTTTTTGCCTCCAAAAGTCCAAAACTGTTGGCTGGTGCAACCATCCAACCATGTATGCTGATTAAGAAAACTATCAATAAAAGGAAACGTTAAAATAAAATAGTTTGGTGTGATTTTATGTTTGAAAATTTAAACATGTTGCAGAACAAGGCAACTGTAAAAGTTATCAACTCTCTAAAACTGTGGTCTACAAGTTCTTAAATGTCAGGTTCCCAAATGTCAGGCGTCGCAACCAAGAACCAAAATGGACTTTTATTCTGACATACTTACAAAAGAGGGCCTCTTTCACAAATTTTGGAAAAAATATCATTTTGAGTCTTGGTTAGAATGGTTCAGTTTACCATGTCAGGTAGTCTGACCTGGAAAACCATGAAAATGTATAATTATTATAATAATGTTTGTTTATTTGAAAAAATGTAAAAAGGATAAACAGTTTTTACAGGTCTCTAATCAGATGCCTGTTTAATTTGAAATTAGTCTGAAAAGTCAGGTGGCACAACCAGTAAGTCAAATTGTGCAACCAAACCAGTACAGTTTACCCAACTGAAATGGGCAATTAAATGCTTTGATAACACTATTAACTATATTTAAAATTTAAAATGGACATAGAAATAAATGCAAATATATATGCAGATATAAAAATGCACATCATGTCTTTTTTGATAAATAGGGTTTTCAAAATGACTATCTTGTCATCTCAAAATGACTATCTAGTCCCCGCACTATCTTTGTACTTACGGAGGACATCTGTACAAAATGCCAATGCAAAGACATGATACAGACAAAACTGACAGGGAACTCTGATTATAATGACATCAGGTGCATTTTATTTTTATTTTTGCAGCATTAAAATGTAGAATTTGATGATTTTTTTATTCATTAGCTTTAGATAAATGTATATTTTAATGTACTGTCTGTTTTTTCAGATATCTTTGTGTATGCTTATAAATATATAAACCATGTCACTGTCATTCATAACATAAAATGATAAGAGCCCCTGTACCTGTGAACAAACCTGGAATGTTGGTCTAACAGCACAGAGCATATTGTTGTATTTACCCTTTAAATACAAACATTAAAATATTGATAAAAAAAATTTCAGTTAGTGTAATTTTCTTTAAAACAGTAGCTTCTTCATCAGATAACAATGCAAGTCTCCAAATAATTTTAATTATTTCATCTAAGAAAATACTTAAAAACAGAAACAGATTCTCAAAGAAGACTATCCACACATGCACAAGTACATACATTGATGACATCAGTTGCATGGTACTCTACCTTCTCAAAGTCTTTCAGAGGATTGGTGATGTTCAGCTGAAACAGGTTCCCGAAAATGGGAACAGGCCGGGGTCCAGGAGGAAAGTTCTTGGGCCTGTGGATCCTGATGAAGAGGAAGAGGAGGAAGATGAAAATCCAAATGAGAACCACGGAGCCCAGCATAGTGTACTGCTGTACTGCACACCTTCATCAAACTTAGCACACCAAGTGGCCTCTTAACCCCTTTTTACGGTCTGTTTACATGCTAGACTGCAGTTAAATGATTTACTCATTTTAATAGAATGTTGTATTGTTTGCTTTAGCCTCTCCCTCTGTTGAGGCCAGTGATAACATAGTCTGCATCATTTGCTGGTGTATGCCCACCTCATGCCAAATAGAAGCCACTAGGATTTGTTTACAGCCATTTTAAAAACAACAAGGCAAAGTAAATAATTCTTCCTGTCACTAGACCGAGAGCTACTGACTGGGAGCTACTGACTGGGAGCTACTGAAGTGTACTGAAAAAATACAAAACACAAAAATCCAAGACGTTTATCAGGGGATCCATCAAACTTATCTGTCTTACTTACAGGGAAAGTGGCCCTCGGAGCTACTATAGGTGCAGGAGGACTAGGTCAATGGCTAACAGGGTTAGTTCAACTTTTAAGTTGGGTGATGACATCCTTCATACTGTCAACAAGCTGAGAGAACTGTGCCTGCTGTTCTACCTGCTGCTGAGTAAAAGAACTCACGGACCAAGTAAAACCCTCCAGAAGCTGATGTTGTCCTAATAACTGACCCTGATTTGTACTGGTCTTTTGGAAAGCCTTAGAATCCTCTGTCTGCATTGGTGGCAAAGTATTCTGTAACAGGACAAAGAATCAGACACTCACAGATAAAAGAAAGCTTTAAGGCTTTAATATAAAGGGGCCGATCCAAAAACGTAGTCAACAACATGTAAGCGTCAAAACCAGAACCAGACGAATACTGAACAACAGGGAAATCAAAAGAGTAGTGAAGGCCAGGAAAAGATCAAATTACCAAAAGATAAAAACACAGCAAACAAAGTCAACAAGGGAAAACCAAAAAATGAGGTGAAAATACAAAAAGAGTTAAAAACAGATACAGGCAAAAAAGAAAAACTCATTATGCTAGGCGAGAACACAAACAGTCTTTAAAGGGAAAGTGTGACTGTATTTAGGTGCAACAGTTCAGTAGCCTGGTGATACTGGTTTTAAGAACGGTTTGTGATTGGTGGATGATTGCAAGTCCAAAATGAATGGATTAAGATGGAGCATTTAAGCAAAATCATAATTTATAAATGATTCAACATTTTTAATGTAAAAGAATACATTCATTTCCTGAACACAGAACAGCATAAAACATTTTAACACTGCTGTTATATTTTTAAGAGTTTTTAAACTCGAGTTATAGGAGTTTCGAACTGCGCCTCATGTACGTCCATGACGTCAGTGAACGCGAACAGCCAATGAGCTGCTCCGCTCGCCAACCAATCAGAACTCAGTAGCAGTAATGCCGTTGTCCTGCTTCCCAAAACCCGTTTGCTGTAGAAAAAAGGAAACATACATTTCTTTGCTTTTTCAGTGAAATATATCCTTCTACTTTCTAAAGTTAAAGGAAAGTTCTGGACGAGTGATTAGAAACTGTTTTAACTCTTCGTTTTTAGCCGCTGAGCTCCATTTACTCCCATTTACTGAGGATTCTGGCGTTTTGCAGTCCTGTTTTTTATATAACGGGGGTAATAGGAAGTGGAGAGGCTCCTCATAAACCGGCTCTGGTAAGATCAGGACGGGGATGTGCGATCGGGCTCCTCTACAAGTTCTCTGGTGGTGTCTTGGTTTGGACGCAGCTGTATAATGTCGCCCTCTAGCGGAACATTGATACGTTGCATTTAAGTCCCCTTTTTCCCAAATAGATGGACAGATACATACAAGAGTTAAAAGCTCACCACCAAGCTCTTTTGTCCAAAACCCGTTTGCAGTAGAAAAAAGGAAATATATAGGTACCTTTGTTCATTTTTAGTGAAATACATCCTTCTACTTTCTAAAATTAAAGGAAAGTTCTGGGCAAGTGATCGGAAAAACCGTTTTAGCTCCATTTACTCCCATTCATTCAGGACGCGCTCGCGGGCGCCCTCTGCTGTTTAGCAGTCCTATTTTTGATATAACGGGGGCCGGGGGACAGGAAGTGGCCAGGCTCCTCATAAACCTGATCTGGACTGGGCTCCTGTACAAGTTCTCTGGTGGTGTGCCGGTTTGGACGCAGCTGTATAATGTCGCCCTCTAGCGGAATATTGATGCGTTGCATTTAAGTCCCCTTTTTCCCAAGAGATGGACAGATACATACAAGACTTCGAAATCCGAGCTCACTACCAAAATCGTTTGTCGAGTTTATCTACCATTTGTCTTTAGGTCTTAAAATCTACAACAGATTATTCAGTAACTACTATAAAGGGCCCGTATCTGTTTTTTTATTATTATTATTATTATTATTATTATTCTATTTTTCTCCTGGTGTCCACTTATAACATCTGTGAGGTTTTATGCAACAATAAACAGGCGTAGTTCATTTTTCCGACCGTTCCCAAACTCTTTTTATTCCTTAGAATTAAACAGGCCGTTTTTGTTACTGTGCTTTTGAGATTGATATATGTAAATAATCTCTGTTCTGATTGGCTGCCCTGTGTTGCGTCTCATTCAAAAAATAGTCCAGGCTGAAACACTCCTTATAACTTCAGCGTGAATGTGAGGAGCTCAACTGGTGCAGGCAAATATGTGTAAGTGTGCTGTTTTTTGTGACATAACAAAACAAATTAATTCAAAACAGCTGTTTTTCCAGCTTATTTCTGTATATAGACTGGAATGTGAACGGTACTTTTTGAAACATTGTTTACAAGTATTTTAAACATGTAATAAAAAAATCGCTTTTCTGTAATATAGGCCCTTGAAATCGGACAAGCTTTAAACAGCGCATATCCAATATTTAATGAGTTTAATGAAAATTCAGTTTTCCATGATATTTCATTTGAAGTGGTGTTTAGTCGCCCTCCAGCGGAACATCAAAGCATTGCAGCGGAGTCCCCTTTTCCTACATTCGTCCCATGATGCATTGCGTCTCCAACGGCTTCAGTCATTCAAGCAGCGCAGCCCAGTGTGTGAGAGAGTGAGTGTATATGAGTGTGTTTTGCTGATAGGCCACTTGGGTTCTGGAGCCTGTGTCCTGCACCGGACCGGACCGAACCCGAGACCGGTCGTGAGAACGAGTCGAAGCCGCATTTCCAACTCATGCTTCGGATAGCTGTGGCCTGTGAGGGGAAGCAGACGTTTGGGCGCCAGAAGCGGTGCAGTCGGCGAGCCGCTAAGACGGATATCCAACGCGAGCAGCTGTGAAAAACAAAAATAAACAAAGTTGATGGATTTGGAGCCTGGCCGGAACGATCTGGGAGCGATGGGAGAATCTCTGCAGCCGGCCACGCCGAGCCGCCACGAGAAGAGCCTCGGATTATTAACCACCAAGTTTGTCACTCTACTACAGGAGGCGAAGGATGGAGTGCTGGATCTCAAAGCCGTAAGCATGACACACAGGCAGAATCTCAAATGGCTTCCTGCTCCCTGCGTAGTGCTCTGCACGGGTGATGAAATAACGACCTCAGCTTCGAAATAGTGCGTTATATGTAAGAAAAACAAACCATATGGGGCTTCCGAATGCACTTGCAGGGCTTTGTTGGGCGTAGAAGCAACAATTTCATGACCTAGGTAGTGCACTATGTAGGGAGTAGGGAGCAATTTGGGATTCAGCCACTGTTAGCGCGCCGCTGGCTAGCTAGCTTAACTGCTTATCGTCCGCATTCACTATCAACGTCCCTACTTACGCCGTATCTAACTTATCTTTAAAAACATGTACTTTTCCCCCCACATACACAGCTTTTTTTCTTCTAATGTAACTCGTTCGCTTTACAGTCATATGTTAAGTAAGCTAGCTAGCTAAAAGTGTTGAGAAGTTTTCTCTGAAGAGTCGGCCTTAGTTTGACGGCACTTGCAGCAAGCAAGGCGACCGAAAACAGGCAGTCAGCTGCTCGCTTTAACCTTAGCCAGGTAACAGGTTGCCAAGTTTCGCCAGTCATTATAAAAACTCATCTTAAGTCATTCGTGTCTAAGGGATTTCAGACTATTCAGTTGAAGGCGGTGGTGTCTGTGACTAAACAATAGCTTTCAAAACAAGCACGTGTTGGAAGGGTTGTGATCGAGACTGATGGCCAGTGTGGCTTTTGGAGATAAATAGTCAGACGGACAGATAAAAAACGGTCCAAAAGTCTAAGCCCACTCGCAAGAACTGCGTTTATTTCATATCTTCTTAAAAGCGAATACAAATTCTTTTGTCGAGTTGCTTCTCAATCAAGATTATATCATTATTTAGTAATACTTGCTGAAAGTCAGAATTTTGTATGTCTATCTTTTGTCTTAAAGGGGAATTACACCGATTTTTCAACCATTTGAGACGTAAACAAAGCCATTCAGAGTGGTTTGATGTGAAATGGTTCATTGTAGAGAAACTCAGTGACTCAGATTTCTTTACAGTGGTGCTGATAGGAACCAGGGGTCACAATGTCTTCAACATAAACACCAGTAAACCTACAGGTGTTTTCTGAGTTTTTGTATGCAATATTGATAATGGGTAAAATAGAGGTGAATCTAGGAACGGATAGCATTACTGAAGACCACTTTGGCTAATAATAACACCCTACATGTATCTGCCCACCATGAATGGATTTTAAAGGTACATTGTTGCTCAAAAGTTTATCTCAGATCTATTAGCAAACAATGTGTTCGACATCAGGCAGTATATTCATAACCATTTCATGTAATAACTTTTTTGTAATGTAGCTTTTAGAGGCATTAAACTCTTCACACGTCTGGTTCCTGTCACCACCACTGTGAACCTTTCTGGCTCTGTAAGTTTCTCTAGGACAGAGCATTTGTTATCAAACCACTCTGAATGACTTTGTTTACATCTTAACAATTGACTTAAGGAGAAATTTAGAAAAATCAGTGGAACTGCCCTTCAACCTTTTAAACCTTAAGATGTGTTATCCAGTAACTACTTTAAATTATTCTGAAACTACTATGAAACTACTTAATGTGTTAGTTATGATAGTGAGTAACTGAAGTGCAGATTCTTAAGGGTTTAAAGGGTTAATCACAGTTGGAGCCAGTGTGATTTTGTCATGATAATAGATAGATAGACACTTAAGAGTCCAAACATCCACTATTAAGACCTGCTTTATCTCAAAAGTCGTGAAAAAAAATACATTTTTTTGCCACAGTATATTTCACAAACAACATTACATAATTTTTCTCTGTTTGCTGAGAGTCTGAATGTCCCAGTATAGAGTGCCTTAAAGGAAAGCTCCACCATTTTTTTTTTCCAAAATTCCTGCATAATGCAATAGTTGAGTTGTAAACCAAGTCATTCAGAGTGGTTTGATGTGAAATGGTTTATTGTAGAGAAACTTACTGACTCAGATTTCTTTACAGGGGTGCTGATAGGAGCCAGGGGTCACAATGTCTTCAACAGAAAAATTGCAATTTTATTTACTATCCAGAAGATAGTAGATAGATCTGGAAAAAAAAAGTTTTCTTGGGGGACCATTTTGCCTCACAACACCTCTCTGCCATTAGAGTTTTTTTTAAAAATGCATTTTAGGCCAGAGCTTTCTCAAAATGATGGTAAAACAATGTTTCAGGCATCAGGCAGCATATTCATAATCATTTCATGCCATATCTTTCTATAAGGGAGTTTTTAGAGACAAAGTTCTCAGATGTCTGATTCCTATCACCACCACTGTGATGTGACCCACATCAGACCTCTCTGAATGACTTTGTCAATATCGTAATCATAACCATTTAATTATGCAGAATTTTTTTTCAAAAAATCGGTATAATTCGCCCTTGATTCCAGCTCGACATTAATTCTAGAAGTTTCTGCAGATTTGGAGAATCCATATTATATTTAGAGCCCAGAGAGAGACTAGACATCAGTTATATGTTTACCTTTTCAAACAAGCTCAGTGATGTTCAATAGGACTGACAAAATGAATTTCTTCTTGCAGGTCTTGGGGGTGCGCTGAGATGTTTGGACCCAGCTGTAGACAGTGTGGTCTTCATCAGTCATCAAAAGAAATGACACCTTTATAGCAGCAAACAAAATCTGTGCACATCACATAAACAAAAAGAAGATTAAATGATTTGCATGTCACTTATGCATCTTTTGGAACTGTTCTTTTACACTACAGCCCTGTGCTTTTATTAGATTACGTAGGTCCACTTTAAGAGAAATTTGAGCGTCCCTCTCTGTGCTCTAAATATAATATAGATTCTCTAAATCTGTTCTAATTCACCTCCACTTGTTGCAGGAGGCCATGATCTTTGTTTTCCTATCTTTCTGTTTGCGTCTGCTGTTTAAAGTTTCTCTGAAGTTAAACCCGTTTAGACAAGAGATGTACAATATTTCAGAATTGTATCAGTGCTTAAAAAAAATCTGCGCCAGGCTCCTAATTTAATTTGACTAATAGTTCAAATTGATATTTGTTTTGTTCCAGAACATTTAGGCGATGCCGGGTTACCACGCTGAAATGTCTCAGTTGTATTCATTTTACTGCATCTGTAACACTCTACAGCATTCTGTTTATTCTTGATTCAAAGATTAATCAAATCTAGTGGGGAAAGTTTATTGAATTGGTCTCTTTTCCTTTGGACTGGAAAGGAAAACCTTCATTTTTGTTTTCTCTCTTTCTTCCAGGCTGCTGATACGCTGGCCGTACGGCAGAAGCGGCGGATCTACGACATCACTAATGTTCTAGAAGGCATCGGACTGATAGAGAAGAAATCAAAGAACAGCATTCAGTGGAAGTGAGTCAGGCTTGTACACTTAAGCATTCAGACATTCCTTGTAAAATTGAAGGAAGGAGTGAAGACAAAAAGGCATTTTTGAATTAGACAGCCTGTCTTCCCTGTGTAAGTGTTCCCTTTTGTCGCTGACGTTGTCTGTCTGTGTGTGTAGAGGTGTAGGTCCTGGCTGTAACACACGAGAGATTGCTGATAAATTAATAGATCTGAAGCTGGAGTTGGAGGATCTGGACAGAAGGGAACATGAGCTGGACCAGCAGAGGGTCTGGGTTCAGCAGAGCATCAAAAACGTGACCGATGACTCACAGAACAGTCCATATCCTTTGCTTACAATCATTTGTTATACTTGTAATTTGTCATACTTTGCTTCAATAACTTATCGACTTTATGATTAATGCTGCTCAAGGGCCAAAGCTCAGGCTGCTGTTCATTCTTATGTGCAAGAGTGACAAGCTCTCCAATAAATCCATTGATTAATTGGCTTACATCTTACACCTTTTAAAAATGCGCTGTTGTTGTCTTAAGGTGCTTTTGCACATACCTTGTTTGGTGCAGCCCCATCAGACTTTCTCTTCTTTTTTGAAGATGGCTGGGAGGCGCAATTGGATGATGGTATGTTGCACGATATCACAAGCCTACTTGGGTCCGCAGCAAACAACTGAACTGTGGATCTCAGGTCTTGGTCTGCTTCTGGGTAAACGCTGGTTCAGTTTCGTGCTGGTGGGAACCCATTTTTATAATGGTGGGCACCAAACAAGAAAACTCAACATCAGAGCATGCTTTTCTCAGTGCTCATCAGAACTGTACTGTGCACATAATGTGTCTGTTCTAACATTTGACTCTTGACAGAAGCTCGTATCAGTTTTTGCAGTAAAAGCTGATGCTAAAGAGGCAGATGAGCAATAACAATCTATTTCATTTTGTCACATGGACTGCAGAAAATATTTCTGATGGGTTGAATTCAAATTGACGTATAATTAGCCAATCATTTATAAAGAAGTCATTTTGTTAGTGTATTTTTATTACACTGGGTGCCGCATGTAGACGTTAAGCATCTTTAACACAACAAAGTCGATGCGGTAATACATTGTTGTAAAAATATACATAAGTGATATATGTTTTATACTTTAATTGTTGGGTGAAAGTTAAAAAGTAGGTTGTTTAATGCAGGCAAATGTGGAAATAAGAGAGTGCTTGTATCCCTACCAAATTTCTGACTGAACAAAGAAAACTTGTGTATTATTTGGTGCATGTCAGCCATTGAAACCAACCAAATGAAAAGATGCCACAAAAAACAAAGGACTCCGGTGCGGACTTGCACTAAATGTTTAAATGAACTTGTTTTTGCTTTTATTTGTGTGTCCTTAACAACAAATACTCTGGCCTACGTAACGCATCAAGACCTCTGCAATTGCTTTAAAGGTGGGTTTATAAGGTTACATGTGACTTGCAGTTCATTAAAACTATAAATGCAGTAGTTTTACTGGTCCTCCAAGATCTCCAGATGGTCCAGATTTTTGCCTCAACCTAACCTGCGATATGTAGGCATACAGCAGGAGTTGATATGGTTAAAGATGGCCTGCATTATGTTTGTTGGGTCATGCAGTGTTGTGTTGCCCCTCAAACGCACACAGAAAGTCATCTGGATCATCTGTGATTTGTCAGTGTTCACAGCAAACGCAATGAATAGTACTATTTTTTGTGGCTAATTTACACCTTCCGGCTTTGAGATATCAGTATTGCAAAGGCCATAATTGTGACAATGATTAACAAACAATACAGGCCCTGATTGTCTTTTTATAAGTCTGTTCTTACACTCACATCCTCTACTTCTGCCTTTTTGCCACTAGGTGACACTCTGCTAGCAATCCGAGCACCGTCAGGTACCCAGCTGGAAGTGCCGATACCAGAGTCTGTAAGTGCAGTTCCTCTGTTGCTTCTCTGAGGGTAGTCTCCAGTTTCATTTAGCACTGCTGATTACTTGGCTCTCTCAGTGCTGCCCTCGTGCGTCTTGTCCTCAACGGATTTCTGGCTGCATGCGATAAACGGTGGGCGGAGGATTTGCTAAATGTGGTTCAACCTTGCCATGTTTTTGGCATAGATCCACAAAATAGGACTGAAGGCAGGATATGTAGCGTGTAGTGATACGTCAGAAGTGTCAATAAAAGAGCTAAGCTATTTGGATCACGTGTTGCATTGGGATTATTGGTCATGTGAGTCTGGTATTGACTCCTAAACGTACTTTAAATCATCATCCTGTTTGCTGTTTTATAGATTGGAAATGGGCCAAAGAAGTACCAGATCCACTTAAAGAGTTCCTCTGGTCCTATCGAGGTCCTCCTGGTAAACAAGGACCCCTCCAGTGCCTCACCGGTAGTGTTACCCGTTCCTCCTCCAGAGGACATGCTTCAGAGCCTCCCTGCCTCTTCTTCTGCTGCCTCTGGTGCCTCCACCACCAAACCAGCAGACAGCAGTACTGCAGGTGCAGCCCCAGCCAGCCAGAGTCCTGCCAACACAACTACTGCCACTGCTGGACCAGCTACAGGTTTCACACAAATGACATATACACTTAGATAGTGGAACTGATGTGCTATGCCAATTCAGTAGAGGAGTGAATCTTACAATGATTCGATTTGATTATGATTCTTCAGGAAATGATTCAATGAGGGCTGTCCCAAACTCTTAATACTTACTTAATAATTTTAATAGTCAGGCGCTTTGTCTTTTTTAAATAGAACAGCTATGGTTTATCTATGGAACAGATTTATAGGTAGTTTAGTTGAATACATCATATATTTATGCTTGGCGTCCATCACTTTGCCTGAAAGGGCAACAAATTGCATTTCTTTCCCCATAGCAATTAAAAATAAAGGAGCAAAGACGCCTCAGAAATCACTTTTGTGGGCACTATAAATTATTGGATAATAAGAAGAATGTGACTCACTAACGCTACAGAAATAACTCAAAGCTGTATTTAAATGAAAAAGCTAAAATCAAAGGTTGTTTCATATATATTTCACAATATAGTTATGCGAGTTGGCTATTAATTGAGTTGCAACAATGTGATAATAGTCAGCTCACTGTTAATACATCATTGCCTCCTACTGGATATATTTTGAACTACAGTAACAAACACTTAAATTATGGTTAGGTATGAAATGTTTATATGGCTATTTTCAAGGGTGGTTTTAAGAAGGACTATTCAAATACTCATTCGGAAATTCCAACGAGTATTGTAAAATGCCTTTTGGGTCAGCCCTAGATTCAGTGCATCATAAAATCAAAATTTCACCATAATTCTTTGATTCAGTTTGATTATGTTGGTAGGATTAAAATTTGTGACTGGAACAACTGAACAGTAGCGGAATAGGCAAAAAAAGCAACACACCAAGCTTTTTTGTGTTATGATAACTAGAGAATTTTAATTTGGCTACAAAAAATATGTTTACAATAGAGATGAAATGATATTAAAATTTCATATCACAATTATCATGACCAAAATTATCACGATTATCGATATTATCGCGATATTGTTCAAAAGCGTTGAAAAGTAAAATAAATAAATAAATAAATAAATACTGATACACAAACTGAAACTCGTTTCACCAACTTTTTTATTAACACAGATAGAATTGGCAGCAATATGCACTTTTTGTTTGCATAAACATTAAAAAATATAGTCAATACATTTGTAGTATTACTTTTGTATTACTTACAATACTCTGTAAACAAAAGAATAGCAAATGTATTATTATTACTGTTATTACTATTATTATTATTATTACTGTTGTAAATAACAATAATTATTATTATTACCGTTGTAATTATTATTATTATTATTATTAATTACAATAATTAGGGATTTTCCTGCATAGAGAATTAAATCTGGACCAACTCTGAGGTGGGTCTTAATGGAAAATTACTACTTCTAAGAAGTGCTGCACTCGGGGATTTCTGTCCGAACTGCAACTGCAGCATTATTGTGCCGTTGTGGCGCTGAACCCCTAATCAACACACTGCACCAGGAAAAACAGCCAAAATCACAGAGGAATTGCGTGACTGTGCAGACAGCGTAGAACTCACAGTGTGTCTTCACCTGTGGAGCTGCTTCTCTGAAAGCATTTTAAAACTAAAACATAACTTAAAATTAACGCGCATCTGAGCTGCGGCAGAAACACTCCTAAAGTTTAATCTCTGAAACTCTGCTTTTCCTAAAAGCAGCACACAGTGTTTACTCGCGCAAGGTCCCGTCCCAAAGCACACTATCTTCCCTACGTAGTGCACTTTGTGGATCATGAAATAGAAAATCCTTCACCCAAAGAGTGCATGAAATGTTCACAATAACAATATATTAACAATAGGTTACAAATTCCCTATTTAAAACTCAATTGCTTGTTAATGATGATCGTGTTTGTTTGAACAGTAGCGCACTACTGAGTGATTTGAGACGGTGTAATTCTCTTCTCAGACAGTAAACACTGCAAGCGAGAAAGGGGAGCTGTGCAGATTGAACCTCTGCAGCGTCTCGTTCCAGAGCTTGTGTGACTGTTAACTTAGAGCTCATTTTGGAGACTCTGCTCCACAGAAATACGTGTTAAAGGCTTTAGTTTCGATTCACAGTTGATTCACCGATTGTTTTTCTTTTGACGCTTAAAGCTTCATTTTATATTATTAACGAACCATAAGCACAAGTTAAACCACACAGACCATGACATTTCTTCTATTTTGAAGTCCCCACAGACTTCTCCGTTAAAGTTAACCTTGCATTCTCTAAAAAGTAGCGGGTGGTGGTCGCGAAGATGACTCGTAAGGTTTGATGTGTTGCCCCCTTTCGCCGCTATTTTCTTTCGGCCTGTTCTGCAGACAGGGTGGTCATCTTCAATTAACTTTCCTTCTGCATCCTTATAAAACCCAAAACATGACCAAACGTCAGACTTGGTCTTCTTAGAAGGCTGAAATATCTCCGAATCTCTGTCACTACATTCCGCCATGTTGTCCCTTCTCTACCCCTCCCCCTCCCCCTTCCCCTCTACGTACACACAGAGCTGCGTCTGAGAGATGATTCTGCCTTTGTTTGACTCTGTACAGCGAGTTTTTCACAGCGCGGTAATCGACCGCGGTTTTAACGATACTTTAAAGTTCAAACGGTACTACTAACCGTCATTAATTTTACCGCGGTTTACCGTGAAACCGGTAACCGTTTCATCTCTAGTTTACAATCAGTTCAACGATAAATTAGTCCTTTCTAGTCCTCTCTGTTTTATCAAAAAAAGGCAGATTATCGTCTTTTGCACATCACCATCGGGTTACTTGTCCATCACTAATGACATCCGATAACAGTGCCCTATTGCCGAGGCCTACAGCGTATCATATTGTAACTAGCGTGTTAGCTTGGGCCTAACACTAACTTGTGGCTAGAGCATTAGTTCAGAATATAGAAAGCACAACTTTAGTTTCAAGCATTGTACTTTTTTAAATGTTGAATGGACCAAAAAACTGAAAATGGAAACATTAACTTATAGCAAAAATATATAAAATTCAGACACCATTACATCAAATCAAATTCTGTATTTTATGAATTGGCACACAGCTGATAGTAATAGATTTTAATGTTCCAAATCATTGCAGTTATCATTGCTTAGTTCAGAGCTGATTAACCTTTACTACATTCTATATATTCAAATCTAAAAATGTATATTATCATTTATCACAACTTATTGAATTCATCAGAGATCAGTGTGTTTTTTCTTTTCTGATATTCTGTAATTATATCCTGTTATCTTTTCTCTCATTAACAGCATCCAGTAACAACACCTCCGACACGCCGGCCAATCAGACATCCCCTGAGGACAGCCAGCAACTTCAGTCATCTGCCTCACTGGACAGCAGCTCCTCACTTCCTGAATCCTCAGCACTTTTTGAACCAATCAAAACAGACCCTTCAGAATGTAAGTGCATCTGCTTTTTAGGTGAAGCTTTGAGTTACTAAATATATCCAAGCAGGACTGATTTATTTGTTTTCATTATGTACTTCCGTTTTGTAAGTTTAGGTCAGTGGGAACTAAATTCGCTTTAGTAAACATCATTTTGCTGAACTATGCTTGTCAATCTTGTATGCAATCAACTGACTGTCCTTCTAGTATGGCTTACTACTCAACATGACTAATTACTGTTCACTTGTTTGATCATGTTTTTAGTACTGGACTTCCCCAAAGAACTTTCAGAAATGTTTGACCCCACTAAAGGTAAGATGTTCTTATGTAGGCCTCAAATTTGGTACATTAGCAATTTCCTTCTGCCTTTTGCCCACAGCTACAGCTACAGCACACCGGTGGCAATATGTCACAGTATATTATAATGTGAGTTTATCATGAGTGTATTATTATAATTAAACTAGTTTTATTATTGATATTCATCATTAGATACAGGCTTTCCAGCATATCTACAAACCCATTTCCAAAAAAGCTGTAAGGCTGTGCAAAATGTAAACAAAACAGAATGCAATGATGTGCAGATCATTTAAATCTTATATTTAATTGAAAATAGTACAGAGACAACATATCAAAAGTTGAAACTGAGAATGTTTTTGTGTTTTGAAAAACATGCCCATTTTGAATTTGATACAAGGAACGTTATTCAAACAAAGTTGAGAGAGGGGCATGTTTACCACTGTGTTGCATCACCTCTTCTTTTAACAACACTCTTGTGTTTGTGAACTGAGGAGACCAATTGCTGTAGTTTTGAAAGTGAAATGTTTTCCCATTATTGCATTATATAGGATTTCAGCTGTTCAGCAGTTCAGGGTTTCCTTTGTCTTGTACTTTGTTTCATAATACGACAAATGTTTTCCAGGGTGACAGGTCTGGACTGCAGGCAGGCCAATTTAGCACCCAGACTCTTTCACTACCGAGCCATGCTGCTGTAATACAGGCAGAATGTGGTTTGACATTGTCTTGCTGAAATAAACAAGGCCTTCCATGAAAAAGACTGAATGGCAGCATATGTAGCTCCAAAACCTGTATATACTGTTCAGCGTTAAGGGTGCCTTCCCAGATGTGCACATCACCCATGCCATGTGCACTAAGGCCCCCCCATACCATCACAGATGCTGGCTTCTGAACTGTGCACTAATAACAAGCTGGATGGCACCTCTCCACTTTAGCCTGGAGGATGCAGCGTCCATGATTTCCAAAAAGAATTTAAAATTTTGATTCGTCGGACTACAGGACACTTTTCCGCATCGCTTTGGTTCATCTTAAATGAGCTCGGCCCCAGAGAAGGCAGCGTTATGGATCCTGTTTATATATGCATGGGAGAGTTTTTGTTGCCCTGTCCCAACTTTTTTGAAATGTTTTGTTGGCATCAAATTCAAAAACGATATACATTTATTAAAAAACAATAACATTTCTCAGTTTCAAAATTTGATATGTTGTCTTTGTACTATTTTCAATTAAATATAGGGTATAAATGATTTGCAAATCATCGCATTTTGTTATTGTTTACATTTTGCACAGCGTATAAAATAAATATTTGGAAATGGGGTTATAGATTGTCGTTTGTAGGTCAGAGCCAATAAGATTTAGTGAATTCATTATAGTTGAGATTCAGAACGCCACTATCAGGAGATTTTGACACTCATAGAATGCCTTTCAGCCAGTCATGTTGCGAGGTTGGAACAAAGTGTGGTATAATGTAATTAAATAATGACTGATAAATCTTTATGCCTAATATGATTCTGTATTATTGTAAGATTTCTGATGGTTTGGCAAAAAAAAAAAAAAATCTAATTTACATAATTTTTCACTTACTCTAGTCAATGAACCAAGACATGTTTGTGTCCCAATTAATATTCTTTAGTTTAGCTCTAGAGCTACTAGTGTAATGCAGCAAACAAACACGAAATAGTCAATAGTCAGTAGTCACCCAAATTTGTTCTGCTCAAACCACATCCAGATCTTTATGTGGACTAACTTGTGGTTTAGGATACAGTATGACTAAATGTGAACTATAAAAATGGCCAAAACTCTTATAATGGTAAATGTTGTGAATAATGTTAATCTTGAGTTCTCAAACTGAAGATGTATGTTTATAAATAGCAACAACAGAAATCATGAATGTCATCTAGTGTCCAGTCTAGTGTTTACAGTGGCAGTTCCCTGTGTTGTTATACACGGTAAAGATTTGTTCATTCTTATAGCTCACAGTAAGTCATACTGTGTCCTAATCCACACCGACAAGTCTGCACAACCTTAATGAAGACATGGACATGGTTTGAGTAGATTGAGAGAAGTTTTGAATATGCATTTAGGGAAAAGATTTGGGTGATTATTGACTTTTAGTGTTTGTTAGCAACATTAGCCTCATAGCTCCAGTGCTGAACTAAAGAAGCCACATTTGAACACTAAACTAAAACACCAGTGTCTTGGCTGATTTGACAACAAGTGGAAAACTGTAGATTAGATTTTTCACTGAACCATTTCTTTAAGTGCAGATATGATCCAGTTACCCGGTTGAGCTTTTGCTTATTTCACTATTTTATTTGTCTTAACAGAAATCATGAGTACAGATCTGTTGGAAGAGCTCATGTCATCAGAAGGTAAAGCTGGTCATAAAGCAAGTCATCTGTACATAATTTACTACTAGATGTGACGATTCATTGTACCGCAGTTTAAAACCTGCGAAAACTGTACAGCCATTTTTATGATATTAAGATATTTATGTACTAGTTATGTATAACATTTATTTATGAAGTCAATAAAAAAAACATATTTTTGACAATTGGAAGTGCTGGAATTGCAGCCCTTTGGAGTATTATAAGATATTTTGTCTTGATGGAAAATGTCTTGAAATTGTATCTGGTTGAATTTTTTGTTTTCTACTAAAATAGCTTTTAAAAAGTACACTAGGTTTTAATTCCTATGTCTAATATTAATGACTTTTTTGTCCCCAGTTTAAGGACCATGAGCCTTTATGTTTTTTTACTTTGTATCACTACAAGCCTAGTAGCTTTAAGCAGCTTTACTTTCGTGTAACTCCTATGTAGTGTTTTAACTTAAACACCAGTGTTTTAAAGGCTTTAATGCTTCCTTAATGCCTTCAAGGAAAGGCAGTCCAAGCATTGGATCATTTCCTCACCCTCCTTCCTTTCTCTTTCATAGTTTTCTCCCCTCTCCTCCGCCTCTCTCCTCCTCCGGGCGACCATGACTACATCTATAACCTGGATGAGACCGAGGGCCTGTGTGACCTTTTTGATGTTCCCATTGCCAACCTTTGACCTCCAAACATCGGATAAGAGTAGTATACTTATATTAAAAAAACGGAAAAAAAAGAAACCTTTTAAATTCACAGGTTTAAAAAAAAAAGTGTGGCTCTGTTTCAGATCCATGTGTATAAGCTGATTTTCATGTGTATATATAGAAATGTATGTGTTTTTGTTTTGTATACTCCTCACCCAAAGCAGTGATCTACTGAAAAGTGGCACAGAATGTTTCTCTGCCTCGCTCTTCACCTCACAGCTGAAGCTTCACTGAAATCACCCGACCTGTCATTTTAATTCGGGACATCAGAACAACTATACTTTTTAAACTCATTTTAATGCAACGACACATGGAAATCGAGTTCCTCACCCTGTTTGAGCGGAGATCGAGAGTGTTGTTTTTGCTACTTTTGTTTTCAAATACATACACAATGAGAGTTTTGAAATACATTACAGAATCAGAAACTTAAAACACCAGCAGTGGTGAGTGCTTTGAAGAAACACCAGCTCTGTTTCCCACGTATCCTGTCTTCCCGTATCAGTGGAAGTAAGAATTTGTTTATTGAAGTGAGCATAGAGTTGCGTGTAGGTGGCACCTTCATACTGCCTACATGCTGAATATTCATTTCTTTCTGGGACACTGTTGTTTTTCCACTATGCCTTGAGAAGGCGGTGGGGTCCAGCATGGAAAATGTAGCTAAAAGATCCTACTCCATCCACCTGACCACAGAGAGCCAAATCCTTTTATTTTGGAAGCATGAGAGATGCTTTATTGTGCTGAACTTTGCAGAGTAAATGGAGGAATGTAATGTACTTTTTGCTTTAGTTTTACAAGCAAAAGTGCAGTGTTGGCAGTCCTTCGTGTTCAAGAATTTCACCAGTTTTTCAAAATTTTTGTATAATTCAGTGGTTGAGATGTAAACAAAGTCATTCAGGGTGGTGTAATGTGAAATGGTTCACTGTAGAGAAACTTACTGACTCAGATTTCTTTACAGTGGTGGTGATAAAAACCAGGGGTCATGATGTCTACAACGCAAATATAGCCATTTTATTTATTATCCAAAACCACCAGTGAACCTACACATCATCTGAGCTTTGATATGTTGATGATTGTAAAATAATGAGAAATCTGAAGTACGTTTTCATTATGGACTATTTTGCCTGAGGCCTTCCATGTTTCCTTCCACCATGTATGTAAATGAGGTTTAAGCCAAAACCTCTCAAAACTATCATAAAAACAATGACATAAGGCAGGATAGTCATGAACATTTAATGATAAAATTATGCAAAAAGCTCTGTAAAAAATGGTGGAATTCCTCTTTAAACTATATACAAGCAAGTGTGTATGTTCCTTTTTCGTGACTGAACTGCACAGCCACTTAAAACAGTTTAACACAACATGATCGTAGAGGTCTGCAGTCTAATGAAAATTACTAGGAACTAAACCTTTTTAATGGTCTAATGTTCTCTGGACTTAGACGTCCTTCAAAATATACTTCAACTAACTTAAGTTATTAATTCTGACTGAAGCTGAAAAGTAGAGGTGTCTCAGCTCAGATCAACTGTCCCTTTGAATGAGCTTAACCCTTTCTCCTTGTGTTTATCACCTACAATTTAGGCCTTCCACCTATGAAGCATTTACATGTATGTATATGTATTTTTGCTAAGCATAGCTAAAATGATTTTGTATTGTTTGTATATGAGTATGAGTGTATAAAGAAGGAAATGTGTTGGGGTGAGTTGATTCAGTACATGAATGCCGAGAGAAATCCGGTACCGGTTCCACAGCTGAAATGTGTCATCTATGTGTAGATACGGATTATGACTGTTGGTTCGAACATAACCTCTCCTGTTTTAACATGTATTGCCCTCTTGTTCTCTGATTATTACTGTCAGCTAAAGGATATTTTTATGGTTGTACACATTAAGCATTTTACTGTTTATTTTTGTATTGGGTAGGTAGACAGCTGGTCTTAGCAAGCACAGAAAGGAGCTTTTTATATCAAACTTATCATCTCAACACCGCACTTTACGAACAGTATGATCACTTTGGTTGCTTCCATTCCCTTCAGTTGGATGGAGCGCTCACTTCAGGTCCAGGGAAAATTGAAAAACTTTCAATCTTCTGTCTCAATGCCATGTACCGAGGTCGTTTGTTACAGACCAATTAGTAACTTACCAGAATGACTGTCTCTGAGAGAAATAAATACCGATTTTGTAATGCTGGTGCCCTTTGTTGATTCAGTCGACTTGGATTTCATGGTTTTGCTTCTTCTTCAGTGTCATCAGCCTGTTCTGTAGCAGGGTTCAACCACAACTAATTCCACACTCCAGAAAATACTGGAAAAACATTCAAAACCACAATTGTGAAAGTATTCTACTGTAATAAGCGCCCACACGTTCAGTTGTGTACAAATGTTTTATTGATTTTCTAAATAGCAGTAAGTTACCACATCCTCTACAGAGAACATCTGCACATTTTAATGCACAATTACTGTTTATTTGCTGTAAAAAACAAAATATAAGATGTGGCCTGGGCAAACGTTACAGCACACGTTAATATATTAGGGGGAAAAAATAGAAACTCGTCAAATAAATACAAATTGTGCATTTAAAAATAGCAGAAAAAGCCATTATTTACATTTGTTCGCTGGAGCGGATGTGTTATCTTATTTTCACCTAGATATTGTAATTTGACCAGGGGTCTTGAAACTTTTGTATATGACTGCATATACGTACATAAAGTACCTTGCAAAAGTTTATTCGATAATTATCTGAGCTATAAGTTTTAAGTTTTTTCCAATAAGTATTTTTATCATTAACTCTTGGAAATGCTTATTGCTAAATGTTCTTTGTCTGCAGATTTAAAAAAATAAATAAATAAATAAAATATGCTGGTTGCAGAAGTACTCAAATCCCATGCAAGCCATCCTTTAGGTTAAGTATGTACCAGCTTAGCACACTTTCCAAGAGTGTTTTTTCTCCCCATTCATCTTGGCAGATTTGGAGTGGGTTGTTAAAGATGTCTGGACGAGGCTTATGGACATTTTCAAACAGGGCCACAGATTCTCAGTGAGATTGAGGTCATTATGCACAAAGCAGTTCACAGTGTAAGATTTGATTTCTATTTATGACAATCATCACAAAAGCTGATCGTAAGTCAGCAGTTCTACTCATGAGGTGTATGAATACAAACCTAGGACTTTGACTGGGTCAGTGTAGGATATTCACCTTACTGTTTTTACGTTTCTCATGTGTTGGCCTTCAGAGCTTTGCCCTGCTGAAAGGTGAAGTTTCTCTTAAGCTTTAGTTGCTTTGCACACTCAATAAGTTTCATTTATACAGTTGCTTTTGTTTGCAGAAGCTTGCTTTACAGAATGTTGCTGATAAAAAGCAGTGTGATACTGCCACCACCATACTTTACTGTAGAGAATGTCTTTCCATTCTTTTTAGCCAAAAAGCTCTACCTTTGTCTCACATTTTAGTTGGGTCATTCTTATGCTTTCAGGTCAACCTTTCTTGAGTAATAGCTTCTTTCTAGCCGTTCTCACATAGACCTCATGAGGCTGTGGGCCTCTACTTCATTTTCAGCCACTGAACTCTGTACTTCCTTCAAAGTGACTAGCCTATCTGTGGTTTCTATCATAAAATAGACAGGCAAGAGACAAAGAAAAAACAACATAGGGCGTTGGGCCACCACAAGCCACAAGAACAGCTTAATTGTGCCTTGGCAGAGACTGTGAGTCTTAATTGTACTGGAGGGTTTTTACACCACTGAACTGTCAAATGGTCATTTATTTTTGTAATAAAGCGTTTACTATAATATCCTAATATAATATTCCTCTCTATGTAGATCTAAATGCACGTCACTTAGGTCACTGTTCCTACTGAAAGTTTTTTTTCCTACAGTATTCTTTTTAACTTAATCTCTTGCCATCTTGATCCAAAATCAAGGTCAACTAGGCCTGCTCATGATTCTGTTCAGACAACAGAGCACAGTAGGATGTTAACTGCTTTATTGTGCCATGCAGTACACCTGTCTCTACTCATTATTTTTCTCCACTCATTTATTATTAGCGTGTACACACACACACACATATGGGTGATTGGCATTTTTGTGTCCAAGTCTGTTATTTATACATGACATAAAATTATTCAAGAATATCTATTTTAATGCATCCATAAAAAAATGATTTTAGTTTCTTTTTGCCTTAAAAAATGTCAGGTGGGGCAACAATATGTGTGATATAGATATACGTAATATTGGTAATTTAATTACATAAAATTCTAAATAAAATAATTTGACATGATTTTACATTTCAAAAACTGTTGAATCTTGAATAATAAGGCAACTTTAAAGTACACAACCCACTGAAACACTTTTCTTCCTCAAATGTCAGCAGCACAGCAGACTTTTATTTTGACATGCTTTTTAGGAAAGGGGGGCCAGGCTATTGCATCATTAAGAAGACCCCAAGTGACCTTCATGGTACAATACCAAGGTCAGTAGCCCTTTCACAAACTTTGAAAAAAAAAATTGAGTCATGGTCAGAATGTTTCAGTCTACCATGTCAGGTGGTCTGACTTCAGAAAAACCATGAACATGTGTAATTGTTAAAATAATGTTTATTTATTTAAAAAAGGTCTACTTTTAACTCAAGTTCAAGGACAAAGGTTTCTATGAGTGTTTAAGTAGATGCCTGTTTAATTTGAAATTAGTCTGAAAAGTCAGGCGGCACAACCAGTCCAAGTCAGATGGTGCAACCAAACCAGCGGTTTAAAATCTTTAATAACACTGACTATATTTAAGATATAAATGCAAACAGATGAGCTATCATCTCTCACTTTACATCTACAAAGTGGACCAAAAAGGCAGGTGTGATAGAGTAATGACTGACAATGAGCGGACGCAGTATTTAAAAACTCCAGCAGTACTCCTGTGTCTGATCCACCTGTCGCAGCACAAAACACTATAACATACACATTAATATGTATTTTATTTTTAGTTTTTTATGCAAACAGACCAAACATAGTGAGTATTAGGATACAAAATAAATAAAACAATAAACAAAACAGTGCAGGAAAAGTACAAAACTCCCAAAGAGCCTTGTGCTAGGTACTTTCCCTACTGAATTACCTCACATTTAGATACATTTTGTGCTTCAACAGAAAGAAACAAATGTAAAACAATAAAGAAAAAGGAACATAAGAAGATACAAAGAAAGGTGGTTGGGTTAATTAGAATAGGATTCAATTGTTGAGACAGGAAGTGGACTAGTTTTTTGAAGCTAGTTAGCTAGTTTTTTGAAGGTTCAGACTGTTTTCAGGTTCTCAGGTTGAGTAGCAGACAGTTCCAGATAAAAGGTCCTCTGTGTGAAACTAAATTGGCTTAGTGAAGTTCTGTAGAAAGCAGGATGTGGGTTGTTTGAAGATCTGGCAGTTGGTGTGAAATGGTTAATTTCATATATATTTAGAATCTTTAAGTTCAAAAATAGTGGTCGAGAGCAAGCATAATCTGAAGGAAAGGTGATCATTCTGACCAAGAATTTGTTGCTTTAGAAGAATAAATAACCTGTGAGGTTACTTCTGAAAGTACTAGCCCAGATAATGTTACAATATGACAGGTATAGACAGATCATTGTATAATACAGATTGAGAAGTACATGCTGAGGTAATATATATTTCATTTGTCCAATGACACCAGTATTTTCAGTTATTTTTTGTGGTATTACTGCAATGTGATCTTTCCAGCTGAGCTTCTCATCAATAAGTGCACCAAGAAATTTAGCACAGTGGACACGGGATATATTATTGTTGGACAAGTGCACTGATGGGAGGATATCAATTCCTTTTTTGTTTCTTGGTGTAAAGAGCATGGAAGAGCTTTTCATAATGTTAACAGATAACTTGTTAGCTTCAAACCAGGTATTGATATTAGCAAGTTCATTCACATAGACTAAAAACAGTAAAGGTCCCAGTACTGACCCTTCAGGAACTCTACATTTAATAGTCTTTAGATTGTAGATGGAGCTTGACCAAGAGAGAGGTCAGGAAATATACTGGAGATTAAAGACTGGTTGACGTAGGAAAAGTCAGAGATCCATCATTTATTTAATTTCCAGGAAAAACAGATATTAAGTACAAATTATTAATTTTTCATGAGATATTTCTGAGGAGAATAGATACACGATAATCCATTTGCATGAGGAAGAGAAAGTCAAAGGAAATTAAGTGAAAAAAACTAGATTTTCCAAAATTAAAATGATTAAATGATTAAAAGATACTTATAAAATGAGACTCCTAACAACCATGCAAGACGCGATAGACCATCAAAACTGTCCTCATCAGATAAACAGCACTTAACGCTTTCATCTTTGAGAGAGTGGAGAAAATCAAGCTCCACTCTTAGTGTTTCTGTCCATCCTTCCACTGTGAGAAGACAACTCAGCACTATGGGTCTGAGAAGATGTGTAGCTGTCAAGAAGTCCTAGCTGAGAAAACGTGCAAATCAAACAAAAAAGCCGCAGAACAACGGACTCCAGACCTCAACACCACTGAATGTGTTTGGGATTAGCCTACTTGGGAAATGTAACTTCTAAGACTGAACGTTGGAGGTGTGGAAAAATATCCCAGCAGATTTCTTTGAAAAATGGAAAGCAAAGCCCAGTCCCATTTCACCCCTTGCCCCGACCACTTAGACCACCCCTCTGTTCTGCGTGTTCATACCTAGAGGTAGGGTGTCCCAATTTTTGTTAAGATAGAGGGGTAGGGCGGAGTGTTAGGGCTACATGGCCCTGCAAACAGAGGTTTTTCAGAGTCACACTCAAAACAGAAAAACTGACAATATGGCTGTGCAAGTGACCAAACAAACTCACAAACATGAGTATTTTCTCCGTTAAAAAGTTACGATATCCATTGTATTATCTTAGTTTAATGTCGTTTTAATGTATTATGGTCCTTTTCTTCATAACAAGCATAAAAATCACTAGTAGTATGCTGAATTTCCTGTTCCACCTTAAATGGTGCAGCAGTTATACTCTGGTGCCTGAGGCATCAGAACTGCTGCACTATTTAAGGTGGAACGGGGAAATTCAAACAAGAAGCTGGTGCATAGCTGACTTCAGCGTCACTGCAGAACTAGCTAAGGGTGGGTGATAACAAATAACTGAGTTACAAGGGGTGGTGATTGAAATACCTCTCTCTTTGAAGGCATATTTTTTATTTGAGCGTTGTCCCATTTCGTAGGGAAAAATTTCGACCACCACCCCTTGTAACTCAGTTCTAAGGGTCAAGGTGACACTCAAAAAACAAGCAGTTGGGGTAAAAATAAGAAACCGGATTGGGCCTAAGTGTCCAGAAAAAAAGGAAGCTGTCGTAAAGGCAAAGGAGGCAACAGCCTAGTGAAAACACTGATAGCTGCTAAAGCGTAGTTTTCTGTTAAACGTGTTTTCTGTTTTTTCCCACGATGAAGAATGAATAACTTGCACTTAATGGTCTTTTTGACTGAAAACAAATAGTCGTCCACGCAGTACTGTAGGCTATACATGTGGAAAATCCTGGCACACATGACAAACCCAGTGAGGCTGTATGGTGAAAGCTTACTGAAAGCTCACATTGGGTTGCAAAGCAGACGTATCTTACAGTAAAAGCAGCTCAGTTCCTCAAACTTAGCTGAATGTTTAGACCTCGTCTAACGGTGCCCTCTGGTCTCTGGGCTCTCTCTGGTTCCCTCTCTGTGGGTGTGTGTGTGTTAGTTTAGTGTGCTTTAGTGTGTGTGTGTTAATTTTAGTCTCTGCTCCTTCCTACAGGGGCCGGCTGGGACACCGTTCAACCCGGAACTGCGAGAGCGGACAAAAATACTACTTACTAAACTCCGGAGGACGGTGTGTAGCGTAACCCGCTCGGAGAGGCTGCGGAGCTCAAACCCGCTCCAACAGCTCCGTGATTTTACCAGAGGAGCTCAGATGTGAAGGAGCTCCACCGCGGAGAAAACCCGCTCTCTCCCAACAGGTAGGAACCAAAGCGGCGGAGAAAGTGGAGAAACTTTAGCTCGGCAGCGCTGGGGCTGCGTGCGGGTCACTGAACTAAACAGCCTGGCTGAGTTTAGATAATGTTAAAGTAGTTTACATGTCGGTTAACGCGGGTCTGAAGGTCTGTCAGCCCTTTGTTTTTCAGTATTTTCTGGAACAAAGTTCGAGCTGTTCAGGCTAAGAAGCAGGCTAGCTGTAGTTAAGGAGCTGCAGCAGAACAGGGTGAAGAAAAATCTGGCCAGTTCATTTATTATAGGAGTTACAGGCTTGAACTGTGTTTTAAGATATATCAAGATGCCTTATTTATACGGCATTTACTATTTTCCATTGGCTTAATTTGGTTAAATTATAAACTTGAAATGCGTTTCAAGATATTTTAAGATGTTTCTTTTTCAGTTAATATTTTTAGTATTGTAGATTAACTGAATTTAAGATGTTATAACATGTCTTATTATTTATTCATTGAATTTAAACATATTACATAACTTTCTTACTATGATATAATTTAATGTCTTTGTGATGTCCACCCTCGTTGCATTTTGCAATATTGTAGATGAAGATTGTGTCTAAAAAAACTGGCCTCTCAACTAATTAGACTCTAAAACCAAAGCTTGAAGGCTTGAATTATATTTTAGTGTTTTGCTCATATTTGGGCTCTAAAGCTTTTACTAATGACCTAACTAGAGATGGCATGATACCACTTTTTCTTTTCTGATATCGATATTGAAGCCTTGAGTATTGGTCAATACAAATGTGATGTTTTTTTTTTTCTTTAAAAACTACTAAGCTTTGAAATGAGCTATTTTTAATTCAAGCATGTCACTTAAGATGCGCATTTAAAACAGGCTATCATGATAAAACCACTCAAACACTCTACTGCCCCACAGCTAACAGCATCACCCCACACAGTGAGACTGAGTGCTGATCTCTGGACAGATTTGTTACAGGACCACATTCCATCTTTTTTCCCTCCAATATCCGATCTAGCATTTTTCTGCTGATATCGGTCGAATACAGACACCCGTCAATACCGAAAGGCCTTCTGAAGAACTAGTCCTCAGCTCAAGGGTGTGGCAGTGTTTTAGAGTGAGTTAGAGAATTCAAACGGGAAGAAGTCTGTTTGTTTCCTGATGTGTAAGTAATAGAAATTTAGTGCTGGATGATTTGGGGAACAAATGTAGTTCTGATGTTTCTGACCAGGATTATGACTGTGATTTATGTTGCAACTGTTCTGAATAGATTAAGGTCTAGTGGTCACATCTGAAGTGAATTTCAGCCTTAAGTTTCTTCTTTTACCTCAAGGAAGTCTCTTCAGGGATAAGTGGGAAGTGAAAGAAATCCATAATTGTAAATTGAGTTTTAGTCCTAAGTTTGAGTTTCATCACTTCAGTTTTTTGACAGTTGCTAAGCTTAAATGTAAATTTAAAACTACAAAATTATCCCTTAAGAGTTTAACTTGAGATATATACTTGAGATGGTTTATGCAGGTGGCCACAGACCAGCATGTACATTCTTGCTTTAAGCTTTAACACTGAACATAGCGCCAGTTAGTTTTGGTTGTGTTGTCATGGTCACAGCACATGGGTTTCTTCTGGTTACTCTAACTCATCTATAGGCAGTTCATGAGCTCCATGTTGCTGGGTTAAATGTACCCACATAAAACTTTTTCAGACAGCGTTGTTGATTATGTTGGCTATATTTAAAAACTGCAGCTCTCGCAATTTGAAAACTGCAGTCTTTAAAATTCCAACTTGGATATAAAGTGATTAAAAGGCCCACATTTTTCTTGTATTTTATTTTTTCCACTTCTGTGTGGCTTTAATTAACAGTTTTAATTCATTTGTACATTAAAGGTTGTACAACCTTTAAGACAGGTATATGTTAATGAGTTCTCATTGGCTGCCCTGTTTCGAGCCTCATTCAAAAAGCAGTCTGGGTTGAAACACTCCTTATAATTTAAGCATGAATGGACAGAGCTAAGTGCTGTAGCCTGAATAAGCAAGTACATCTTTACTATTGGAACAAAGACCTTTTTCCTTCTCCTGTAAAGTTACCATTTTAGAGATAAGAGATCTTTATCTGACAGTGACAGAATATTCCATAAGTGGACTATATGGATTAGGAACATTTTGAACTTTAGCAGTGTTTACATACTACATCAGTTAGATTTTTTTTCATGATATTGACCTTTTAATCATAAAGTCCTCAGCTGAGTAGATACTGGTAACCAGAGATGAAAGCCTGTAACTGGGGCATGGCAAAAAATGACACAAGCTTTGTCTTTTGTGTGTTCGCGGATAGTAACGTGTGTGATCTGTGGGCTTGGTGGTGGTCTTCATGCCCTGCACACATGCGAGTATTGTGACCGCACATCTGCTGTTTAGGTTACAGAGCGCTTTAAGAGTTCAGTCAGAGCCAAGAGGAAACTATGTATATGTGTCTGAAACTACAGGCACATCTCACCCTGCTGTCACGAACATACAGAGCACATTGAGGATTGAGATTAGCGCAAACTCATGTCCCAAAAATGCTCTGCACACTCAAACACTCTGTACGCTCACACTTTGTACAAATACAGCAGGGCAGAGGAGGGGCTGAGTGTGAGTTGCAGGGCTCAGAGCATGCAGGGGCACGCTGGGAATGAAGCCTGGGAAACTCAGACTCGTACAGAGAGCAGAGCTAGCAGGCCTCCCTGTCTCTGAGCTTAGTCTGCAGCTCCAGGCTTGTCTACAGCTCATTAGTTACTCTTGCAAAATGTCTAAACCTTATAAGAAGCAGAAAGCTTGTGTGCTTTTTTTCTTCTCAATAACTGGCCTTGTTTAATGTCCCTGCACTAAAGCGCTGAAGACTAAATACGCTTCTGGTCAAGGCTGTTTAGGTGGAAACAGAGAAACTGTACTTTCGTGCAAGTGTGAGCACTTTTAGTTCAAAAGAGAACACTCTGCTTCAGAAACTGTAGATTTCAGGGCACAAACACTACTACTCATCCTCAGAACCTTCACTTAGAAAACAGATGATGTGATATTTACAGTTGAAGGTATATTTTTCACCTTGCCTTTGTTCCACACAGCCGGTCTTAACTCCTTTATAAAAAAAAAAAATTATAAAAAATGTGAGTCAAAGGGAGTACAATCCCAAATCCAAATTTCTGCACAATTTAATCTGTGAAAAGTCTTTAGGAGTTGTTTGATGTAAAATGCCTTATGTAGAAACTTACTGACTCAGAATTCACGATGGTGATGATAGGAACCAGACATCTCATGCCTAATGCCTCTAAATGTTTCCTTACAGAAAGTTATGACATGAAATGGTTATGAATATGCTGCCTGATGCCTGAGGCATTGTTTTATGATAAGCTTTTGGCCTAAAAATGTATTTTAAGACTTTCTTCATGGCGGAGAGGTATGTGCAGGGTGTTGTAAGACAAAATAGTCCCCAAAGAAATCATTCTTTTTTTCAGATTTACCACTATTTTACCATCGTCAGTATTACATAGAAAAACTCAGACAGCACACGTAGGTTCACTGGAAGTTTTGGATTGTAAATAAAATGGCTATATTTGCATTGGAGATATCACAACCCCTGCTTCCCATCATGCCCAACGTCGAGATATGAGTCAGTTTATCTATAACGAACCACCACTTCAGTCTACATTAGAACACTCTGAACAACGATATTTACAACTCAGCAACTGAATTATGCAGAAACGAGCAGGAATTTCCCTTAAAAAAGAACAAAGGTTCCTCTTTGAAAGTGGATGTACATTCATTCTTAAAAAAGATGGTTCTTTAGTAAAGGGAATGGTTCTTTTTAGAGCCATGAAATCAAAATGGAACCATTTCATGCAGAAGTGGTTCTTTGCATAGTGAAATAATTATTCAGATTGTTGGAGAATGTGTTGTATGGTTCTATATAGAAGAGAACCTTTTTGAAAATGGTTCTATATATCACCAAAAAGGGTTCCTCTGTGGTTATGATGTCAAACTTTTACCAATAGAAGAACCCTTTTTGGTGCTATATAGAACCATACACACCACCAGGTGTTTTTTTTAAGCATTATACAACTTTACCAGCCTTTTGTTGCCCACATCCCAACTTTTTTGGAACGTGTTGTTGGCATCAAATTCAAAATGGGCATACATTTTTCAGAAAACAATAACATTTCTCAGTTTCAACATTTGATAAGTTGTCTTTGAAGCATTTTCAATGAAATATAGAGTTTAAATGATTTGCATATCATTGCACTTTGTTTTTATTTACATTTTTCACAGCGTCCCAACTTTTTTGGAAATGGGGTTGTACAACACATTCTCCATCAACTATCTGAAGAACCATTTCACCGTGCAAAGAACCATTTAAGTATGAAATAGTTCTATATAGACCTCATTGTTCTAAATGGAAAGAGCTCTTGAAGAACCATTATTTTGAGAGTGCACTGTGTGTTTAAAACTCATTTAAGGTACACAGTTGGACCTTAAGTTGTGTTGTACCTGTGAGGGTAAACACTTAAAAAAGATGGTTCTTCAAGAGTTTTAGTAAAGAAAATGGTTCTGAATATAACCATGAACACTCAAAGAACCTTTGCATGATTAAAGGGTTCTCTGCATTGTGAAAGGGTTCTTCATATGGATGGAGAATGTGCTGAAGATGGTGCTATATAGAACCTTATTGTTACAATGTCAAGCTTGTCAATGATAGCAGAGCCCTTTTTGGTACTGCATCGAATCATATACAACACATTCTCCATCAGTCTGAAGAACACTTTCATGATGCAAATAACACTTCTTTGAGTGTTCATGGTTCTTTATAGAACCATTTTCTCTGCTAAAGAACCCTTAAAAAAACATCTTTTTTAAGGGTGTACATTTACACTGGTTTTAAATTGGGAGACTAAACTTTATACTGGGCACTACCAGATACAGTGTAGACTTATATGTCGTTATTTTATTATGGTATATATGTTATTGTCTTTGTGTTTAAAGCTACCTTTTAAAAAACTATCCATTGAAAGGTTTTATTGTGAAGCCAGTGTTTTTCCTGTAACATCTTTTGGGCCCTTTACTTTTAAGATGGGTTTAGTTACAGCTGCAACAGTTATTAAAGCCTTTGAGGTTAAAGCTGGTTTCAGGTGTAATGTGGTACAAAGTAACATGTTGCATTAATAAGAATGATGTTACTTGTTTTACTCCTTACTGTAGAGAACAGAGTAAATTATCCTTGATGCATTTAAATCATAAATTCCCCTTTATTCCTGACCTATCCTGCTGACTGCATGCCTCCACAGGAAGTGCCGCAAACTTGACAAACAATCTATCAAAGCATCTAATTACTGTAATATGATAGATAAAGATCTCCAGGCTGAAAAACAACCTCAACCTCCGTCTAAACAGACTGGACAGATTTGTAGTATTTACAGTTCTTTCATGAAGTGTTTCCCTTGGCTAGTTTCTGGATTTTTAAACAGCAGCAACTCGTCATAATTATAACCAGCATAACAGGGCTGTGTTGTTCAAAGTGACAGCATTTTTAAATAATGTCTGCTGCTGTTGACTTTGAAATATTTCTTGAAATATTGAAATATTTCTGTCATACTGAAAAGCACCAGAGGGTTTTCCCTTGTACAGCTGCTGCAGATGTCTGTGTTTTAGAGAGTAAAGTAGAAGTAAAGTAATGAGTACTGAAATTACTTTTTCCAGGAAGTAATCAGTAAAATAATCCCATAACAGTTTGAGAGAAGCCATTAGTCATTTGTAACGGATTACTTTTTTTGAGAACTACCCCAGCACTGGTTAACGTCCATCAATCAGTAACTGACGCACACACAAACACACATTCACATACATCTTTTTCTCTGCCGGAGCCCGTTTGAGAGCGGTGAGGCAGACGCTGAGTGTTAGCTGGCCTCTTCTGCACATATGGAAGCACTTGAGTCTGTTAAACAGTCCAGCAGAAGCTTCTGTTAATAAAAACACCATCACTGTGCGTGTCTGTGTCTGCAGACAGAAAAAGCACTTTGGCTTATAAGTCATCCGCAGTATCTCCTAGATAGCCTTCCCACATTCAGATTTCAGATGAACCAAGCACGCAAGTTCTCCTTAAAAAGAGGAAGACCCAGAATATACAGAGTGATTGTGAAAGTAGGAGTGTGCACTAAAGCAGTCCTCTCAGCTGTCCTGTTCTCAAATGTGTGTGTTTTTTTTTTTTTATTTTAAAGGAAATGATCTATTCTTTTAAAATTAAAGGCTCATAAGTGTTCTTGGCCTGAGCCGAGAGGGAGATGCTCTTTCCCCTGTTGCCTCAGCCCTCAGGTTGTGCGTCAATGGCACCGGGGTCGAGCGTGAGGCGAGGCCCATGAACCAGCGCCAGTGAGTGAGTCGCAGAACTCATGCTGCTTTCAGCAGCTCTCGGGCGCTGACCTCATGCTGTCTCTCGAGGCTTTTGTCGGTTTTGTTTGGCTCTGTTCTAGTAGCAGGTAGTATGCCACAGTTTTACTACAGCACAGGTTCATTCTGGCTCATTGAAGCCTCGCTGACGCAAGGTTTGAGCATAAAGACTCAAACCTGAGTGAGTGTGTATGTGTTTGGAGCTGTTAGCCTAAATGCTTTTGCTAGAAGCTGGCGTTAGCTTAGCAAGAAGGCCTGAGTTTACACACAACCATGCAGGTTTATTTCAGCTCATTGAAGTCTCACTGATGCTGGTACCAGCATGACAGAAAGACAAAATCTTTCTGATCATTGAAGTTTCAGTGAGAGTATTTTTGTTTCTGCTCTGTCTTATTTGTTCAGTCTGTAACATGAATGGAGAAAACATGCAGGGTAAGGGGTGATTACAATTTGCATAATTGTGCATATTCATAGGCCTTCATATTCTTAATGATTCTTGAGGTTCTATATCTCTATATCTATATCTATATCATTTTTGCTAGTTTTTTGAGCATAACAATAATACATAAAAACATTTAACCATTTATTATTCAACAATGATTTTTTGCCTTTGAATTTATGATTTTGTGGCTACTTCAAAAAGATTCCTTATACTTGCACCCTCATTTACAAACATTGATATTTAATTTACATGTAATGTATAACGTGATTTAACAATGTAATTTTTTTTGTTGTATGTAAAGTATAAGCCTAAATTTGCCAAATTGACTGATTAGCAATCTTCCTTTCTAGCTGTTGATACTTAGTAGGTTTCAACTGAGTGCAGACACAGCTCAGGCTTAAATAACAAAAATTACTCACCGCTGCCCTCTAAAGGTGTTATTAGCAAACCTCAAATAAACAAACATTACTCACCGCTGCCCTCTAAAGGTGTCAACAAACGTCAGATAAACAAATATTACTCAATGGCGCCCTCTAAAGGCGCAATTAACAAACCATAAACTAACGATACTCACCACTGCCCTCGAAAGGTGTAAAGAGGCAGTGGTCAAAAGCTTTATTGTTTTTGTAAGATGTGTGAATACATGTGTTTTCTGCTTTCTTTTATTTACCTGTATTTGCCTTAACTCCATGGATGAAGGTGCACACAATTCACATTCTGTTTCTTACACAAACATATGATTTTGAAAGCTGACGAGTGCTGCTCAAACTATCAGACGATTATGTAATAATTGCGACAGACCTACCAGACAGTCCATATTTTTGCTCCATCCCTACTCTTAATACATGGGGATAGAGCAAAAAGATGGACCATCTGGAATTCCCTGAAGGAACCAGAAGTGGTTCTTTTGTGGCATTGCTCTGAAGAACCCTTTTTATTTCCATTGGAGTCTAGTCTGGAAATACTGCTGCCTCCTTAGTTGTTTTTCATTTTGTCAGATGAGACGTCTTAAAGGCCTTTTGATTTCTTTCCCAGAATATTTTTGGAATGTGCATCTTTTTTCCTGTTCTCCTTTCTACTCGCCAATCAAGTTCTCTCTCAGCACTGCTTTCATTGCGCTCTCTCTCTCTCTCTCTCTCTCTCTCTCTCTCTCTCGCTCTCTCAGAGTCTAGGAGGCCAGGCATCAGCGTTTGAAAATGCCGCAGCAGAAGGACATAGTGAAGATTGCTATTCAGATGCCGGGGGCGTACCCCCAGCTCATCCAGCTGGATCAGGTAAGCCCTGACATGCTCTCTTCATGTGACCTGCTCAGCAACTGTCCAGAGCAACTCAGTGGAAAAAAAGATGCTGAACCATAAAACAGCTGTCAGATTTGTTCTTTCCCACACTTGGAAGAATCCACAGTCTGTATTTTGCTCCAGGATTCAGGATTGTTCTGTCTCAATCTGGCCTCATTAGTTTTGGCATTAGTGCTTAAGATTGCATAACAGCTGGTGAAGACCTTAAAATCAGCCTGAAATCAAAATTGAACTCCCTGATATCGCAAATCTGTTTTGCTTGGCAACAAGTCCAAATAAATAAACGGTACAGAAGAAAAATGCCTTATAATTTCCATTTTACATTAACTTGAAACCATGGAAAAGTTTTGTAAGATGGTGAATTTTTGGGGATTGGTGTGAACTGATAATTGGAGCTAAATTGGCCTTAGGTGTGTGTGTGAGAGTGTGTGAGTATGTGAGTGTGTGTGTATCTGCCCAGTGATGGCATGGTGACCTGTCCAGGGTATTTCCTGCCTTCTGCCCAATGAGTGCTGGGATAGGCTCCAACACACCCATGCCTGGTTGAATGAAGTGGAGCTTAGCCGGTGCTGATTAACGCTCTCCTCTGAACACGTGGAGACTTTTGGGCGTATTTCAGTGCAGACTGCTTTACAGCGGGCTACAACAAGCTTTACAAGTAGCCAGAATATTTCGGTTGAAGTGTTCTAATTCAGCATGACTACACCTGCCTACTGCATGTAAAAACAAATGCCAAGAAGCCACACTCTGAAGGAAATGAGTAGTTGGACATGTTATAATTAACCCATCTTGTGCTGTATGTCATTGGTTCAGGCATGTGTGTTTGCACTAGATTTGACTTGAGGAAGGTTTGTGGTGTATGCATAAGCTGCCAGTGCATATTTACATCACTGCTCGGCCAATTATCTAGTAATTAATGCATCCATTTGTCAACATTCATCCTTTTAACAACTTTTGTCATGCCTGTGTAAGTGAACTGTCATCTGATCAGTTCTGTAGGCTTTACAGGAAAGTTTAAACACTGCTAGTCCAATTACATGTTTGTGAAAATAAGTTAACACATCCACTCCAGCGAACTAAAATATGACAATTTCCTTCAGAATCGCAACTTTTTTTTATTTGCTGAATATAACATATTGGGAAAAATAAAAATAAATAAATAAATAAATATATATATATATATATATATATATATATATATATATATCATGTGCCATAACTTTTGCACTTTTGCACATTTAATGGTTTCTTTTTTGTGTTAAATTCAGCAAATAACTGTACTTGTGCATTAATATGTGCGGAGTTGTGTTCTTGGAAAGTCAACCAAATGTCATTTGAGGGCGCCCAAATTTTTGCATACGAGTGCAGTTACTACAGCTTTGCCAAGCAAAAGAGTTTAGCATATTTTAAAACCAGTCTCCAATCAAAACAGTGATTAAAGTTTGGTTTCTGAATATTTGATTATTTCTTTGTCGTTGTACTTTCAACTTTTTTAAAGAAACAGTTTAGTGAAATCCCTAAGTGTGGTCAGTCGCATTTAATCAAAGATCACAAATGGACAAAAGCACATTGCATAGCTAAAAGCAGTAGTAGCAGCCTGTAGTTTCTTCGTTTTATAAATAATAAGCAATATGTAATACAGTGTCTAAAACCACATACACAGGTCTATTTCAGATTACGGAACGGGCCCATGGAAAACTGAATTTGCCTTTTAGTAAGAGGTTAATGTATTATGTTTTGAGGTAAAGTTTCAAGACGTGCTGTTCACTTTTCAGCCTATACAGTCTGTATGTGGAAACTGAGCTGCAAACCAGTCTGTTTTGAATTCGCTGTTTTAGTGATGTCACAAGAACCGATTCCATATATTTAAATATATCCGCCTATTCTGCCTACAGCAGTTTAGCTCTGCCTGTTTACACTGAAGTTATAAGCAGTGTTTCAGCCCGGTCTGCTTTTCAAACCCCACACAGTATAGGGCAGCCAATCAGAACCGAGGTTATTTTTCAGTCTTAAAATCACAGTAACAAAAACAGACTGTTTAATTCTAAGGGATAGAGAGATGTTGGATTAACGGTCATGTAAAAATGAATTATGATCGGTTTTGGTTACGTTACAAGTGGATTTTTGGGGGCAAAAATGTAAACAGAAGAAAAATGTACAACATGGTCCCTTTTAAAACTCAAACTGGTTTGAAGCAAGTGTGATGTTTGATGAGGTATAAGCTCCCATTATATGTCGACTTCATTAGCAAACGTCAGAAGCAAACGTCAGACACCATTCATGTCTTGGCTGACTGTATTTGGGGGTAAAGAGAGAAACTGTGTAAATGAACTTTTTGCCAAACTCTAAACTTCAGGGTTTTTTCATTATTTTAACTGCAGTTCTGTTTTTTTTATTGCAGTCACTGTATTTTACCGCTTTTTATGTGTTCCTTTTTTCATTAACTAGAGCAGACTTAACTTCACAGCAGACTGAGTAAAGCAACTTCATAACAAACATCTCTACTGCTTTTTGCTCTCACATACTCATTTTACTGAGTCAAAACATACTGTTTACAAATGTTTACCATATTTTATGTTAGGAGATCTTTAAGATCGCCTTTTTCTCCCAGGGTGGGATTTCCCACTGGGTTTTGTCATTGTGATTATTATTGGGAATGAGCACAATTGTGAGTGCTCTCTTGGGGGTTTGGTTTTGTCAGCCCTTTTATTCAGGGGTCTTCCACAGTGGGGCGCCTGGGTCGGAAGGCTGAATGTGGGCTGTTCTGCGGAGGTTGGTGCTTTATAACGATAAGTATCCCCTCAACCCCCCCCCGACGAAGAGCTCCTCTACTACTTTGACGGACTGTGTCCAATGCTTCCACTTGGTTGACCAGCCCGTAGACCGCAAATTACAGCCCACTGATCGGTCTACCACAGTACACCAAAAACTTTACCACATTGGCCACCACTAATTGCTGGGTTTTCCCAGTCCAGACGCAGGAATGACTTCTACCCTTTGTATTATTTATGTATTTTTCGCCTAGTTTTAGGCTGGAGTGTGGAGTAGAGCCATACGCAGTGTGGCTTTTGGTTTTGGGTTCTTGTACTCAAAGGAGTTGTGCTGTGTTTTTCAATCCTAAACAAATTTTTACATGAAAAGATAACATTGCTGACAGGACAAATGCTTTATCTCCAGTTTTTGCTTTTTTTTTAATGTAATGTTTTTTGTATAATTTTAAAATGCCAGCTGCCCTTCAAAGTGTATAATAATTGCATGATGACCAATAGAGATGGGACAAAATTACTTGGAATAAAATCTTTTTACCTTGACTTACATTAGAGGTAGTTTAAATCATTAATTAAAACTAACCCAATCAAAACAAATGTGAAACTATTGATTCAGTAAATGGGCTTTAATATGTATTTTCAGCTGAAGATACAATAGGCACATAACTAGTATTTCATGTCCACATATTTGGCACGATGGTTCATGTGAAGTCATATTTCTGCAATATGGAGCTCACTAAAGTTTTAATTCTGGTTATGACCCTGCAACCGATATTGGTCAGTAATATTGGCTGTTGTTAGTGACCTGTGGTGTTATCAGAGAGAATGTGTGCGTGAGTGCCTGTATAACTTAGTCATATCATTCAGTAAATTTCTGGAGTATAAAATTAAAATCTGAAATAGGAGTATAAAATTATGCGCTGTTATCGATTGTCAGAATTGTTAGCTCTCTAAAATTAGTATCAGTCACAAACTGATCATATTGTTCAGGCCTTAATTAAAAGGATGTTTTCATTAAGGACGTTTTTGGGATCTCCTATAAAACTGCCATTTTGGAGATACAAGGCTTTGTTCTGGCAGTAACAACCTACTTGTACTTCATGTTTTAAACACATTGTTTAACCTTCCCTTTTCATTTCAGAAAAAGCCCCTCTCTGCGGTGATAAAAGAAGTTTGTGATAAGTAAGTAAATGTGTGTGTCTGTGTGTGTAAGAGAGAGATCTGGACTAACAGCAGGATTAATTATGAACGGTCTGCTGTATTTGCAATCATTTCACCTCTCAGACGCTCTAAAGTGTAATCTGCTGTTGTTGTTTTTTTAAAAGGTGGAATCTTTCAGGCCCTGAGAACTTCGCTCTTCAGTACGCAGACGGAGTCCAGACCTACATCACTGAGTCTGTGAGTCACTTCAGCCCTGTCATTATTTAAATTATTTAATTTATTTAAAAACTTCTAGAGCACTGAAGAACTTGAGTGTCATAAAAAGAGATTTAGACCAACTCTGGAGAACCTGTAAACAACAACAACCAGTATAGAGTAACTGAATAAACTGCGTAGTAACAAGCAACTGATTGGACATCATCATAACTGAAAGAATTTCTTTGACCAGTTGTTTTTTTTCTTTTTTCCTTCTTTAATAGCTTATTTTGTAATAAACTATTTAGTTTGTGGCCTTTTTTAGATGTGCCATTACTGTTCATTTTATTGTATGTATATTGTGCATCACGCTTGTCATGTTGCTCTGTCTAAATGAGTAATCTTTCTATACTATGCTACACTGGTCTGTTGACTTTGGGTGTGGTCAGACACAGTCTGTTTTGACCTTGGTCAATAATACTAGTGTGTGAGTGCACTACGGCTGCTCTTTTAAGAATTGCAGTGTGCTCTACCTGAGTGCAGTGAATAATTATTACTGGTCTGCTTTAGCACCCTTTACTCTGTGTCAGCAAAACAGTGTGCATGTATTTTGTCAGATTGCTCAAGTGCTGGTTTGCCCAGACCTGAATCTGAGAAATTAATAATACTGTGCTTCTCCCACATGAACAGCACTGCTTTCATTTTCTCTCTCTCTTTCTCTCTCCCTCTCTCTCGTGTTTTCTATTCCTGTCTCTTGGTTATGGTGTTGCCTTGCCAGCTATCATCAGCTCCATTTATAGCTGTTGCTCTAGTCTGAACTGGCTGTATTGTGGTTTGTGTTGTAGAATCGATTGGACATTAAGAATGGCAGCATTCTCCGGCTGACCAAAGCTCCAGTGAGTAACTTTCCGTAGCCCACATTTCCACCATCACAGATGACCATCATATGGAGGAGACACACATGTTTGTTGTCATTGTGTGATAATGTTGCAGTTATCATGTAGGTTATGTTTAGGAATGTGCATAATGACTAATTTTGAAGTACCTGTAAGGGTCAATGAACAGATAATTGGTTGACATCACTGGTGTTGCACAAAAAATAACAGCACACATCGAATACATTCAAAATTTTCCTTGTTCAAAAATAGTCCATGGCAACATCATCACATAAAGCATCCACTGCTTTGGAGCAGCTACTTTTAGTTGTTATGATCTACTTTATATGCATACTTTCTTGCAAATATGAACAAACTCAGCATATTTACAGTCCTGTTAAAACATAAAATTGGCATTTTGCTGAAATGTTGGACTGTGTGTTTTCCCCAGCTTCTTGTGATGGACAAATGGTAAATGAATAACTTGAGTATTTAAATATACTGGCATCTCAAGCACCTGTTCACATCCCTAGTTATGATGTAATATGATGTTTTAGCAGCCCTAGTTTGTCTGCCTATGCCTATAGTCTAAGTATATATGGTCTATAGCCTTTACAGTAATTGCAGTCAGCTTGGCATTTGGACTTTGTACTATGTTTCAGGGCCGCTGTGCAGAGGACCTGTATAAGGGCATTCAGAGTTCGGACCCCGGTGTACGCTGTGAGTCGCTGAAGGAGCTCGCTTCTGTGTCCACAGACATCACCTTCGCTCAGGAGTTTATCAGCCGAGACGGACATTCGCTGCTTGTCCAGATTGTGGAGGATGCTCATGAGTGCGTATACCCTGAACTCCACTCGGAGTCCACTCCGGGCTGAGCACTTGTGTCTTGTGCTCTACAAACTTTTCAGTGCAATCTGAGAATTGGGAAATATAAATGTGAATAAATTCATGAAAGCATTCCTGAAAGTTTTCGTGGTCTCGAAGTTACAAGTGCATTCAGGTCATACTTGAAGCTTGTGTGATTTTCTAAAGACATCCAAACCTCTTCTGTTCAAGTTCAAGAGGCTTTATTGTCACTTCAGCTGTGTACAAGTACACAGTGAAATGAAACAACATTCCTCCAGGACAAAGTGCAAAACAATACAGTGTACACAATGCCGACAAGACAGTGCAATAAATATGAGAGACAGGGTACTTGTAGGCAAAGTGATATTACTCATTTTAAATAGCATCTAATTAACAATTCAAAAGTAAGTAATCTACCTAATGATTTAAAACTGAAACTAAACTTAGCTTTCGATGTAAATGAGTATTCTGTTTCATTGTTGATTATAGCCCATTATTATATATATAGTTATAAGGCACTCCTCTATAGCAGCAATATTATGTGCAGCAATATCAGTTGATTTTATAAAATAATTTCTGTTCTGTTAGACCATCGAGCTGCTGAGCTACTACACCACTGAGCTACTCCAATGATGAACCCTCAAAGCCGATAGAAGCTGGGTTTAGGGTTATTAGTACTGAATTTGTCATTTTTATTTGATTTATTTTATTTATTTTTTATTCATTTTTATTTTAATTTAGATTTTGTTTTGGTTTTTGATTTCAGTTTAGTTTTAGTTAGTTTTAAGGGTGCATCAACAGTTATAGTTGTTTTTTTCTGAAAAGTAATAGTCTTAAATTATATTTAGTTTCAGTTTAAAAAATAGTTAGCAGGTTAGCAGGTTTTTGTTAACGGTAGAGTAAAATTAACATAACAGCAGACTGCGCTCGGCTCGGCTCCAGCTTTCCTTAAAGACCAAACACAGCAGAATTCAACTTGTAAACTCTCATTCACGTGGTGCAAAAACTGAAACTAAAGGTTTTTCCTCAGTAGTTTTATTTCGCTGAGTTAGTTTTGAAGTGAACATTATAGTATCGATGTAGTTTTCGTGCACATTTTAACAAGCACGTTTTTTACTGCTAGTTTTTGTTTTAGTAATAGTTACAGCTATGATAATTCTATCTGGGTTACAGTGATGCTTGATGCAAGAACCTGGATTTTTTTGAGCTCTTGAGTGGATCCTGAGGGGTTGCTGTTTATGTTCAGTGTAGCAGAGGGTATATAGGACTGAGGAGGTTTGAGTAAGATTTGCCTGCTGTATCTCCTCAACACTGCACTGGAACCAGACCACTGTGCAATGTGGAGATATTAGCAATATAATAGCAGGACTTCACCAGAAAAAAAGAAAGAAAAAATTGCTTTTTAACCATTTTTAATTGTTTAAGGTGTTGGATGATTAATTTACATCACAGATAAACTCCCCCATTCCACAAGCACAAATGTACTTGAGCTTGGTGTGGTGTAAGCAAGTAGGGGGAGGACTTTTCAAATATACAACAGCTTTTTATATATTTTTTTAACACAGACTCTAAATACATACACATATACATATTTACTAGTATTGCACTGTTTAAATGTACAGTTGTACTGTTATACACATTTCTGTATGTGCAATTAGTGAGTCTGAGGTAGATAAATAAATGAGATGCAGGGTAAACAGGGGATATAATATTGATATAGAAATCTTCTAGATTATACAAGATATGGATATAAGATGTACAACATGTCAATCTATATGTGTAAGTATAGATTTGCTAGATTGAGGGTGCAGTAAGATCAGAGTGAGTCTGTTGAGGTGTGGATGAGGTGTAGATTGTCCGTGGAGATCATCATGTCTCAGAGGTGCAGTGACAGGCCTATAGACCGATACACCAGCACTACTGGCTGTTACTGGCTGGTCCTGGACTTAATGCTTCTGTACCTCCTCCCGCTTGGCAGCTGTGAGAACAGACAGTGGCTTGGGTGGATGGAGTCCCCTTAGAATCCACCTGGTCTTCCTCAGGCTGCGACTGGTGTATAAATCCAGGAGGTTTGGGAGCTGGACCCCGGTGATGTGCTGGGCTGTCCGCGCCACCATCTGCAGAGCTTTCCGCTCGATGGCAGTGAAGTTCCCATACCAGGTGGTGATGGAGCCTGTTAGAATGCTCTCCACAGTGCCTATGTAGAATGTTCTGAGGATGAGGGGGTTCATGCCAAACCTCCTCAGCTTCTTGAGGTAGAAGAGGCAGTTGTGCCTTTTTTTACCACCTGTGTGGTGTGTTTGGTCCATGTCAGATCCTCTGAGATGTGAATGCTGAGTAACTTGAAGCTGCTGACCCTGTCTACAGTGGCTCCATTGATGGTGATGGGGGGTGTGCACTTTCTCTTGCTTCCTGAAGTCCACTATAAGTTCCTTGGTCTTGTTGATGTTGAGAGAGAGGTTGTTCTCCTGGGACCAGTGTGTCAGGAAGCTGACCTCCTCTATGTAGGCCTGTTGTCATTGGAGATCAGGCCCACAACTGTGGTGTCATCTGCAAATTTGATGATGACATTGGAGCTGTGGTCTGGCTGAGCAGGCATGGGTCATCAGTCATCAGTTAATCTATTCTGTCTGTAGGCGAACTGCAGTGGGTCCAGAGTGGCAGGCAGTGAGGAGTAGCTGTGTGATTTGCCTCGAAACAAGCATAGAAAATACTCAGCTTGTCTGGAAGCGCAGCGCTGATGTTATTCACAGAATGAGTTGCCCTCTTAAAGTCCGTTATTGTGTTTAGTCCCTCCCACAGGCTTCTCGTGTTGGTGGTGTTGAACTGCAACTCCACTTTAGCCCTGTACTCGAGTTTGGCTGCTTTTATGATCTTGCGGAGAGCATAGCTGGCTTTTTATACTCATCCGTGTTTCCTAATTTAAAAGTAGTGGTACATGCGTTCAGAGCTGCACGGACTTCACAGTTGAGCCACGGTTTCTCGCTGGGGTAAACACGAACTGTTTTTGTGGGCACAACATCCTCTATGCGCTTTTTGAGCTAGAGTTAACTAGGTCAGCAGTGCTGAATTAGGTTACCCTTCTTGCTGGGGTATACAGAGTCGAAGCGTATTACTGGGTCTGGGTCTTAGTGTGGATCACTAAATGGTCAAATAACTGACTGTTACACTAGCTAACCAAATGCCCCTACAGTTCAAAAGTTTGGAATCAGTGTTTTTCAGTTTGGTTTCAGACAAATGTATAAAATGATTCTAATTTGCTGGCCCTGTGCAACTTTGCAGGTTTCATTGAACTATTAGGAAGCTCTTAAAAAATGAAAACATTTTAGATGGATCCAGAAAGATGAACAGCCGATGACTCTAAAATGACTCACAAATGTGAGGAAGGCAGAAAATCCTACAAAAAGAAAAGTAAACGGGTGTTTAAAGTACATGATGTATAATTTTATTTTTTATACTATACACTAGACACTGATATGAAGATGATGAGGTTTTTTGTTGTGTGCAGGGTTCCTTTGGTTATGTTACACACGCTTACGGCCTTCATGGAGCTGATGGACCATGGAATCGTCTCCTGGGAGAACCTCTCCAGCGTCTTCATCAAAAAGGTGAGGACTGCCTCCTCCAAACACATCACTGTTGGCTGGATTTACACCAACAAAGTGCTGTTTTTCTGCAAAATTTGTCTTCAGTCTGCATGTTCAGCAAGTGTCCCGAACGAACGAATGAATGAATGAACAAGCAGGCGGATGACAGGCAGACAGATGAGCGAGCATGCTAGTTCAGTTTTACTTACTAGGTTAGCTTTCGCTTGGTTGTTGGCTTTCTCTCTGTATGTTACTCTAAATTGAACAGAGAGACTGTAGTGAAACACTATTTTGTTAAAGACCCAGGGAAGATTAATTAATTAAAAATGTTTGTATGATATGAAAATTAAGTGTTAAACATCCAGCAAGGTTTGAATGGACAAAAAGCCTGACAGAAATATAATAAAACACAGCTTAGTGTGAGACCTCTCTGGTGGAAATGTGTAATGTGTGGAAGAACATTTTTTAATGTAAGTTGTGCTTCAGACTCCTCAGTCCGCTGATAAGTGAAAACTTGGTAAAGGACTTGTCCTCTGAGGAAGTAAATGAATGATCTATTGATCTGTCAACTGATCTATATATTACTGATACTATTATCAGCGTATGTATAATGTGTAGAGACTTAAACAATGAGTCAGACCTTCTTTTTGAGTCTGTTGAGTGCGATGTTAATAGGTGAAGACATATGACGTGGTCCAGAAAACTCCCGCAAAATCTGCCCTGATGCCTCTAAATATTAAATTATTATTTCAGATGTTACAGGGCAGCTGTCAGGATCATACTGACAATATATTTTATCCTGTTTTTATTTCTCATGACTTGATGATTCTACTTCTTTCAGGTTTAACAAAAAATATCTTACATGTTGCAGCTTTAAAAATCGCTTATCAGACGTATCTGAAAGGAGTTAAACAGGCTTACAAGTGGTGTTGTAGACCCCGTTGTTGCCAGGGCTCACGAAAATGACCCAGCTTTTACATGGCAACATCTTAAAGACAGTTCTTATTCACTTTACTGATGGCTGTGCGTCCAGGGAATGCAGATAATGGCAATTCTTGCTAGCTCAGTTATGCTTGTTACGTTAGCTTTCGCTTGGTGGTTAGCTTTCGCTTGGTGGTTAGCTTTCGCTTGGTGGTTAGCTTTCTCGTGGTATGTTTCTCCTACTCGGACACAGAGGGACTGTAAGGGAAGTTTTATTAAAGCTGTGCAGGCGTGAAAATCCCACATCAGCCTTGTGATTAATGAGAATACTGCTTACGTATGCGTGGCCCAAAATTGAGACTGCCCAGTTTGCATCGAGAGCGGAGAATTTTGGAGAAATAAATTGGCCATTTGCTGGACGCTGGAAAGTTATTTCACAGGACATTCTTTGTACATATTTTATGCCCACAAGAGCAAAATGAACCTGCTTACACAGAAAACATGGATTTAGGTTCTCTGGAGCTTTAATGATGTATGCAGTGCTCTATACAGGGAGTAGGCTGGCATTTGAGATTCAGCCAATGTCTGTTTCTCTCCTTGTAGCTCAGTTTTTGTTTGTTAAATTTAAACAATTTTTTTTTTACAAGTTAGGCTTGTCGTTATCTTAAACTTTTATTTGTTGATTGTCATATAAATAGATATGATTAATGTGTTAATTTTCTTTATTTCAGTTTTTAGTTAACTATTAATAAACAAGCCTGAGTGAAAATCCGTCTGCATTGTTAGGTCTGCAGCCTTTTTTACCTAAACATGTTTCTTGCTGTGTTTTATTTACATTTGTCTCAACCTAACTGATAAATGTTTTTCATGTTCAGTTTGTTGTTAATTTATCAGATGGGTATGTAGTAAATGTGACAGGCTTATTATAATCCTAGAACACACTATTACGTCAGATACATGAGTAAAGTAGTAATAGTGAATGAAAAGTGTTAATATTGGGAATGTATTGAGAAATTCACACTTCAACTCTCCTGTTTCTCTGTGTGTGTGTGTGTGTGTGTGTGTGTGTGTGTGTGTGTGTGTGTGTGTGTGTTCTCAGGTGGTCGGTTTTGTGAATGGAAAGCTACTGGATGCCTCTATCCAGCAGGTTTCCCTGGACATCATGGAGAGCATGGTCCTGAGCAGCAGCAGCCTCTTCCAGCAGATCAGAAAGGAGATCACTCTGGATCAGCTCATCTCCCACCTGCAGGTGTATGTACACACACACAAACACACACATTCATGCTCATTTTACATGTCTGCTGATTACTCTGCAGCTCTGGAGTAGGACTGAATGGAGCCGATATACCGAGAACTTAGTTACTCCTAAACCATGGCACCTGTAGTTGTGTGGAAAGTGCTACTGATTTGGTTCAGATTGACTTAGATTGTTGTAAGTTTCAGACTTAATAAAGTTCAGTCTGTTGGACTGAAGTAAAAACAAAAATTCAGTTTGTTTTTAAAGATAAATAACCTTGGAGAACAGTATGTCATACAGTGTGAGAAACCACAAGGAAGTCTATTTGAGTGCTACTTTATGATGGTCCAGGCATGTAGTTTAATTCTAATTGGTGGGTTATAAGCTTTCCGTACTTGTTAGCTGCATTAGCCTTGTAGTTTCAGGGCAAAACTAAAGAAACAATTTGCAGACACAATATATTTTGGCTGATGGACTGCAGTGGTGTAAGGAGGAAGCTGTGTAAAGAAGATATGGTTTCATAAGATTTCACCTTCAATAACGGGCAGACATTTGTTGGTGTAGTGCCTGTCTTGTTCTCTCTATCTTACTTTCTCTAAATGATTCATATCTGCCAAATTTAGGTCCAACCAGCTGCTTCAAACTAAAGCCATGGCCCTCCTGATGGCCCTGTTGCAAACTGCTGGGGAGACAGATAGGCAGGTGAGTGGACTCTCTGGCCTTGTCTTCAATTTCCCTTGGCAGTGTCTGTGATCATATTTTTTTTAACAAAGCTAAAGGGGGATTCCAGCGTTTTTTTTTCTTCCAAATTTCTTATAATTAAGATGTCAATAAATGTCATTCCGCGTGGTTTGATGTGAAATGCTCCCTTTATAGAAACTTGTTCACAGTGGTGATGATAGGAATCAGACATCTGAAAAGGTTAGAAATACACTGCCTGATGCATAAGACATTGTTTTATGATAGTTTGGCATGTATTTTATATATATTGTTATCTTGATGCATTGTTACCATACAGTATGCTTTTCTGAACATATAGTGTATATCATCGGTGCTTGGAGAACACTGACCAACTGCATGTTTTATTATAAGAAGAGCAACATTTCATTATAAAGATAGAAAAAAAAAAACTTAGTTTAACTGGATTTGGTGCAACACAGTATGTCACATATTGAATAGAAATCATTGTATTCACAGTTTTTCATATTTTTTATAATGTAGCACTGCTGGTGTCCGATATCTGAAAAAATAAATATTGTGACATATCATGTATCATTAAAATAGCTTGAAGTATTGCGATATTATATTTTTGTCATATGGCTCACTTCTACTTTAGTCAATATGTTTCTCTACGTTGAACCATTTCACATCAAATCACTTTGAATTACTTTACATCTCAACAATTGAGTTATGCAGAAATATTAAGAAAAGTTGTGCTACAGTGGACTAGTTCACATCAAACCACTCTGAGTGAACTTATTTACACCGCAACCACTAAATTATGCAGAAATTAAAAAAAATAAACATTTGGTGGAATTCTCATTTAATGAAAATCTCCTTTCAGCTTTAGGCACCCCAGTTGCCTTGCCTAGAGAAGTAAATCTAATCAGTCATGTCTGACGTGAGAAAGCATTTAACCATTACACCAGCACAGCCAAACCTACGGTCAGAAGTGGAGCTACCTGGAATATAATGCAGGAAGTTGAGGTATCAGCTGATAAGCGGAAGTGTTATTATCGTGTCATTTAGAGGAAGAGATTTATATAGAGCAGCAAAGAAAAACATTTTGTATTTTTGTCTATGGCTAAACCACACATGCTGATCGTATGGTAAAAGACTTTAAAGGGGAATTTCACAAATTTTTGTTTTTAATTTCTGCATAATTTAGTGGTTGTGATGTAAATAAATTCGTTCAGAGTGGTTTGATATGAAATGGTTCACTGTAGCACAACTTTTTCTCTACACTCAAGAAACAAAGTAAATGATTTCTTTACAGTGGTGGTGATGGGAACCAGGGGTGGTGATGTTTACAATGCAACTATAGCTATTTTATGTACTATCCAAAATGACCAGTGAATACATATACACGTGTCTTCAGAGTTTTTATATCCAATGTAGATATTGAAACAATGCTTTGAAAAAACCTGAAAAAATGTTGCCTTACAATACCTGTGCCTCTCTGACCTGTTAAAAAAAAACAAAAAAAACAAAAAGAAGAACAAGTACACACACATATATGTTCTAGGCCAAAAGCTAATCTCAGAACTACTGTGAAACAATGTCTCATGCATCAGGAAACGCAAGAATTTCATGTAATAACTTTCTTCAGATGTCTGGTTCCTGTCACCACCAATGTGAATAATTCTGACTCTAAGTTTCTCTATCCACTCTGAATGACTTTATTCACACACAAACACCTAAAATATGCAGAAATTTTAAAAAATCAGTGAAATTCCCCTGTGTAATGTGTACTTTAAAAAGTGTATTTTCACCTGAGGTTTGCTGCCCCCTTCAGTTTGTGCCATTCCTGTCAAAGAACTTAAACCAATTCAGTAGAAAACACTGGGTGTACATTGATATTTAGTAAATGGACGTTATTCATTGTGTATTTCAGGAACTTTTTGCTTTCCTTGAGAAGAAGAACCTGCGCCAGTACATCTACAAGGTGAGGTGAAAACCTGCTGCAGGTCTTTAGAAATGAGTTTTAGTGGAATAAAAAAAAAATTGCTTGTGCATTTTTTGTGAGTAATGAGTCTCAGTGCTATAAATGTGAGTTCTGTGTTTTGTCTTTCAGAACATCATCCACAGTTCAGGTTCGGTTGGAGATGAGATGGCTCATCACCTGTACGTGCTGCAGTCAGTGCGTCTGAACCTCCTGGAGCCGCGCATGAGGACTCCGCTGGACTCCTTTAATCAGGTCTGCGCTCTCAACTCGGCTCAAAGAAGCTTTATTGGCTTTATTATATTAATTTACGGTTTTGCCCCAGTGTCGTTTGTCGTGCATCAGCCTATTAATTGTTAAAAATATAATCAAACCTCAAACCTTTATTTTTTTTTCCTCTGGTTTATTACTTCACCATTTGAAAACGTCACCTGCCGTTCACATTGTGAGAACATTTTCATGTCAAACTGACCAATAGAAATGATCCAGATTTCCTTGAAATAATGATTTATTACAAAATAATAGTTTGTTACATTAATGTGAAGTTAAGAACATTTCCTTCTCATATAAAGTTACTATTTTGGAGGTGCAAAGTTACTACAGCAACAATATATAAGCAGTACTATTTTGACTATATATATTTATTTATGCATTATAGTAGAAACCTGGACAACTACTGGCACCATCCTGTCAGTTTCCCAGCACACTTTCATTATACCTGTGAAGGGTAGTGTTGTATGAAGTATAGAAACCTCAGTACTTTCTCAATACTACGGTGTGGTAAACAATATTCTACATTTCAACATTTATTTAAAGAGCCTATATCCTTTTCTTTTAAATAAGAGTAGGTTAACATTGCTGAAGTTTCAAAACACCCCAGTCCATACAGTCCATATATTAATATCAACCTGCAAAAACAGCCTGTGTTGAATTTATTGTTTTTGTAATGTCACAAAAAACAAACACATTCACACAGATTACTATTCGACATACAGCAGTTTGGCTCCACTCATTCACATTGAAGTTATAATGAGTGTTTCAGCCTGGACTGCTTTTGAAATGAGGTCCTATACATGCCAGCCAATCAGAGAAGCACATTCAGTGACTGTTACAGCTACACTGTGTTAAAGAGCACAGTGTAAGATCTTTCTTACCCACTGCTATAAAGCTCTACAACGAGTCTCCTTACTGCAGAGATGGTTCTGACCTCCTGCTGTCTGAACTGTGCTGAATTCACATCACTATATCACCTCTCCTGTTAATACACACTGTGCAATATATCATAACCGCTACTGTGATGACACTCTCACTGTGCACTTCAGACTGTAAACACTGCTGATACTCCTAGTTATGTTTGTTCTCATTGTGTTGTAAACTATCTCATACCACTTAGTGCAAAACCTGCTCTCATATAAATACAACAAATCTGTCTTCTATGCTATGTAAATATGCAGACATGCTTCTATTCCTACTCTCTCATACTCTAACTTATGTCTTTTTTTATTTGTCTGTCTATCTGTCTGTTTATCTATCAGAACAGAGCTGATTTTTATACTTCAGTACATATCTAGCATATTTATAGGTGCTTAACCTTTTCAACTCCTTGAGACCATGGGTGGTTCCAAAACGCACTTCGTCATATTCTTCATAACTTTCATATTTCATAAGCTACATTCAAAAAGTGGGTGTCATATGGGAGCTGTAACTGTCTTCTTTCCAGTCAAGTAGATGGGTAATGTAATTTTAAATCCTTATAGTAAAAGAAGCTGAACTCACAAATTTTTTAGTCTACTGAAAGTCGACCCATTTTTCCACAAATCTAGGCCGTAAACTATAAACAGATGGCGTCTCTTAAGTGATCTGCTCTGTAAAAATTGTTTTTATAAAATAATACAAAGAGCGTCTAAGATCTTTGGCTTTCAGCAGTAAATTGTAAGCATACAGCAATATGTATATGATCATAAAACACACGTTCTGTTAATTCGAGGGGAGCTTTAAAAAAATAATAATAAATAAAATAAGAATTTACATTTATTTCATGCAGTTACTGAATAATTTGCCTTACGATTTGGTCATGTAAATTCAGATGTAAAAACCAAAATATACCCTGGTCAGTAAGAGGTTAAAGGCGCTGTAACAAAAACAGTCTGTTTAAAATGATCATGTGAAAATGAATTATGGCTGTTTTTGATACAAAAACAGACACAAACATCTTAAGTGGGCCTCAGGAAAATAATAAAATATAAGAAAGAAGTGAAGGATATGGGCCCTTTAAAGCCTAACACCACTTCAACGATGTATTCTGTGCTCTGTTAAGCTGTAGCAGTTTGAGTGCCTTTCTATGTTCAGTTCAGTAATCTGTTTATATTTTTTGCTATAGTATCATTGAGGTGTTGAACATTGTGATGCTACACTTGATATCAGTATCAAAGTCAAAATACTGTTATTGTGACAACCCTAGTGGAGGAAAAGTGTGTTGAATTCTTTTGTATCTGCCAGCCATGGAGCATTATATGCCTGTATTTTCAGTAGCAGAGAGTCAGGGATGAAAACGATGTTTTCTTTGAAGTTTTCTTGGATATTCTTGTGTCATTGGCAGTCTCTCTCTCTCTCTCTCTCTCTCTCTCTCTCTCTCTCTCTCTCTCTCTCTCTCTCTCTCTCTCTCTCTCTCTCTCTCTCTATTTTGTCAGATTGCTCAAGTGCTGGTTTGCCCAGACCCAAATCTGAGAAATTAATAATACTGTGCTTCTCCCACATGAACAGCACTGCTTTCATTTTCTCTCTCTCTCTCAGGAGCAGAGGGAAGCGCTGCACAGTTTACGCCAGGCTGTGTTTGAGACGGAGAGTGAGGGCAGTCTGAGTAACGAGCGGCGTCGTTCGCTCTGCGCTAAAGAGTTCAAAAAGCTAGGCTTTTCGGTGAGAACAAGCTAATGACTCTGCTCTGCGTGGCCCAGATTCATTCCGCTTTACTCAGATTATGTGAAGGAGTGAAAATGTTATTTTTCATTATTAGCTTATTTTAATCATTACAATTATTCACACTTATGAAAGTACATTTTAAATGTTAATTATATTTTGTATATTACATTTATTATATTTCACAATAATATTTTACATAATAACAAGTATGAACTATGCTTTATGTCCCACTGTGCGTGGGTAGTGTGTTTACCCTGTTAAAGGATAAGGAAAAACAAGGATAAACAGGAAATTGCATCATCAAGACCTTTCCTAAGTGAACGGCCATGTGAAATCTTTACTAGTCGTGAGAATAGTTTCAGTAACAGGGCTGCACACACACTGTGGGATATGATACAACTATATATATTAGTTTTTAATGCAAAATAGTTCTTTCTTAATAAAAGGAAAATGTGAAACAATCCGTTATAAGTTAAAAATGAGACACAAGTTCAAACAACAATATTTTTAGTATTCTGTGCATCTATTCTTAGGTGGGATTCTATTAGTAGGGTTAGTCTTAACATGAGTGAAGTGAGTAAAGCTAAAGTTTGAATTTGAAGCTGGCCTGTAATTTTTTCTAGATTCTATTTTTATACGAAGCTCTGATGTTGGAATATCTGAGAGGAAGATTTCTCTGTGTGTGTGTGTGTGTGTGTGTGTGTGTGTGTGTGTGTGTGTGTTCCAGAATAACAGTAACCCAGGTCAGGACCTGGGCCGGACTCCTCCAGGGCTGCTGGCTCTCGACACCATGACATACTTTGCCTCCCGTTACCCAGATGCCTACAGCAGAGTGAGAGACAGACACATTCTCACACTGATCTCACCTTACAGTTACTCACTGACTAAACCTCCTCTCTCTGTCTCTTTTCCTCTCTCTGTCTCTCTCTAACTTTGTCTGTCTCTCTCTGTCTCCTTTTTGCCTCTGTATCTCTCTCCTTTTCTCTCTCTCTCTCTCTCGCTCTCTCTCTCTCGCTCTCTCTCTCTCCCTCTCTCTCTCTCTCTCCCTCTCTCTCTCTCTCTCTCTCTCTCTCTCTCTCTCTCTCACTCTCTCACTCTCACTGTCCTGTAGTTTGTTCTGGAGAACAGCAGCAGAGAGGATAAGCATGAGTGTCCATTTGCCCGCAGCAGCATCCAGCTCACACTCATCCTTTGTGAGATTCTGCGTATCGGAGAAGCACGTGAGCCATTTTATTCCTTTTTTTCTTTCTTTTTACGCTTTTTTAAAGCACTGCCCTGCCCTCTTTCAACGCACCTGCAATCATCAATTTTATCTGCTTGGGGAAAGGGTCCGAAGCACAGCCCGCCTTACAAAATGTTCTTCTGCACAATGTGTGTAATTACAAATTTCCACCAGAGAGGTCTCCAAATCCCCAAAACTTACATTGTGTAGCTTTAAGTAATCAGTTACATTGACATTGTGTTGTTTTTTCCTGGTTGTTTTCATATTAAAAATTACAAAAATGCATCCCAAATGTAAATTATCATTATCATCTTACACAAGTCTGTGTAAAGTATAATAAATGATCTCTTGTATTTACAAAAACAAATTTGGTGTAGATGTGAACTTTCAATGAGCTATGAAGAAAAGGTGTTTCAAGGAGTATATGCCATGGTAGACATATAAGGGTTATCTCTCTCTCTCTCCCTCTCTCTCTCTCTCTCTCTCTCTCTCTCTCTCTCTCTCACTCCCTCACTCTCGCAGCATCAGAGACAGGTTCGAACTACCACCCCATCTTTTTTGCACAGGACAGACTGCTGGAGGAGCTTTTCTGCATCTGCATCCAGCTGCTAAACAAAACCTGGAAGGAGATGAGAGCTACACAGGAGGACTTTGATAAGGTGGACCACTCATGGTTTTTACATATTATTTGTTGTATTCTGTCCAGTAAGACTGTAAAAAATAATACATTAATCTGAAGGTGATGACAGAACCCATTAAAGTCCATTAAAATTGTCCACGTTATAGAACAGAAATATGCAGTACAGGTCCCTTTTACATTTTTAGGGATACTTTAAGAACACTTACCCACTGCTAAAGCCTGAGTAGACATGATCAGCCTCCTCAGTAGCGGACATTGACAAATGATAAGCTTAGCGTTGGTATTGTGACATTTGTGAGTGTTTGTTATTGGGATATGGTGAATTGTTTGCCTAGTTCTTGAGATGGCAGTGGAATTATGGGAGAAGCCATGGATTGAGGCAAAAAGCTAAAAGAGCTAAAATAATGTCGTAACATCATTTAATTAGTGGTTTTTTTTTTTCATGAAACATATTAACAGAAGAATTACATGAACACTGCCAACCAGAAACAGTGCAAAATGCCATTAATTAAGTAAAAAAAACAGCAGTTTTTTCCCTCATTCTTATGAATATGTACTTTAAATGTATTCTGAATATGTAACTTTTTATGTATTGTAGTAGAATATGTTACTAAATACATTTACAACAATGTATTCATTATTCAGCCAACATTACTTTTTCAAAGTATTTAGCTCAACACTGTTTATATTTCATTACTATATAAACAGTTCCTCCAAAATAATCAAATCAAATTAAACGCTGGTGAAACGTGAAATTTTGTGATTTATTTAATTGTTTCTAAAGAGTACCTGTGGTAGTTGTCCAATCATTTGTCCTTTTTGGAACTTCCATTGCTTTGTACCAGTTTAATTTACTTACTTGAAGTTAGGCGGTTAAAGTTACTGTGAATTCTGTGTTTTTAAATCATTCATTGTGTGAAGTGACCAGCTGCAGTGTTGATTTTATGGTCATGAACAGCACTACAATGGGATATTGATTGGATCATCTGGGCAAGTACTACGGCTGAGAAATATTTAGTCTGGCCTGCTATTCAAATACAGCTAAACCTTCAAAGGAACAGGTTGTGCATTCGAAGGCTCTTTGTAAGTCTGTGAATATTCATATGTCCTTCTTTTAATGTGTGGTGGAGGATCCTCCCACTGGACAAATGCTCCACAACATGCCTCTTTTTCACAAAGCGTTTTTGGGTCATAAACAGACGGCCTTTTGACCCTTTGGGGTGGAACGAGTGTCCGGCCTTTTGTTTGTGATGACCGTTTTCTCCCGCAGTCCTCGTGGCCAGGGGCAGTGAGCCCCATCTTTTTATGAAGGTATTAGCGCAACAATAGCAATCCCACCCTGTAGCACAACTACACAGAGAGAGAAATCTGCTCCCCAACACAATCACTTACTAACATCAGCACTAAATTACACTCCACAGTAACAGAGCTCACCAGAGAGAGAGAGAGAGAGCATAACAAAAGAGAAAATAAAGAGAAACAAACTTTCCAGTCTAATGTAGAGCTGGACGTTATCGATAAAATTCAATATTGCTATATTTTCCAAATATCGGTTTCACAGTATCAGATTATATTTATGTTAGCATTAATAACATTAGTGAGCTCATGATTCATTCTTAGGTGTTGAGGTCTGTTCTGCTTTTCCTAAAATTGCACCTTATTGTAAACTGTTCTTTCAAAACACTCCGAGGCAGCCAGAAAATGATACACATTGCAGTTAAAGATGAGACTGTGCTACTTTTTGTCTTTTCTGATGCCAATACCAACACTGCAAACGACCAAGCTTTAAAATGAGCGCTTGACTTAAGATGAACCAAAGTCCTCGTTGGAAAGTCTGTCTGCTTGACAGCCACCTTGGCAGCGCCCTGGTGCAGTCATTCCAGTAATGCATTCCAGTCAGACTCTGATCTCTTTGTTTTGGGGGAGATCTATAAATCCAAAACTGAATGTCACATTAAAGTGTTACTGGTGAAATCTGACTTTGTACACTCTCAAAAATGATGGTTCTTTAAGGGTTCCTTAGTAAAGAAAGTGGTTCTATATAGAACCAGGAACGCTCAGAGAATCATCTGCATGATTTAAAGGGTTCTTTACATTGTTGAAGTGTTCTTCCGATCGATGGAGAATGTGCTGTAGATGGTTCTATATAGAATCTTTTTGATAGGGTTCTGTATAGCACCAAAAAGGGTTCTTTTATTGTCACAGGCTTTTGATAACACAAGCAAAATAAGCTAGCTAGCGAAACACTATCATTAGCTAACAGAACTATCTTTCCCTTACAGGAGGTGATGACTATTTTTACTCTATGTAATGTGTTCTTTGCACACTCACCACACATCCACTTGCTATACTGGGAAACTTTCAGCTATGCTAACTTACATTACATCCATGGGCTAACGATAAAATTGTTGTCCGTTGAACATGAATGAGCGCCCGTCACTCCCTACTTTGAGCTCTGGTTTCACGAAGTGTTGGATTGGTTTAGAAAATAGAAAATTAGGTTGTCCCCATACATTCTTGTTACAAAGTCAACATCAACATCATGTGAGATAACGTAAGTGCTATTTTAGGATTGGATCAGATTCATTCTTTTTTTTTTTTCATTCGACATATGATCCAGTAAGTTTTTGTTGTCTATCAGTACCACTACAGCTTAATATCCATAGTCCGTGGCACCAGTACTGGTATAGACTGTGTTGTTCAGCATTTAAGAAAACATTACACAGCTATTGCTTTAGGCTTTAGGGCTGTATTGCCTCCTTGCAGTAGCCCGCTGTGCGTAGATACTGCTTAAACACTCAGTCTGCTCTCAATATAAGCTCATTGCACTGGTTAACATTCCTCCAAATTGACTCAGTGGTGTTTCTGCACACCTCAATGCCTCGCCCTTTCTTTTTTTCTCCTCACTGTTTTTCTCATTTTGTCATATTCATCGCTCACTCTTTTTCTCCAAGAACTGCCTGACTGTGCTTTTTCTCTCCACTGTTAATCGCTTCTGGCAGTGAGTTTCTGCCAGCTGGTTTCCTGGGGCCCATGCTGTGTGTGTGTGTGTGTGTGTGTGTGTGTGTGTGTGTGTGTGTGTGTGTGTGTGTGTGTGTGTGTGTGTGTGTGTGTGCGTGCGCTGACTCTTTTGAGGGCGGGTTTTTCAGAGAGATGCGCCATGTGTGTTTGGGAGTGCGTATCAGTGTCTGTGCGTTGGAGGGAAGGTCTGTATGCAAACACACACTCCGTCACTGCTAGGTGAGGGTCCGGAGAGGCAGCTTTTTAACTGAACCATGGCGGAGGTAGGTTTACATACTGAATATACTGTTGATACCCAGACAGGAAAGGATGATTTGAGACAGAAGTGGAAGGAAAGATTAGATGACAGAGGAGAAAGAGAGAGAGAGAGAGAGAGAGAGAAAGAGAGGGAGAGGAGGTGTGGTAGCTCTGTTTGTTGATCAGCTGTGGGCAGCTGAGGGTCCAGCACTGCTGTGTGTTGGGGACTTCATTATTTACTTCATCCCTGCAGAGAGCATCTATAGATTTATCATTCAGATGCATGTTTGTTTAACATGTGAATGTCTTGATGCGAAGGTGAACTCTACTGAATTTTTTTTTTTTTTTCTCAAATTTCTGCATAATTCAGTGGTTAATATGTAAACAAAGTCATTCAGAGAGGCCTGATGTGAAATGGTTAATTGTAGAGAAACGCGTTGACTTGGATGTGTCTGTGACATCAGGCAGCGAATCATAACTGTTTCATATAATCATTTTCAGGTGAGGTAGGCTTTAACAGTAAACATGGACGTCTGGTTCCTATCACCACTATTGTAAACAATACTAACCCAGCGAGTTTTTCTGGACCAGAGTTTTTCCACATCAAACCACTCTGAATGACTGTGTTTTTACATCTTAATTACTTAATTATTCAGAAATGTTGAAAAATCAGTGGAATTTCCATTTAAATTGTCAGTAATAAGTGTCTGTTATCAGACTGCAATTTTAGACCTCCTGTGGCTCTTATGTCACAATTATTATTGAATTACCTACTAGAGGTATTAATTACCTATTAGAGAGGTTGTGGGACGTTTAGTAAAAATCTGTTTTGTTTTGTTTTTTTTTACCTGCTTCACCTGTGTAATAGTATTTTAGTGTCCTCTGAAGCCAAAGACCCAGAGAGATTGTTTATTTCATTTTTTTGCAGCTGTTGATACCTGCACAGGTGTTCTTGCTCTTGCCAGAGCAGTTAATCCCCTATGAGAATTTTAAACTGTCTGAATGAAAAACACTGGAATTACCAACTGATTAACATAATTACTGTAAAATATGTTGGATCAAAACCCATTTCCCATTTTAATATGATTTGAAAATGCCAATAGAAATGGTTTAAAATTGCTTGAGTAGAAAATCTTGTTATATTAACATAGATTAAAGGTTAATAAGGTTAAGTCTTGAGCCACCTTGCCTCTTTTTTCACCTTTTACTTTTCAGTTAAGTAAGAAAAATGTCTGCAAAGGTTCTATTAGCATAAGACAGCTGTCTGCTGAGGCTTTGTGTATTTTTAGCTTCAACGTTCAGATTCATGTTCATTCAAGTGTCTTCCTATTGAATGACGAGCAGGTTTTTCTATTGTTAAAAGCACATTTTGAAGATACTGGTCTCAACTGGAAGGTTTGAGTGCTGATGAGTGCTGACATCACAACAAGGGGATACAAAGCGTGGCCTTTGGTTTGATTCCCAAGGAAGTGTGGTCCCTTATATTGACTCAAATATTAACACGTTTTTGACATTGTTTTCATCAAATTACAACTGCTTACTGTTAAATATAACAAGTTAGATCAGCCAAGATAAACATCTGTATTAAATAGCATTTTATTAAGGTGTTCCCAAACTATTGACAGAAGGCAGTGTAGATCAGTTACCTGAAATGTGTAGTAAATATTCTGTAAACTTACCCGAAGTTTGAAAGCTTAAGTTAAAGCTGAAAGTGGCACTTTAGTGGGTCAATGTGACACTTGCTCATTTAGCATTCCCATGGTCATGGTAATAGGCTGAGAGAGACAGTGAGACAGTGAGTGAGTCGAGGGCTTGTGGTGAAGGCAGCTGAAGGGAGTGAATTGTGGTGATTTCGGCAGGGGTCAGTTCTCTCTAACGGCTGAGCTGGCCGGTCATTGTGCTCCTGTCTGTGGCACAGCTGGGGATTCAGCTCTGGACAGAAACCGAAAACTCCATTGTGTTTTCTGTCCCTTCCTCCTTTCATTTCCTCCTCTCTGTCTTTCTCTCGGCTCGCTCTCTCCCTCCCTCGCTCCTGACCTTTATTTGGGTTGCCTGAGGTCGAGCTGTGTATGTCTCTTTGAATGTGTCTGTGTCCATCAGGTCAAGCATAACTGTCACATCCCATACAGACACGCACGCACGAGATGGCACACAGCGCAATTATTCACTCATTTGATTAATATCAGTTTAGCTGTGTGATGGACAGAAGTGACAAAAACTGCTGAAAAAAAAACTCCCACATGACCATGTCGCATGTTATGAAAATGAAAATGGCTACAAGCTGTTGTGTTAAGAAACTGTTGAACGAACAATACACATTAACAGTAATTCCACCGATTTTATGACATTACTGCATGATTCAGTCATTCATGTCATTAAGAGTGGTTTGATGTGAAGACTTTCTGAATCAGATTTCTTTACAGTGGTGGTCATAGGAACCAGGGGTCATAATGTCTACATGTAGCCATTTTATTTATAATAAAATTATATCCAAAACCACGAGTGAACCCACACATGACTTCTGAGTGTTATATGTAAAATTGATAATAATAAAATAGTGGAAAATCTGAAAATTATCTGTTTTTTTGGGGGGGGGGACTATTTTGCCTAACAACACCCTACCTCTCTGCCACAAAGGCAGCATATTCATAACCTTTTCATGTAATAACTTTCTTTGAGGGAGCTTTTAGAGGCATTAAACACTTCAGACGTCTGGTTCCCATCACCACCACTGTGAACAGTTTGACTCCCATCAAACCACTCTGAAGACTTCGTTTACATTTGAATGATTTAATTATGAATGTTAAAGCTGAAACTGACCTTTCAGTGGGTCAGTGGGATACTCGCTCATTAAGCATTCCCATGATCCTGGATTAATTCTGACTCGGTTAGTTTCTCTAGAACAAAACATTTCATATCAAAACACTCTGATTGACTTTGTTTACATTTGAATGATTTAATTATGAATGTTAAAGTTGAAACTGACCTTCCAGTGGTCAGTGGGATACTTGCTTATTAGGTATTCCTATTCCCATAATCATGGATTAATTCTGACTCCGTAAGTTTCTCTAAAACAGAAATTTCACATTAAACCACTCTGAATGCCTTTGTTTACATCTTAACCATTTATTTATGCTGAAATGCTTAAAAAGCTGTAGAATTTTTCTTTAACTGGGTGTCTAAATCTCTGACCTTGCAGTGCTTCATTTTGATTAATATTCTTTAGGAAATTATTTTATTTCTTACATTTTATGTTGGACAAAAAATAATCACATACTTTATTGAATATGTTTGTAGTTGATTTTAACATTCCAAAATCTAGACAGTGAATTTCCACCTTTAGATTGATGCATGTTTACACCTCTAACATTAGCCTAACAGAAGAGCCCAGAACTGATGTTAATGTCTGTGTTACACAGGTTATGCAGGTGGTCCGAGAGCAGATCACCAGGACCCTGTCCAGTAAGCCCACCTCACTGGAGCTCTTTAAGAACAAGGTGAATGCTCTGAACTACAGTGAGATCCTGAAGCTGCGGCAGACTGAGAGACTGCATCAGGAGGAGACTCTGGCCCCGCCTGTGCTGTGAGTGACAAACATCACCAAATCAATAATTTAAGAGATAATGATTTTTGAGTTATTACAGTGGAAGCTGTTGTGCTGTAAACATTTTGCTGTTCCTGGCTGTTGGGGAGCAAATCACTGCAGCTGTGTGTCTGTATGTGTGTGTGTTTGTGTGTGTCTGTGTGTAGTGAGCTGAAAGAGCGTCTGAAGCCAGAGTTGTTGGAGCTGATCAGGCAGCAGAGGCTGAACCGGCTGTGTCATGGCACGCTGTTCCGCAAGATCAGCAGCCGTCGGAGACAAGGTGAGGTACTTCCTACGCTCAGAGTAGCAGTGCTGGTTTAGGATCAGCGCCTCGACCTTGAGCTAATGTTGGTTGTTGCTGGTAACTGTACACATTTGAGTCTGTCATGTAAAAGAAGATTAAGAACATTTTAGTTTGGGTGAAATTATACATTGGCTATTTCAGATAAGCTTTGGTACTGCCGGCTCTCTCCAAATCACAAAGTCCTGCACTATGGGGATGTGGAGGAGGAGACGGAGACGCCCTCCATTGAGACTCTGCAGGAGAAGAGTAAGCGCAATCACACTCTGTTCGAGCTGGATTTAAGGATGGATTTACTGGATTCCAGTATGAATCTGCAATGTGCATAGTGTTAAAGTCTGACTGTAATAATTGTGGAATGGTTTTAATCCAGTATAAATCTACAGTGTGTGTGTGTGTGTGTGTGGTGTTTACAGTCTTACTGTAGTAATTGTGGTGTGATTTTAATCCAGTATGAATCTGCAAGGTGTGTACTTTTTACAGTCTGACAGTAATAATTGTAAATCCAGTATGAAACTTCAGTGTGTACTTTTTGCAGTCTTACTTTAATAATTGTTGAGTGATTTTAATCCCATATAAATCTGTAGCACCTGTAGGGACTCGATCTAAGGGTCTTACCTAATGGCGTAGTAATGGCAGCAGAATGTTCACTTGTGACTGAATGTGTGAATACTTGGTTCAAAGGCCAGTTCTTTAAGCAAAAGACTACAGCTAACCTATCTGTAGTCCTGTGCTGTGTGGAAGGACAGATAGATGTAAGAGCTATTACTCTTTAGTTGAGATGTCTTGTGTCTTCCCACAGTCCCTGTGGCAGATATCAAAGCGCTGCTGATTGGAAAGGACTGTCCACACATGAAAGAAAACAAAGGCAAACAAACCAAGGTTAGTCCCTGTTTTCTCCCTATTTTTTTCTTTCAGCAGCATTTAAACACACAGTTTTAAAGGTGACAGACCAGAGCAGGCTTTTGCTTTGTTAAACAACACAGATCTACTATCCTTCGTCAATCTGTGTTTTTATCAAACAGCTTGAGACCTGCCTTAGCCAACTAACTCCGCTGTAGGAAAAACAAATGCTTAAATTTGAAAAACAGAAATCTGGCTTTCACAACTACTCCAGAGAGTGAAAACAACTCGTAACATAAGCACTCAGCGCCCCCAAATTACGCTGCTGATGTTTTTGTTCTGCAGGAGATGCTGGACCTGGCATTCAGCATTACGTATGATGTTGAGGAGTACAGCTTGAATTTCATCGCCTCTTCCAGAACAGATGTAAGTGAGACTCCATCATTCCATTAGTCCATTATTCAGCACTGCCTTATGACAGTGCTCAGATGGTGTCTATGATAAAGTGCGTAGTGTGCGCTAAAGGGGGGAAAGGGAAAAATATTTCATCATTATCATCATCATTTTTATTTATGTAGTGTTTTTTTTCCAATACTCAAGGACAAATATATTCATATTTATTATGCTGAAATACCCTGATGGTCAATAAATAAAGTATTATTAATACATGATGTAATGATAATAAGACTTGCCTTATTATCATTATCAGAATTGCCACTGAGCTGTGAGTGTGGTTCCTACATGTGGTTTAATCTAAAACATTTTCAGCGTCAGTGATGAAATAAAAACAGCACCACCCTACAGATGATCAGGACAGCATATGTCTAAAGACAGTGGGTGTGTTTACAAAGATTTTTGCCAATCTGATTGAATACATTCCGATTCACATTCCGATTTAGACTGAGGTGTTTATATGCTCATTCTGCTCAACAGTCTGATGGAAAATCTCTGTTTACATGCTCACTACAAGTAGTCAGATCCAAATGACGCGCATGCGTAGAGTACCACTTAGTGTAGACATTACCATGATGGCAAGCATTATGCGAGGTCCAGTCAGAGTGAGACGAGTTTCCTGCTAGCACGTTTATGTTTTTAATTGCTTTAAAATAATGGCAGAAAAATGTACTTCAACTGAAATTAAGGAAGCAGTGAGAGGAAGACGTCATGTTCTGAGACACATAAGACTAAATTACTGCTACTGACATTCCCACTGCAGGTTTGCTCTGAGGAGTTTTGTCCGAGCTGATGCCTCACTTGACTGAGAAAGTAGCACATAGAGACCTTTTGTGATGGGTTGAGAGACATGACAAGCATTATTTTGCAAATAGTCAATTCTTCCACCTCATTAACAGTAGGCTGTGGTTGCCTAGCAACATGATGGTTAAAGATTATTCCATGAACAGCACAGTGGTTTTAGTAAATTGCATGTTTTGTTAATTTTCTAAGTAAATAGGTTAAAACATCTTCTACAGAGAAAACACTATTAATTGATTAATTATCACATTATTTTTGTGCCTGATTTCTGTGTATTTGCCTAGTGTATGCTTATTTTTCCCCAATATGTAAAATTCAGAAAATAAATAGTAATTCTGCATTAATGTGTGCAGAAGTGTGTTCTCTGTAGAGGATGTGTGAGGACTTGTTTTCACTTAGAAAATCTGTAAACACACATCATTTGGACAGGGACAGAATTTTTTGTGTAAGACTCTAGTACTAGAGTACTAGATATAGTACTATAGTTCTCTCTTTCTCTCTCTCTCTCTCTCTCTCTCTCTCTGTCTCTCTCTCTCTCTCTCTCTCTCAGTTCTGCTTGTGGACGGATGGGCTGAATGTTTTGCTGGGCAAAGAGATGAGCAGCGAGGCGATGCGCAGCGAACTGGAAATCCTGCTCTCCATGGAGATTAAGCTCCGCCTCCTGGACCTGGAGAACGTCCCTATCCCTGACGCGGCCCCGCCCATCCCCAAACCCCCCAGCAACTTCAACTTCTGCTACGACTTCAGCCAGGCGGAGCAGTAACTTTGGGCACTGACCATGTTTCAGCCCTTCTGAAGTGAGTGGACACCTCGTTAGCACAGACGGACGTGCTGGTAGCAGACACACTACGGCCTTAAGATCAGGAGATTTGTGAAAAAAGCAGGCCGTGAGTAAGAGAGGCCGTGTTTCACTGCAGTTTGGTATGACGTTTTGCAGCATTGTGCCCTAAAACACGCAAATCACTAAATCCTCACCGAAACTTTTTCCAGAGAGTGACACACCCCATTGTGGTGATGTGGCTGCCTTTCTTGAAGCTGAATGTAAAGGTGTTATTTTTTGAGAATCGGTAGGTTTCTATCATTAAGGTCTGGCAGAGCACATCTACACTTTTGAAATCACCTTTTCTACATGGTACTTACTGTTCCTAGTTTGGCTCCACATTGATCTTTCTTTGCTGTTGTCTTCTTTACCTATTTATCCTTAAATGAAACTGGCACGCTTTATGGTACTCTACATGGGAGTCTTCTAAGAATAATGAATAAGATGGAAGTAAATATGCAGTGTTTTACATCGATGAGCGAAGGCTTGTAGTGTTGACTTCTACTGAATACAGCAGTTAGATTCACTCTTAATGAATGCTGCCTTAATGAATACTAGGAACCTCACTGAAAATTCCTTACTGTTATGACAAAATAAAAAACCTTGTAGTCATGTGACTAGCAGTGAGCCAATCATATAAGACTGATAACAATATGACAGTATTGCTTGTGCTGTCTTAAGCAAGTCTGAGCAACTACTGGAGAGGAATAAGAGTGAATCTACCAGCTGTATGTAACATCTGGGATCAATTTCAAGGGGCATTTTTCTTGTTTACTTCAAAATGGTAGATTAACTAAAAGATTGGCACATAAGAATTAGCTAATTATGCGGTACCTGGATTCGCCTGAACCTAGATAATAATTCAGCTTCATTCATCACTTAAAGAACACAAGACACAGGATTTCCTTTAAGTATGTTTGAATATTGATTTTTGAACAATTTGAATTAATAATAGACCTCATACATCTTTCCAGAAAGTTATGCCATTATATCAGTTTCTGTGTTTATTTTTTATTTTATATTTAAAATTAAAAAGAGAAGCAATAATCATCTTTCATACAACATTGATCATTGTAAACCTTAATGCTGATTTAAAAGCATGGGGTTAAACACTAATAGCAATAGTGATTTGTGGCATTACTGGTAATATCGGCAAGATATACTGTGGTCTCTTGGTATAATTGGTACATATACATCAGACAGCTGCAAATACAGTTACTGTGCTGTTCTATAAGATTCCCTCACTAAGGCCAGAAACATCCTCAATGCAAATATGCAAATGACAGTGCTCAGCCAAGGCTCTGCAAACACAGGGCCTTTCTGTGCAAACTCACTGTGCATTGTTATGGTACTGTGGCAGTTAAAACTCTCAGCACTCAAGGGGACGATAGAGGACAAAGAAGAATGGGATCTACTGTCATGCCAACATCTACAACTGCTAAACATATGAACAGTAAAAGAGTGTTGGGTGCTTTACCTGTTTAATCATAATGAAGAGGTGATGATGTAATATAAATATGTTTATGCCAGCAAACAATTTTTGCAAGAGACTCATCCAGCTGTTCGTCTGCTATGACAGTTAACCAGGTTGAAGCACATTGGCGGTACAGACAGCTTGGTCAGTCTTGCTGTCGTTACAGCACGCTTTGCTTCAACACTCAGTATTCAGCTTGTGCTGCATTATAAATTGCATTTTTTAATGCAACAACCCACAAAACTGTCCGTGGAGCACGACACGTCTGCATTTGTGTTCTTGCGTGAAGTATGTTTCTGGCCAAAAAACTCAACTTGCTCAAGAAATGGTTTGGCAATAAATCAAGCTTATGCACTTTTCCACTTTACCCAGATGTAGCTGATCAGCCAAAAGACGTTCAGTGTCCAAATTCTGCTTGTTAATTTAGCATTAGAGCTATGAGGCTAATGTTGCTAACAAACACTTGAAGTCAATAGTCACCCAAATCTTTTCTGTGAACGCATCACCAAAACTTCCCTCAATTCACTCAAACCTCATCCAGGTCGTCATTAAGGTCCTGCAGGCTTGACGATATGGTTTAGGATACAGTATGACTTACTGTGAACTATAAAAAGGACAAAACTTCACCTTCGGGCAGCCATTGTAGTCAACAGACACAACCTTGAAGGCTTCATTTTGTACATTTTTGAGGTCCACTTAAGACATTTTTGTGGGTTTACATACTCATGAATTAGGTTATTCATTTTTATATGACTATATTCTAATCACTTAATATGAGACCGGCCGATTCTTTTACTGTGCCTTTAAGACTGATATATGTAAATGAGCTGATATATGTTCTTATTGGCCACCCTGTTTTGTGTCTCATTAAAAAAGTAGTCCTGGGTGAAACACTTTTTATAATTTCAGTGTGAATAAGAATGGGCGGGGCTCTGCTGCTGTAGGATAAATTTATGGACATATATAGAGTTGGACTTTATCACATCAGAGGAACACTGAATTCAAAACAATCTGTTTTTGCAGTTTAGTCACCATATATAGGCTGTATGTAGTGGGAAAATAATGGTAGGTTTTGAAACTAACATTGTGTTCATACTACATCAGACTACATCTTTGCTTTATGCTGCATGTTTATTATCAATAAAGAGAGAGAAGTTTGATGTTCTATGATATGGACCCTTTACTGAAGACCTGAATGTGGTTTGAGAGGAGTTTTGGGGGTTTATGGAATTTATTTGGGTGACTATTGACTTCTAGGGTTTATTAGCCACATTAGCCTAGTAGCTCCAACATTAAACTAAAGAAGCAAAATGTCTCGGCTCATCGACTACAATTGGGTAAGTGTAAATTATGTAAATCTGATTTTTCACCTCGCTGTTCCTTTAGGACAGGTACATACAGTAGCCTTGTTGTGGCTGGTATCACTTTTGTGTCCTTTTACCTGGAAATCATTGTAAAGTGTTATAAGAAATCTGATTCTACGAATTACTCCTGTCAAAGTGTAAGGCATTAATTTGCATTTTCAGCATTTCACTGCAGGTGGTTCCTTTTTCTTCAATTGCTTAAAGGGGAATATCACAGATTTTTCAAAATTCCTGCATAATTTAGTGGTTGAGATGTAAACAGTAATTCAAAGTGGTTTGATTAGAGATGTACATAGAGAAATGTACTGACTTAGATTTCTTTACAGTGGTGCTGATAGGAACCAGGAGTTGTGATGTCTACAACACCAATATAGCCACTTTATTTACTATGCAAAACCACCAGTGAACCTAAACATGTCTGTTGTAATGTTGATGGTGGTAAAATAGTGGTAAATCTGTTTTATTGGGGATTATTTTGTTTTAGAATGCCTTGCATGTCCTCTCCACCATAAGTGTATTGTTAAAAATATGTTTTAAGTTAAAATATATCGCATAACTAACAGAAAACAATGTCTCGGGCATCAGGCGGTGTACTTGCAGATATTTTATATAATATATTTCTGTAAGGGAGCTTTTAGAGGCAATAAACTCAGATGTTTGGTTCCTATCACCACCACTGTGAACAATTCTGACTCTGTAGGTTTATCTAGAGCAAAGCATTTCACACTAAACCACTCTGAATGACTTTGTTTTCAAATTGAATTATGCAGAAAATTTAAAAAATCAGTGGAATTCACCTTTAGACAGTTCTTTGTTAATGGTACAGTGTTTGGTTTAGAACGTGGCTCATGTGGCTGTATGTGTGCTGTGTTTATGCATTAATGACAACTATTTTATTTCTGACTATCTTTGAAAACGGTGTACTGTAAACATTCCTCTGTAGCTTTCACAGTTTTCTCCTGGCACTGACAGATCTAAAGGATCAAGGCTTTAATTCCAGATCACCTGTGGTTGTTTTTGTTGTAAATAGCTTCACAATAACTTACTGGTTTTCTGGGTTGATCTTGGCTCCATCACATGTAATATTATCAGAACAATACATTAGAGAGCTTTTGTTTTCATTTGTATGAAATTCTCAATCATTAAAATGTAACTTTCCTAAAAAAAAGCCTCCAATTACTCAATTATTTGTTTAAAAAGGATTTAAACAGGGAAACTCAGTGTAGACTGTAAATGTGTCTATTAAAATTCTGGGAGTTGTGGGATGAAGAGAACTGGCAGCCTTTGTAGTATCATGTGCTGTGCCTGGCTTACTTTTTCAAGTCAATTTCCTGTGTGACCATATGACTCTGTCCTTTTATCTTGTTTGCTCAAGGGTTATCTAGACTTACATAGCAACGGGTGCAACCTTTGAACAATAAAGTAGTGGAGGAGGCTACTTTCAGGCACTGTTCCTAAAGGGCTTTCATGCCACATTTGACCTACTTTACTGTAGCTGTTCTACTACAACATGCAAAACTAACTGTTGATGTATGTACAATAACTAGCCACTTTATTAGAACCCCAGTCTAATACTGGGTAGGTCCCACTTTGATCTCATAACAACCTGAATTCTTCATGGCATGGATTCACCAAAGTGCTGGAAACATTCCTAAAATATTCTGGTCCATGTTTAGATGATTGCATCCCACAGTCTCTGCAGATTTCTCAGCTGGGCATTCATGATTTAAATCTCTCCAGTCTCTCCAATCTACCCAGTGTTGCCAAATTGGGCGGATTTTAGGTTGGATTTGGCGGGTGGACAAAATTTGGGCTGGTTTTTCATTATTTTGGCCTTTTTTTTAAGAAAAGTATATATTTAATTAATAAACTGCATTACTTAATAATGCAGCTTAAATGTGAACAGGCCTAACTTCTCCCCACAATCAGCTGTCAAAACTTTCACAGACATAAGTTACTCCTGTTGAAAGGATGCCGCTTGCCCTGCCCATCTGTATCATTCACCATCTATAACAGCGGTCACCACACCGTAGTTTATTATTGATGTAACAGATGTGTGTTCATGTCTAACACAATATAGATTGTCTAGTTCACTCTGCATGACACAGTTTTGCTATAGTAGGAAACTGGACTGGCCCAGGATCTGTTCAGCAGAGCCTATAAAGGTAAAAAAAGTTTTAATAATGTGCTTGAGGAATAGTTGTGCTTTCAGTATTATTTCTATTCATTTGCCTTCCTGATTGCACGGGATAATGTGTCTCATTATAGCACAGTAAAAAAATTTTTGTATGAGCTCTGCAAATTATAGAAATAACACATATATATCAAGTAATGTAATTTCGTTTCTTAGATGTTTGACAAGGATACTAAAATGTAAGTAAAAAGATTTTAGTTATTCAATTTTTGTTTCTTTGTTAAAATGGTTAAAATGACCTTAGGCTGTTTCGGATGTTGTGCATTTTGGCGGGTTTTGAACATTTTTTTTTCAGCTGGAAACTATAGAAGCATCAGACATAGAATCTGGCAACACTGGTTCTAGGACGTTTCAAAGGTGCTCTATTGGATTCAGATCTGGTGACCACTAAAGTACACTGAACTCATAATCATGTTCATGGAACAGGTTTGATATCACTTGTGACATGGAAGCACCCATTATAAGATGGGTAAACTGTACAATAATAATTTGTGATGAAAGTTATAATGCAATAATTTGCAGAAAATGCCATATTTACATTTGTTCCCGGTATCAACATAACATGGAATGTGATTGGGAGTGTTCAAACTCTGGATCAAAAAACTCTGTTGAAAAAGCTCCAAAGACTAGTAAGCTGGGAAAGACTCATCTATATATAAACTTTTACTTCATTACTTTCATACCACTGCTTTTCAGCGAATGAACAATAACATAAAATCACTAAAATACAATCATTTCCACCATGTAATTTATTAATATAATTATTACATTCTCTATAGTTCTACACAAGAGGTATGCAAATCACAGCCCTCAAAGTTTGGGGTACAATAGTATTTCTACTCTCACTCTATCTAGCAGTCACATGATCTAGCAGTTGCATTACCTATTCAATTAACTGGACTTGGATTTGAGATTAAACTCCCATTTTATACTGTCCACTTTTTTAAAAAGTCTATAAATACATTATTTAGTATTTGAATACAGTGTACACAGATGAAAGGGTTGGGATCACCCTTTTGTGCACTTGTCAGTAGACTGAAATGTACGTCAGCGTGATGAATCATCACAGCATCATATGCTTCTGAATAAATTGCATAAAGTGCATAACACAATATTTCTGCTTTAAAGCAGAGTTTGAAATCTTACCGGTGTTATAATAATATATAATTTTACTCCACTAGAGTGTAGAAATATGAATTAAAGTGTAAGAATCAAGTCTGCACCGCCCACGAAGCGATACTGGACTTTTTCCAGGAAGGGCAGCCGTGACTGGACAAAGTCCACCTTTGTCACTGTAATGTCTTTGCACATGGAGATGTCCAGCGTCCTCAGCCTCTTACAGTACCGGCCTATGAGGGTCAGGGATCTGTCGGAACAGAGGGATGATGGTGAATCTGCACAAAAAAGGCTTAATCTTGATTGTAGCTGTTGACATCACAATGAAATCAGTCCTGTAGCTAGTAGTGTAGGCTAAATGTTTATCTTAACAGCATGTCCTTTCACATGCATACAAAATAAAAATAATTTAGAATTAATAAAATGCTCTAAATTTATGTATTTTGATAAACTGCTGTGTGAGCTACAATTTCTCATTAGGTTGAATGGGATTTTTGCCTCTAAAGTTGTTGTAAAGCTTGCAAGCTTGTTGTAAAGTACTTCTGCAAAGTTTGCCCATCTCCAGAACAGTAGCTACAAAAGAACGCAGTTACAGTCATATGCAAAAATTTGGGCACCCTGGTCAAATTACGTCATGTTGATTGAAGTGAAAACAAGTTAATACATCTTCAACAGAGAACACACTTCTGCACATTTTAATGAACACTTTACTGAACTTCACTGTTCATTTGCTAAATATAACACAAAAAAGAAAACTGTGTGCTGTGCAAAAGTTAATACTTTGTTTTTATTATAATTTTTTTTTTTTATTCTTTTCTATTGAGCCCTAAAATTCGCAGTGTGTTGAGCTTATTCACTGTAGAGGATGCGTTAACCTATTTTCACTTAGAAAAACAACAAAACGTGTAATTTGACTGGGGGTGCTCAAACTTTTGCACATAACTATATGCAGAGTGTGGTTAAGTGAGTTTGCTGATGAGCTGGATCAGGTGGTGAAACCGGGGGAAACTTTGCCTGAGCTTTACGGTGTGGTATATTAGCTCACCTGTCTGTGATTGAGTCACAGCAGGCCAGGTGCAGGTGCTGTAGTCGGTGCAGGTGGGGCAGAGCGCGGGCCATGCCCTCATCAGTCAGCTGAGAGCAGTGGCTCAGTACCAGGCTGGTCAGGCAGCGGCAGTGTTGAGCTACAGACACCAGGCTTTCATCACTGATCTCGGGCAGCATGGACAGAGAAAGCCGCTGCAGCGCTGGGAAACGCAACACCTTCAGGGGGAAGGCCTGGGTTAGTAATACTGTATTCACTCCACTGACACATTGGGATCTGAGTTATACCTGAATATTTTACAGTCACCAAAATTTCTAACATGAAGTCACTCTGCATTCATTTACAGTACTTGTTTATTCTGAAGTAGAATGGGATAGTGTGCCTGTAGATGCAGCAACCAAACACCAGTGTGCTCTGACATCCCAGCCACAAGTAACTGGCAGTCTGGCAAACTTCATTCAGTGCTTGAGGCTGAAGCCAAAAAAAGTGGATATTCTGGTTTTTGTGGCAAAAAAAAAAAACAGGCCTGGGGTCTCATTTATGAAACATTCATATGTATTTTAACAGTTTTTTTAATAAATCAATAATAGAATTTGGAATGAAATGCAAGTTTGTTTTATAAATGAGACAGCTATACTTAAATATATTTATGTAAATAATTTACATTGCTGTCACAACATTGGTCAGAAATATTGTAATTACTTATTTTTTTCCAAATTTTATAGCAACAAAATTTCCCTAAAAACTGTAACATCATTGTGAAAACTGAAACAAAGTGTTTTAAAGGAAAGTTTGGGTATCTTTTTTAAACTTTTTTTTTTTTTAATTCAGGGGGAAAAATCTAATCTTCATGTCCTGCAATGATTAGGGAGAACAACAGCATCACCATCTCCTTTCACTTACTTCAGACTTAGACATGCTTAAACACACAATACAGTACAACAGCCAGTAAATGAGTTTTTCATACTTCACCCTCAAACACTGTATATAATCTATTAGTATTCAATTTGCTCACTTTTTAATTTTGTGTACATAAACTCTTAACTCTTAAAACCAACCCGTTACAGCTGTGTTCTCCCAACAAAAGTTTCCCAAAGAACTCACATGTTCTCAGAACAATTGACTGACGACCCCAGAATCCAGACCTCAACATCATTGAATGTGTTTGGGATTCTTTGGATCATGAGAAGCAAAAATGCAGTCAACTTCTAAGACTGAACTTTGGAGGAAAAATGTCCCTGCACATTTCTTTGGAAATCTAAAAGCCTGAAAGTCTTCTGAAAGTAATGGAAGCTGTAATAAAAACAAAGTGTGAACACACTGAACACTGACGCATTTGATCACATATTTGTAATATTCTGTTTATGTAATTTTCTGTTTATGTAAATTTGTTTTCTCCTTTTTTCCTGATCCTGAAACTTAATGGCCATTTTGACTGGAAATGAACTATTGCACAGTACTGCACACACCGGCCACCAGACGATCCACCTACCTCTGTTATACTGGCATCTGTCAGTTTGGAGCAGCCAGAGAGGTCAAGCTCCTGTAGACCCTTGAGGGCAAGCAGCGAGGCCCCCTCCTGCTCCCTGAAGGCCCCCAGGTCTTTGTCTGTGACCAGCCGTGGCTTCTCTTGGAATGGCATGCGGGGGGGCTGGAAGAAGCCCATATTCCCAAATGTCCTGGTAAAGCTGGGGCCTTTTTTCTCCTGCAGGGTTTAAGCATTTGAAATAAACTACTGCTGCATTGTTAATGTTTTAAATAGCTCCCCATTTGACAGTAAGTACAGTGCACTACACGTATTGTCAGCTAATAGTTTCTGTTAAATTGGTCATTAATCAGGGATCAAAAGGAAAACTTGGTACCCCGTGTCCACATCTCACCATTTCCTTGCTCGGCTCGTAACCATTGGTGGGCTCCAC